TCGGGGTCTTGTTCACGAATGAGGGAAAACTGGAGCGTGAGATCGATAGGGTGATTGGTGCTGCATCTGCAGTGATGCAGGCATTGTACCGGTCTGTCGTGGTGAAGAGAGAGCTGAGCCAGAAGGTGAAGCTCTTGATTTACCGGTCGATCTACGTTCCTACCCTCACCTATGGTCATGAGCTTTGGGTAGTGACCGAAAGAACGAGATCGCGCATACAAGCGGCCAAAATGAGTTTTCTCCGAAGAGTGGCTGGGCTCTCCCTTAGAGATAGGGTGAGAAGCTCGGTCATTCGGGAGGGGCTCGGAGTAGACCCGCTGCTCCTCCACATCGAGAGGAGCCAGTTAAGGTGGCTCTGGCATCTGGTCAGGATGCCTCCCTGGTGAAGTTTTCAAGGCACGTCCAACCGGGAGGAGACCTAAAGGTAGACCCAGGACACGGTGGGGGGACTATGTCTCTCACCTGGCCAGGGAACGCCTTGGGATTCCCCCGGAGGAGCTGGCCCAAGTGGCTGGGGAGAGGGAAGTCTGGGCCTCTTGCCTTAGGCTACTGCTCCTGCAACCTAACTCCGGATAAGTGGATGAAAATGGATGGATGGATGGATGGATGGATAGTAAAATGTATTCTAATGAACATAATAGATCATCATTCAAACCATAAACAGCTACATGTTTTCTTCAAGGTAAGCTGGAGCAGAATTCTAGCTTTCAATAAACCACTTTAAAAGGGATATAACAACTCGAGTTTATGGCTTCTTGTAGGATTTAAAGTAATTAAATATCACTTTAAATATCAAATTTATGGCTATAATATATTATAGTAATGTATGTGGTCTAAGGCCTAGTCCACACGTAGCCGGGTTTTTTTTTAAAACGAATATCCGCCCCTCCAAAAACTTGCATCCACACCACCTCGTTTAAAAAAAAACTGTCCACACGTACCCGGATAAATACGTTGTTAAGGACATGCCAGACCTGGAGGCGGCAGTACTTCCCCAGTTCTTAACCTCGTTCTTCATCTGTGGTCTTCCGCAAGGAGCAGTAATTCCACTTGCAAAAACAAACAAGCAAAAAGCGCTTGGACAACTGATAAAGCGAGCGCAGCTCTGAGGGCATCCATGCTGTCGGCTAGTGTAAACACAGGTCGCACACGTGATGTCAGCATTTTTTTGTCACAGAAAGTGACGTTGCAGACCTTAAAACTCCGGTTTTGTCTGTCCACACGCAGACACCCAAAACGGAGAAAACGCAGATCTTCACTTTGGCCGGAGTTTTTAAAAAGATCCGTTTTCGTGTGAAAAAACTCAGTTTTTGTGTGGATGACAGGCCAAAATGTAGAAAAATATCTACGTTTTGGCAGATCCCCGGCTACGTGTGGACAGGGCCTAAATGTATTCTACAATGTTAGGACTGTTGTATTCCTGTTCATGTAATGAATGATAGTTCATGTAATCCTCTAGGTGTAATCTCTATGTTCAGATTTTTCAGTTTTCTAGATCAGTTTGAGCGAATTGACTCCTCCTACTGTCTGTGAAAGTTCTCAGTCATCCAGATCATTGTAGTCTAATGAGCTTGAAAGAAAAGCGTCTGGACTTCTTTGAGTTGCTTGAAGACGTTTCACCTCTCATCCGAGAGGGAAGGGATCTCAAAACTGGATTATAGATGGTTTATGACACCAACTATCTGCCATCTATAATCCAGTTTTGAGATCCCTTCCCAGATATAAATAAAGCTTTGATTGATTGATTGAGATGCCTCAACGCCCGCGCATATCCTGGGCTATCTGATCTCAGGAATTCACATGATAGGGTGGGGCCAGGTTTCACAATGAGCTCACCCGAAACTCTGGCTGAATAGGACCCACACCCACCCTCACACCTTGGCTCATAGAAGATCATCAGGGGGTCTTTTGTTCCCTCTTCGGGGGGAAACTCCCACTGGGTTCAAATCTGGGACTCTCCACCATTTGACCTCAGAACTGAAGAAGCCTCTCGGATGAGAGGTGAAACGTCTTCAAGCAACTCAAAGAAGTCAAGACGTTTTTCTTTCAAAGCTCATTAGACTCCTCCTACTGGTTGTGCAGCACCAGGCTAAAGACCAAAGGTGACAGATCATTTGCTGCTGTGGCCCCCAGACTCTGAAACTCTCTCCCCCTGAGCCTGAGATCAGTGGACTCAGTGGTCTCCTTCAAAAAGCAGCTGAAGACTCACTTGTTCAAGCTGGCTTTTGTATGACCTTGTTCACTCGCTCTTTATTCTGCTCTCCCCACCTATTCCACCTTCCTCAGGATCCACTGATTTCCTTCTTTCCTATTCACTCTCTCTCTTTCTTAACATTTTTTCTTTTAATTCCCAATTGTCTATTTTTGCTCATTTTAAATATATTTTTAAACCTTTTCTAAATGTTCTTTTATATTTTTAAATTTTTTGTTTTTGTGAAGCGCCTCATGATTTTTATCTTGAGAGGTGCTATAGAAATGATATTTTCTTCTTCTTCTTTTATGATGGTGCATTACGATGATGTATGTATGTTCTAGGGGTGATGATTACATTTGTCACACTTTGTGTTTAACTGTAACGTAACACCACGGAATTACTCAAACAGTACAGCATATTCTCTCTCCTATCAGTTTTTTCCTCATTCCCAGAATTAAACTAATGCCAACCCCCCCCCCCCCCCCCCCCCAGTTCTCAGTCACTCTCCTCACCCATAAACCTCCAGCCCTCTATTTCTACATTCACGACTGTGGATTTGGCCTTGCGTAACCTTCTCAACTGCAAAAAAAAAAAAAAAGATAAAACGATAAATCGTTATTACTCACCAGTGCATGGTGCAGCAGATTAAGCTTCTTATGCAAACTGATTTCAGATTAATTTACATAAGAGATGAACACAGAATAAAAGTTTAGAGCAGATGACTTGTTTGTTATTGAAACTTGGCATGTGTCAGCTCAGATTAAAATAATTAAGAATCAGCATTAGCATCCTCGCTAAAGGAAATTAAACCTGATCCTGGATGAATCGAGTGGTTTATTAGTTTTTAGTCACACAGATCCAACAAATACTCTGGCAGATTACCACACAATAGGATAAACGCTGCCTCGGCCTGTGACCCTTTAATATGACAACGATCTGTTGTACAGTGCAGTCTTTGAATGGAGGAAGATCCACGTAAGCTTTTGTTTATTTATTGTGACACTGTCATATGTTTTGCAGAAAATACACATAAATCTGACAGGATGAACAGCTTGTTTCTTTTCCAGTGTTCTAATTAGACAAGAACATCTCAAATAAACAATAAAACATTTACTAAATCGTGTTTTTTTATCAACATTTAACCCTAACATACTACATGTCACATTGAACGCACACAGTTTTTCAAAGTAAAGGTTAAATTAGACGGAATAAACATGTCTTTTGTGTAGATAGTTGACGCATAAGGGGAGACAGTTGTTTGTCAGTCAGAGAAAGGGTAGATTATTTACATGAGCAATAATAATTTAACAGGAAGAACATGCGTTTGTTCAGGTCAGAAGTTTTTAGAGTTTAAGTAACGAGGAAACGTCAGTAAAACAATTCAAGAGTCAAACCCAGTCTGATGTTTTTTTCAAGGGTGTTAAACACTTGATAATTAATACATTTGCAGTGGTCTTTTGTAGGAATACAAGTCGCCCCGGGGAACAAAGGTGTAGGAGACTATTTTCACATTCAGCCTGCATTAAAAACTCAGAATGATGATTATAATCAGAAATTAGAATAAAAAAACGTTTTTTCAGTGTTCCACACCTTTTAGGACTGTATAAGTAGACTTTGTCAGCAAAATCAGAGAACTCAGTTTTGTACATTATAAAAATACTTTTCAAAATAAAGTTAGGTTGATTCTAATCAAAAGGCTTTAGTCTGTTTTAACATATGAAGTCAGCATTCAGACTCAGACTTTAATCTGTCTGTGGGTGCAAACCATGGACGTAGGTTATTTTGGGGGGGGGGGGGCATGTACCCCCCACTTCATCCAATGTAAATTTTCCTCCCCTGCAATTTTTACTGTCCAAATACAATATTACGCTATGTTAAATAGACATTGGTTGAGCACTAAGACCAAGTGTTGAAGCCTGCTTCCCTTTAGACCCGTCCATAAGCTCATCTATTGGCTCTGCTGATACTTGCTAATGTGTGATTGGCCGTTCCTGCCACCTGTGTACCAGGCAGTTCTGCATTTCTGACACTGCATAAAAGAGCCTCCTGGCTGTAGTTTTATACATATTTTTGTATACTTACTGTACTGTATACTCTTTTAGGAAACCCCATCTGGTCCTCATGCTGACTGCACTAGCCTGGCCTCCTCCTCTGTTTAATTCTGCAGAGAGAAAGGGTCTGGGAACTCTCCTAAATAAATAACCCCACCCCGTGAGAATTCTAACCGAGCCAATCAGCGCTGAGCAGTGTACGACACACACCACAACGCCGAGCAGTAGCGGTTTTAGGCACGGGCAGACAGGGCAGTTGCCCGGGGCGGCATTTTTTCATGACACAAAATGGGCGCACAAGCGTGGAGTAAAAAAAAAAAGGAAATCTGCGCTGCACCGAGGTTTTCTATTATCTGTCATGTGACAGTGTCTGGATTGGAAACGGCAAGTTGGCGCCCCCTGCAGTTGCAGGCGCTCCTGCTGACTGAGAACGTTCACGTGCACCGTGTGTCTATGAAGAACAGGAAGGGGAGGGGTGCGGCGGGGGAATTCACCTCTGCGTCTTTCCCAAATGAAATGAGCGTGCAGGGGCTGAATCAACTGTATTAACATGGCTAAAGTCAATCACATCTTAACGTTCTTCCATATTTCATTCATAATATCATAAACACAGGCCTATCATTCTTTCAGGTTTCTCTGAATTGTGTGAAATGGCAGAATAAAAAAAGGAAAAACAAAACGATTTTGTGGTCCCCCCCCCCCCATCAAGGTCAAATTGTTTAGTCCTGACTAAAGGAAACTTACTGAGTCAGGAGCCAAACAGAAGAGATGCACATAAAAAGGCTAAAACCACCAGGTGCCCCCATTCAGGGGGAAAAAAAAGAAAAAAAGAGCAGAAAGATAAAGGTATGTAGCTCTCATGATGCATGTGTTTTCAATTTTTTGAACCAGTTAACTGGGATTTTAACGGTTAAATGCGGTCAACTAATTGCTAACAGAGCTAATAGGGCTGAAATATTTAAACGAATATTCAAATGGTTTGAAAAAATTCCTTGAATCGGTTTTTACTGATTCAAACTAGGATTTGTTAAATGCTCACTGCAGCCCGTGGCCTGCCTGAACAACAACAAACACATGTTGATCATGTTCACATAATAATAAATAAAACAATTCTACAAGCAGAAGAAAACACCCCAGTCACCACTAACTATCCTGTTTATTTATTGCAGATGGCTGCACTGATTATTTTTTACATGATTTGTTCTGTAAAAGTTGGCATTTTTGGTAGTCTATAGTTTTTTATGTCAGTTTAAATTACAATTTCAGAGGCAATTCTAAAATATTATGGATCATGAGATCTATTGGAGATCTACCCCAACTTTTGGACTGCTCTGCCAGTCACTGTGGCTCAAGCTGAGAGGAGCTTTTCAAAACTTGATCAAGTCATACCTGAGGTCACCTATGTTTCAGGGGCGGCTCACTAACCTGGCTCTGATTAGTATCAATCACTCAGTAGGGGAGCAGATTTCATGTGATGACATTATTGATGATGTTGCATCAAGGTTAGGTTTTAATTTTAGTTTGTGTTTTCTGTTCTAAGTGCAATGCTATAGTGATTATCTTTTGTTTGTTATGTGTGAAATATTTTGCTATTTAGAATATTTATTATCTATTATGTTCATATATTCTTAATATTTAGTTATTGTTTGTTTTTGTATATTTGATTCTATATATTTTGATACAGTATATAATGTAAATTGCTTTACATTCTGACAACTTCATAGTAATTAATGTAAATATGTGCAACTTAGAAAAATGAATGTTCAATAGTCGTTCTAATAAAACATGCCTGTTTGTAGAAAACATGCGTGTGTTCATGCAGGTGGGGTGGTGTGGTGGTGGTGGTGGGGGGGCGGTTGGGGGGGGGCGCTCAAAGGGGGCCTCGCCCGGGGAGTAATTCGATGTAGAACCGCCACTGACGCCGAGTTTGTCATAAACATGGCGACTGAAGCGGAGTTCGCTGCGGCTCTTTCCTCTGTTCTAAATGACTTGGACACGTCTTTAAAAGAACAAGCTAAAAGTCTTTCTTCTAAATAAAGATGTTTGCGTCGTCGCCAGACGCCATGTTTGATGACAGCAAAAACACTACAGCGTGATGGATGTCACACACAGCGACGCTCAGTTTCTCATAAACAACGGACAGTGGCAGAGTTCGCTGCGGATCTTTCCTCTGTTCTAAATGACTTGAATGTCTTTAAAACCACAACTAGAAGCGCTAAAATAATTTCTTCTAAAAAAAAGATGTTTGCACCGAATTAAACAGAGGATGAGTCTAGGCTAGGCTGTGTCCCCCTCACTTCTCAAGTCAAAACTACGTCCATGGTGCAAACCCAAAATATGTGCCATTCTGAAGGCTTCCTACAAGACAGTGTTTCATGACCTCTTCTCAATCTCTGTCTGTTAATGGGTCGCTATTTTGATTGTATTTTGTTGCCGTCATTATGTATTGGTTTGATTATGCTTTTACTTGTTTTAATCTCGATTTTTAACTTTTTATGTGCTCCATGCTTAAGTGTTCATCACTTTGGGCTACGTTGACTTCATGAGCAAACGAACGAACGATAAAAAAGCAGGAATAACGTTTTAGTCACACAAAAATGGTGAATTTTTCTGTCAGAGTGCTTTAGCATGAGAAAATCTTGTTTTTCTCCTTAAACAATTGTGATCAGATCAATTAGGTTTATTATAGTTAGTAGGAATGCCTAGTTATAACTGGGAAGAGGTTTGTTGTCTCAGATTTTAAAAATAAATCTATGAACAGAAGAGTATTTATTTTTTATAGAAAACCATTAAAACCTGGTGGATTTTTGAGTTTAAAATGATAAATAAACAAACACGGTTTTATTCTCCGTCCTTTCCTTCTTTTTAGATACAATTAAAATCAGTGAAGAGAAGTAAGAAAATGACAAAAAGATTATGTAAAAAAATTCAGGCGTGTGAACTTTGAAACTTTTAAAACTAATTTGCATTAAACAGTCAAATGCAAACTGTAACCAAACCTCTCCTGTCAGCTGCGAGGAAGCCGATTACAGCTGGATCTGGATTATTACGTTCTATTATGTCAACACTCAGCTGGAAACCAGAGCATCATCTCCTGCAGACACACCGCTGACTCCGCCCTCCCCCTACGCTCACATACAACCCTGGATGCAGCCACACCCCCGACTCAAACATCCCTCAGACTTCCCAACAGGCAGGCAGGCCAGAGAGGGTCACTGCGCTCTGACGAGCAAAGCTGTCTTGGCTGAGGAAGGACGGGTCTGATTCTAAGAGGAAGAGTAAAAAAGAGAAGAAGGAGCTCCCAGCACCACAAGTGTCAGCCGAAGGACCTCAGGGTTCGTGTGCGATGCGTCTGACTGATCAGCAGGAATCATCAGAAGAAGGTGGGCGCACAAAGTCTCAATTTATTATTTAGGTTTTGGTTTATCTTTGCTCTCATTCCACCTAACTGCACATCACTCTCTACAACTCCTCTCTCAGAAATGAGCTTTGGTGCAGCGTGCATTTTCCTGCGAGGGGGGAAGAACATTGTAAGTATGATCCGTTCTATTTTAACGGGTTTCTGTTTGCTGATTGGATTAGAACTCACTGGGATTTTCAGCCTTTTTACTGGCGGCTCAGCCCAGTTCCTATTTGTCCCCTGTTGTTTTACTGAAGCATGCTGTGAAAAAGAAAAAACAAACAACGACATTAAAAGAATTTCCTGATCCTAACGTCTTTCTGTCTTCATGCAGTCGCGACAGCTGGCTGAAGACGAGATTGACGGTATGTTCAGTTCAGTTCGACCGGAGCGCATATGGAGGAATCTGGTTTTTGCTGCATCTACGTTTCTCACATTTGTGTATACTTCTGCAGAGCTGCGTGATGCATTCAACGAGTTTGACAAAGACAAAGATGGGCTGATCAGCTGTAAGGATTTGGGGAACCTGATGAGGACGATGGGATACATGCCCACGGAGATGGAGCTGATCGAGCTCGGCCAAAACATCAACATGAACCGTAAGTGTAAATAAAAGCTCGCTCGTGAAAGAAATGTTGTCACATGTAGCGAGACCGAAATGCACAGTGATGAAACCTTTGTTAAAATCTCGCGAGGCTCCAGCACTAATGGAGCATCTCTTCCCCCTCTAGTCGGTGGCAGAGTGGACTTTGAAGACTTTGTAGAGCTGATGGCTCCAAAGCTTCTGGCAGAGACCGCTGGGATGATCGGCGTGAAGGAGCTCAAAGATGCCTTTAAAGAGGTGAAAAGGAAACTGAAATCTCATTTCACCCGCTGTCCTACATCCCTACATCTATGGGATCCTGGACATAAACAACTCTTTGATCTTCCTGTTTTCTCCTTCCCTGGTTCCTGGGGTTAGTTTGACATGGATGGAGATGGGGAGATCACGACGGAGGAGCTGCGACAAGCCATGAACAAGCTGATGGGGGAGCACATGAGTCGCAGAGAAATTGACGCCATCGTCAAAGAAGCGGATGATAATGGAGACGGAACAGTAGATTTTGAAGGTTTTTGGTTTTGTTCATCTGCATCACACAGCAGCTTTAGATGACACCTCCCTGCATGCAGTTGGAGGAGATGTGATCAGAGTTGAATCTAATTGATATTTCCTTGTTTTTTACAGAGTTTGTCAGAATGATGTCCCGTTAGGAATTCCCGAGGAGGACGTCGGTTCACGATGTTTTAACACGGATGCTGTTTCCCTCAGACTCAGCTCATCACAGCCAACAATCAAATACTCAACAAACAACATCTCAAAGGATTCTGTCACTATGCAAAGATCGGGCTTTAAATGATGAACTTTTATAAATGGAAAAGTATCAAAAAAAGTGTAAAATAACTGGAAATGTGTTTTGTATGCAGAAGTCATTTTGGATAAGTTCACTGAGTTTTTGCTTTGTTTTTGAGAAATAAATGAAGACTCATGAAACAACACTGTTTATGCAGTTATTGTGAACATTTTGAGTTATTTTACGACAAATTTAAAAACTGTTCAAGCACTATTTATTAAGTAATATTTTATTGGGTAACAATGATTTTGGGGTTATGGTTTGAGTTTTGTAATGATCCTAAGATCTACGTTGTCCAAGGCATTTGTCTCCTGGTTGTGTCCATCATGGAAAACTGTTCCTATAGGTGGAGCTGTTCCAGGGTTAGAGGCCCATGATGGCAGAGGGGGTGTTGGTGCCAAGTTTGGTGATTGGAGGATCTCAGCTTTTCTTTCAGTGGATGATGTTGTCCTCCTGGCCCCTTCAAACTGTTACGTTCAGCTTTGGCTGGGAGGTTTTCAGCCAGGCGTGACATTTTAGAATGAAGATCAGCATAAAATCTAAAGCTGTGGTTCTTGAGAAAGGTTTCAAATTAGAATATTGTGAACAGATTCAATATTGAAGAGCCCTGGTGCCACACTCTAATCAGCTAATTAACTCAAAACACCTGCAAAAGCCTTTTAATGGTCTCTCAGTCTAGTTCTGTAGGCTACACACTCATGGGGAAGACTGCTGACCTGACAGTTGTCCTAAAGACGACCATTGACGCCGTACTCAAGGAGGGCATCGTAGGCATCTCACCTGCCCTAGAGACTAAAAGGACTGGACTGCTGGTGATGGTCCAAAGTTATGTTCTCTGATTAAAGTAAATTTAGCATTTTCTTTGGAAATCGAGGTCCCAGTATCTGGATGAAGAGAGGAGAGGCACAGAATCCATGTTGTTTGAGGTCCAGTGTAAAGTTTCCAGAGTCAGTGATGGTTTGGGCCATGTCATCTGCTGGTGTTGGTCCATTGTGTTTTCTGAGGTCCAAGGTCACTGCAGCTGTCTACCAGGACGTTTTAGAGCACTTCATGCTTCCTGCTGCTGACCATCTTCATGGAGAAGCAGATTATATTTACCAACAGGACTCTGCACCTGCACACAGTGCAAAAGCTACCAGTACCTGGTTTACGTTTGTTCTTGATTGGCCAGCAAACTGGTCTGACTTTATATTTATAAAATTTTGCTTCATGCCTTAAATAAAAAAAACAAAAAACAAATGACAATCACAGAATCTGAAAGAAATTTAAATGCAGTTAGTGTTGATTATAATGATTATAACAATAATTATTATTATTTTTATACAACTATAATAAAAAGTATCTGCCTATATTTGATATGTGCTTTTCGTAAAATGGAAAATTGAAATGCCTTTTATGAAATAAAGCCTGTTGCTTCAATGCAGAAAACAAATCTAATCCATAAAGCCCAACATCCTGAGTAGTGGGTATATAAATATATGTAATAATCTATGGATTTATTGTTTCACAGAAGGGATTTGTGAACCAGAAACACTGTTGCTGCTGCTCCTCTTAGTATGGACAGACCTCCGCCCTTGTTTTCAAAGGACATCGGCATAAAGAGATTGTGGGACCTGGAATGGACAGGCCACTGATTTGAAAACAGAGCAGCTTATAGAGAAAAATATCAAAATTCACATATCATGGCAGTTGTGTAACCGCATTAAAGGCATTAAATGGATTAAGGAGGAAATACTCCAAATTCTAATGAAAAAACAAGAGGGAAGAGAAAAATCAAGACAAATATAGGACATAATCTGGATTTCTGCATTAGGTCTTTATGTTTCTAGCATTTCCATCCACTTCTGATCTGGGAACAATGGTATTTTCTCATTTATTTTTCAATTATAGTGTCGAAAAAGAAAGAAAAGAGGCTGGCAAAGTGGAGATTAAATGCCTGGGCGGAAATCTGGATGGTGGACAGGGACTTGGTGTGCGTTCTCACTCCGAATTCATCAGACAGACAGATGCTGTAGGACAGAGTACTGGGCTTAAAACAGACAGACAGATGGGGCAAAGATGGGGCTTATAGTGCCAATTAACAAAAGTGAAGCAGATCTCTCTGTGAACCTAAACACATCTGTGAATGCTAATAAATAGGAATACAAGCAGTGATAACAAAAAGCTGAATTACTTCTTTTTTTTAAATATCTGAAATTCTGAGGCTCGTTTTAGTAGATTTTAGAAAGTTACTTTGCTTTCTGGCTTCTTAATGCAAACTTAGATGTGTCTGAAAATAATATGTTTATGTGTGGAAGGGCAAGGCTGACGAGGGCCAGAGGAAAATGATGTAATGCTCGTTGCTGTGCTGTTAATCTGATCCTTCCCTGATCCCCCTCCTGACATCTAGCATCAACCTTTTTTTGCATTAATCCACACTCATCTCTCTCTTGGTCACTCTCAATCCTGAGGAAGCCATTCTGCCCAGAAGCTCATTGCCATCCTGCCAGAACTGCAGTTTTAACCCTCGGCTGTCTTCATTTGCAGACAGATTTCATCTGTTAGTGGCCACACTGCCGCTAATCTTTCTGAGAAGAGTCAGATGAACGAATGAATACAGCTCGTCAGTCGTCAGGTCTTTCCCTGTTTAGTTCCAAGTTCGTTTCTGAGGGGTAGTTCCTTCTCACTTGGTGCTTGTTGCAGACAGCCAGCCTTTTGAGGGGCAGATATTTATATGTAAAATAAATAAATAAACACATAAACATACAGGCATCGGGGATGGAGTGGGCCTGCTCAACCTTTGGTGTCCCAGGTGCAGGAAGGTTCTCATTTATAAATATTCTAGGTGTCTTGTCAGTGTTTGGTTGTAAAAATAAATAATCATTAACATAAGAAGGGGTGTCTCTGTTCCTCCTTTCCCATGCACGCTTCATAGAGGGAGTCTCTTTAGTCTGAGAAAAAAACCTGTTTCATTCCCACTACAGATGGCCTCCTGCACCATGTGAAGGTCAGTAGATCCTTCCATTTTATAACATCACATAAAGAGCATTGTGTAATACAGAACACTTTATTAAAGCTGTTGATCACCTTAGACTCTGTTTCTATTACTACGAGTTGATTGAATAATTCAGAATCTCGTTATTTTTAGAATTTAATTACTTCAGCTTGAGGAATTCAGGATAAAGTTAATTAAAGTGTTTTTGTCTACTTTAGGAAAACAAAGAGTAGAAGCTTACTGGTTAGACATCAGTGTCACTGCAGGTCACATATCAGCTCTGAGAAGCATTTTCCATCTTAGCTCTTTCATAATGTACTCTCAAACTCAGAAGAACAACGTGGATTAGTAGTCATTTTGTAGATAGCTCTTAAAAACATGATTTAATCAAAACACACTAACGGTTAGAATTAAACATTAGAGATAAAGTGTGTTTCCTTATGTGAAAGTGGTGACAAATTTACAGAGAAAAGTTTAATGGCTGTGGTGGATAGTTTTTTGTTTTTTGGTTATTTAGTCTATCATAAAAGAAAAAATGGGAGTTGATTTTTCTATTTCATATTTTCACAACGTTATACATACATTTATAAATGTTAAAGTTCCCAACTAAATATTTTGTTAGAAAGCTAAAAAATAAATAAATTCTAAGTTAAATATTTATTTTTAAAAACTAAATATTTTGCTCATACTTAAATATTTAGTTTGTAAAATAAATACTTTATTTTGAACTAAATATTTAGTTTACAAATTAACCATTTAGATCTGACCTAAATGGTTAGTTTGTAAACTAAATATTTAATTTACTATGTAAATATTTATTTTGGAGCTAAATATTAGTTTACAAACTAAATATTTAGCTCCAAATCAAATATATATTTTCCAAAATAAATATTGAGATCCCAACTAAATATTTTTTAGGGCTAAACCTAAATATTGTTTTTTGTAAACTGAGTGTTTAGCTCCAAAATAAATGTTGGGATATAAATGTTTATTTTGAAAATAATAATAAAACAATTCCTTTTCTGACGTGTAAATGAACTTTAAAACTCACTAAATATATAATTCAGCATTTGTTTTACCACTCTTTCCGTTACAACGTCTAACACTATTATTTTATGAGTTGACAGTGCAGAAAAAAAGCACTTTGGCTAGGCTAGGACCAGGACCATCGACATTACTATAGACCAGGACCAGTTAACGGAACGGAAGCTGAGAAGGGACATTTAGTGAGTTCTGCAGAAAGTGTACATTTGTGTGTCAGTCTGACAGAAACGTAGCGAATATAGAACAGCCGTGGTTTTCTTCCCTGAAAGGCTGGTAAGAGTAAATAAGAAAGTAAGACACCCCAACTTCAAATGTTTATTCTCTGATGTACACTTTAGCTGTGCCTATGTAGCTCTTTATGCTAGTTGGTTAGCGTAGCTGTTAGCAGCTAAAGCTATCAGGTTAGCATTACCAAAAATGTTTTGTGTGAACATAAAGTCCAAATGCGTATAAGGTGGGTTTAGATTAAAATAAATTCTGTAATGTTCTCTGGGAAGTGTCTGCTTTTAGGCAGCACATAAAAAGAAAGCTTTGTCCTGTTAGCAGCAGTATTCTGTTTCTGTAATTCATTTATTTGTCACTGGTAAGTTTTTATTCAAACACTTACACTTAGTTACTTTTGATAACAAATGCAAAAATTGACAAACTTTCGTTACTTCTGACCTGTTGAAGTCCTGAAGTTTCCTTGGCTGATCAGTTAGTAGGTTATTCCATAAATATCTGTCTAATAAATATTTACTATATAAATGTGATTATTGAATTATGTAATTAACAATGCCACATTTATAGATATTGTGAAAATGTGTCACCCATCAGTTGTTTTTATTTCTTTATTTTTTAACAGATCTCCTCAGATGTGGACTGGATCCAGAAGTCTCTCCTGGACTGTTTTATCCTCCATAAGTAGAAAAAAACTTTTAAACATTAAAAGCCTAAATTCTTCTCTCTACTCTGCCCCCCCGCCCACTAAGAGTCACCACTTCCTAACAAGCAGACAATCTGTTTATTTGCAGCCTTTTCCTAATTTCTCTTCCGTCCTCTGCCTGTCTGGTTCTGCTTCGTGTTCCGGCCCAATGGAGTTAAAGGAGGTTCTGGAGGTTCTGGAGCAGCTGGCTCCTCTGTCGCTGGCCGAATCGTGGGATAACGTTGGCTTACTGGTTGAGCCAAGCAAACATCGTGTGATTAAAACCATCCTGCTGACCAATGACCTGACTGAAGCGGTCATGGAGGAGGCTGAGGCTGTGAATTGTGACCTCGTCGTCTCGTACCACCCACCTTTGTTTCGGCCCATTAAGCGTCTGATTCAGAAAGACTGGAAGCAGCGGTTAGCCATTCGTGCTGTGGAGGCTGGGATCGCAATCTTTTCCCCTCACACTTCTTGGGATAGTGTTAAAGGAGGGGTGAATGACTGGCTGGTTGGGGGTCTTGGTAAAGAAATCCAAGAGTTACCTGTTAATGCATGTTTTAGCTTAAAGACTGCTATCAGTTGACTGTCTTTTCTTGTTTTGTTTTTATCCTTTCAGGCCGCGGTCAGGTGTCTGTGCTGAATCAGGCCCTCGGCGGAGCCTCCCACTGTCAAAAACTGGAGTTCATGGTTAGGAACGCCGAGGAGCTCAATTCCGTTGTAGAGGAGCTGAAGGCTTGTGGTGACGGAACAACTCTACAGTTCACCAGCAGCAGGTTGTTAGAAAACATGTCGCTGCACATGGAGATGATCTCAGAAACACGTTACATTTGGGTGCATTTTGGGGACAGTTTAGGAAAATACAACATGTAAATTCACTCCATAGAATCAGAAAGTTTGACAGGATGAGTCAAGTTTCACACTTTAATTTATTAATTGTTTATTTAATGCTTCATAAAACCAAAGTAAAATCATATAAATGCCAATACTGCGCTTTTTCAGTTCCCTGCACTGTGGTGTAACAGGCTCATTTCTCTCTTATAGATCAGACAGCAGCTGTGTCCATGTCAGTGTGACCTGCAGTGACTCAGCACTGACCTCTAGTGTCCAGACTCTGTTAAAACACAGCACACCCAGCCAGTCTCTTAGCATTTTGAAGCTGGAGAAGGTAGGACAGCTCTTAGTTCACTTATGAGAAAATAATTTAACTGAATCCTGAGGATGACACACACACACACACACACACACACACACTAGGGCTGCAACAAACGATTATTTGGATAATCGATTAATCGGATGGGGTCTCGACACGATTAATCGATTAATCGGATTACATGGGGAAATTTTTAAAAACTGCTAGGGAAACGTTATTTCTCTCCTTCCTTCACTTTATTTAACACAACATTATTAGAAAACAGTTCAATAGCAGAAAAACAACATGCCATCACCTAAATTGTCTTATAAGGTGTATAGACAGAGACCCTAGGCTACATCTATCTGTGACCTAAAATGCTTGGTCCAAGTTAAACAGCTTAAGGGCAATTCTCATCTGTTTTGCTTGATCTCATCTGTTGACATTTATTTTAAATGTAATTAAACATAGGCTGTGAATTAATCAAAATTGATCACTATTTCCAAAAATGACTGAAAAAATACCAAATAAAACAAAAGTAAATGAATGCCATCCTCCTTGTGATGATGCCCTGGGCAACTGCCATAAAGTCACATCAAGAAATGCTGCTGATCATTCCAATGATCCCAAATAGACTCACATTAGGCCACATGAAAGCAACTGAACCCAAAAATATATTAACCAGTATATAACTGCACTCTCACACAACATGCCTGCAGCAACAGTTAGGACTCCTCCCTCCCTTTTAAAAGCGTTTTTGCTTCTGAGGACATTGTGGTTGTAAAACCACATACTAGTAGTCTGGCCCCGGTGTGATCAACCAGTTTCTGCGGGAATGTGACGGCGGAACCAGGGCCAGATTAACACTTTGTTGTACCCTGGGCAACAATATTTAAGGGCTCCATCATCACGACCCAAGGATCACCATAATGTGGTCACATACAGAATATTTTACTGTAATATGCAGTAAATATACTCAATACTTGAATGCCTGACAACACGTAAGCCACCCAGAGTAACCTTTGACCCACCTCGTGTGGACTGACCAATGAGGAGAGGGTCTTAACTTGAGGCCCTCTCTTCATTGGTCAGTCTGCATGAGACTGACTCTCAACTGACGTTCAGTCGTAGGCAGCGAAGCGTCTCTGTGCAGTGCAAAAGCCCGGGTGGACAGTTTGTTTAATGTAGGGTGATCATATTTCCATTTCCAAACAAGAGGACAGGGGATCTGTGCCTATGACGTCACACTATGGCAACGCCACAAAAACCATGTTGGGACCCATTTTTTGTAAGAACTAAATTAATATCAGATTCTGCCAATTAAAGGGCTCTAAAACAATTCATATGTAAATATTTTGCATATTTAATGCAAAATCTAATTTTTCTGCTTTAGTGCTGCAACAAGTTTTTATTAATAATAAATTATTATACCTTTTGTTTTACTACAGCATCAGTAAGCTTCCTGTGCACAGATTATTAAGGATACTTGTTTCAGCTGTGAGATTAGACAGTAGGATCAATGAAAAAAATAAGTTGTCACACACTCCATGGAAACTTTCAGAGAATCCACAAATAGTGGCTTTCAAATGGTTTTGTTACTTTTTGCAAGTTTATAAAAGAAGCAGATGAGACAGCATGTCTGATAATTTAGTTTTTCATCTGATAATATTAGAACATGTCAGTAATGTCTGAGGGGCTTTTATAAACACCATATAACTAACACTACTGGAGAGGGCATGAATTACACAGAGGCTTCTGGGGAGCCCAGTTATTGGGGGGGGGGGGGGGGGGGGCATTTTGCCTTGGCCCCCAAAATGTCTTGAAACGGCCCTGGGTGTGTGACTGAGTTTTGAAGGTGATCTGAATTGTATCAGATGTATAAATATTACATGTGTAGAACTTATTGTTTTTTACTGGTAAAAACGTGTCGTGGAGATAAATCTACCTACATTTTACTTTTCAACACTTTGTTTTGTTTTCTTGTTTTTATTTAACTATTTTCCTGTCCTGTCTGTCTCTCATCTTCCTGCATCTCCTCTTAATTCTCCAGAAAATCTGTTGCCTGGATTCTTACCTTTTCACCTCATCAGTTACTTTTGAGCAGATCAAAGGGATCTCCTGACCGAAAAGCGCAGAGCGCGTTTTCGATGCTGCGTGAGGTGACATCACCACAGCACAGGTGATGAGCTCCGCAGTAGCGAGCTTCAGGCACAGATAAGACAGAAAATAGAGAACATGTGCGGACATGAACGATCGTGTGCAAATTATAGTTTTTTGGTTGCGCCACTTTGAGAATGGACCGTGCGCTGGAAGCAGCTGCCTGGATCGCTGTGCAACAATGCGGAACCGGTTCGCAGCAGCGCAAGTCTGCCGGCTCTCCCTCGCGCTGATCTGCGGCTCTCCCTCGCGCTGATCTGCCGGCTCTCCCTCGCGCTGATCTGCGGCTCTCCCTCGCGCTGATCTGCGGCTCTCCCTCGCGCTGATCTGACTTGCTCTGGTCTGCGCGCAACGGCGGGCGGGAATGGGGGGGGGGGCGCTTTTGGAAGAGTTGTGCGACACAACGAATCGATGACGCAATTCGTTGCCAACGCTTTTAGTAATCGATTTTCATCGAATTTATCGATTCGTTGTTGCAGCCCTAACACACACACACACACACACACACACACACACACACACACACACACACACACACACACACACACACACACACACACACACACACACACACACACACACACACACCAGTGATTTTCCACCTCTTGCTTCCCCTGCAGCCTCCTCTTATGGGTCACGGTCAAGGCCGACTCAGTGTTCTGGACCACCCAGTAGACCTGACTACAGCCGTCCAGAAAATGAAGTCCCACTTGGGTTTGAATCATCTCCGTTTGGCTCTGGGAGCGGGGAAGACCCCTGGTGAGGAAACACACTCCCAATAAACATTTGGAGCTATATTTTGATGACACATTTGACTTATTCTTCTTTAATTCATTTTTTATGGACTATAAATGTTCACATAAAGGCCTTTAATGTCACAACGTTTAGGGTTTACACGCCCAAATCACAAAGTGACAGGACAATCCAGAAAATGCTAATTAAAAACAAACAATAAGCCAAGTCCAAAATCTACTGTGGCTTTTTTTTTTTTTGGTCAAATAAATAAGATTAGTGAACTCAGCTCTCAGATTAAATGTGTACTTCTGAATTTCAGGTTTGCAGCTAAAGATTTCTCTGTTTGTCGCTGCCATCTCAGTGTGTAGAAGACGTTTTAAGACTGAGGAGGCTGTGTCTGTGGCTCAGTTTTCTTGTAAACATTGTGTAAAAGCTTCACTAGTGTGGAATCTGGCCTGTTCATAGGAATATTACTCCTGGAAAATAAATCCCCCTGAATTCAGCTTATGTAGCTCTACAGTTTAAAGTTTTTGATACAACTTTATTCCATTATGGTTGCTGGACTTAGAGCTGGTAAAAGTCTGGTTGGTGCTAAATATCACGATCCAATAACACCTTTTTATTATCCTTCACTTTAATGTTGAAGGTGGTGTGTGTTAGACAAATCCATCCATCCACCCATTTTCATCTGCTTATCTGGGGTCGGGTAACAGGGGCAGTAGCCTAAGCAGAGAGGCAGACTTCCCTCTCCCCATCCACCTGGGTCAGCCCCATTGGGGGAATCCCAAGGCGTTCCCTGGCCAGGGGAGAGAGTCCTAGTCCCTTCAGCATGTTCCTTTAGTTCTCCTCCGTGTTGGACATGCCTGGAAAACCTCACCAGGGAGGCGTCCAGGAGGCATCCTAACCAGATGCCTGAGCCACCTCGACTGGCTCCTCTTAATGTGGAGCAGCAGCGGGTCTACACCGAGCTCCTCCCGGATGACCGAGCTTCTCACCCTGTGTCTAAGGGAGAGCCCAGCCACCCTGCGGAGAAAACTAATTTCAGTTGCTTGTTTCCGCAATCTCGTTCTTTCGGTCACTACACAAAGCTCGTGACCATAGTTGATGGTAGGAACGTAGATCGACTGGTAAATCGAGAGCTTTGCCTTCGGGCTCAGCTCTCTCTTCACCACGACAGAGTGGTACAATGCAGACGCAGCACCAATCTGACTATTGATCTCACGTTCCAGCTTTCCCTCACTTGACCCCAAGATGCTTAAACTCCTCCACTTGGGGCAGGACTGACTCAAGACCATGTTTAATAAATATCTGTAAGAATTTAACCACTGGACTTACATTTGAATTAATCTGTTTGTACTTGATTAAACTCCTGTGTTGATTTGCGTTAGCAAACACAAAAACCGTTTTGCAGATGTTTAGTTAACATTGATGCTGCAATAACTGAGGGAAGTTTTTTAAGGGTTTTCGCAACATTGTCGTTAAGACTTGAGCAAAGCAGCTGAAAATCCTCGTCTCTCAGTCATAAAATAACTTTAGTCTATAGAGCTATTGAGTCTTTTTTGTGACGTTCCTTCCAGAGTCCATCGTGAGCTGCGTGGCTGTCTGTGCTGGATCTGGAGCCTCGGTGCTGAGCGGTGTCAAGGCGGACCTCTACATCACTGGTAAATGAGAAACGGGATGGGAAAGGTTTCAGAGGCACTGGAATTTACATACAATACATTTGACCTTCATAGATTCTTCCACTTAGCCACTCCCACACACAGTAGTCAGCAAAGATGCGGTTCACTGAAAAAACGTGTTTTTTAGACTCTAGGACTAGAAAATCTGGACAGATCTACGTCACTTAGCATTCATGGACTCACAACGGGGTAGGATGTTGTTAGTTTAGCATCCAGGAAACAGCAGAGAACATCTCAGGTAGTTTAAGCTAACCATTAGCATTAGCAACTCCACCACACAGCAGAACTCCTCCTGGCTTGTGCTATTTGTGGAGAGTAAACATCAACATTACAAGTCAGTGATAGAGTCATGTTGCTGTTAGCCAATCATGGGTGAGATGTCCAAAGTAAGACCTCACAACCTGCCGTCTGAAGCTCGGCTGTGATGTGGGCGACTTTTGTTCTGAGAAATGGTGCAGTGACCACTGCAAATGTACTGATTAAAGAAGTAATCCACTCCTCTAAAGTCACAGTCGCACCACTCGCTCTCTCTGCTTTCAATCAGATTTTGTACCATCTAGCTGGAAAAAAATCAGTTATTTTATATCCATCCAGCCTAATTTTACTTAGAATAGTTTACTTTTGAATTAATTAGATCTGATTAGACCAGATTAGGTGTTTTCATTTGTTACTGGTACGTTTTTGATGTTTGAATTTCTTGCGGTGCTTAAAATGTGCAAAGAACAAGAAAGAAATCAACAAAATCTAATACTTGTTTAAACTATATGAAATTAAAGTCCTGTCCTTGTTTTGCTTTTTGAATATTTTACATTTTAAGGTTTGTGACGTTAATAAGTCCCATTCCTCAGGTGAGATGTCCCACCACGAGGTGCTGGACGCGGTGGCGAAGGGCACCAGCGTCATCCTCAGTGACCACAGCAACAGCGAGCGTGGCTTCCTGTTTGTGTTCAGGGAGAGGCTGGCCGTGCGGCTTCCTGACGATGTAACGGTGCTGGTGTCCAAGGCGGATAGAGACCCTCTGGAGGTTGTCTGACAGACTCGGATTTGCTCCAGTTATTTGACCCATGTTGATGTGAAAGTATCCAGGCTGTGCTTTAATCCACTGATTGTGAAAACCTGCTGTGATGAAGGGCGCTGTCTCGCTGCCACATTCACACACACGGCCGGCTGAGTCTCAACAACAATAGATCCCGGTTGATCAAAATAGATTGTACTTATTCCAGATGAGACGAAATGTCATCATCTGGCAAGTGAGAGTCGAAGATAAAGGATATAATCTGTAATTTAAATGCACAAGGGATCTATTTGGAGATGACACAGTGTGTTTTAATCCCAACAATCAGAGAGCTTGACCTTTTTTGTGTGGAATTTCTGGCCGCACAAATTTTCCCTTCCAAGAAGCCCGTAGGATGGAAAGTAATCCTCATCAGATTAGAGTTGGTTCATTATGAAGTAAGAAATCTTTTTTTAAGCTAAATCAGCAGCAGCTGAGTTAACTATGAGGATTCGAAGCCAAATGAGAAACAAAAGACGGGTGCAGCCTGTAAACCCCTATAAATGACCTTTAGACCTCTGTGAGCAAACGCAGGTGGACATCAAACTATTTAGCACATACGTGTCAAATCTCAGCCTCGTCGTAATCCTGAATCCTCGCTAACAGCTCGACCTCCCCCTGCTTTGCCCATAGAAAAATAAAAACAATCCAAACTGCTCCTGTTACGGTGTTTAACAGAGTTTTGTTGCTGCAGTGGCCCCGGCACACCTGTCTGCTCGTAAACACATTAAGACTCATCCCACACCTCAACGCTCTCATCAAGCTCTCCATCCCAGCGTGGAGCTCACACCTCCACTTCCCCTCAGACCTCACTCACTTTTATCCGCAACAACAAACACAAATGGAGAAGGAAAACAGCAACTAGAACAACACGTAAACGCCGCTCGTGTAAACCGACTCCAGCTGTCACATTTTTATCTTAGCTGGAGAGGCTGCACGCGGGTCCACTTGGGACCTGTGGGCTAGTTGTCTTTGTTCCACTGACAGGAAGTGCTGAAGCCACAATTTATTCATGTGCTCGCTTGATTCATTAGATGTTACAGAATATTTAAGAGGATTTCGATGCTGATTCAAACAACAGAAGCAGGACAGGGAAGACGACGACTGAGATCCAATAAAATCACCAGATGACTACGAAAATATTTGTTCTGTTTTTCATTAATCAGCTCAACATGCTCCGTCTGTGATGGAAAACATCGTTCTCACGTTCTAGCCTTGGTGAATTGTCAGTGTTGGGTCCTAACCAGCTCCATCCTGCAGAGGAACACCTTTATAACACGGTTGTTTGAAGCAGTGGTTCCCGACCTTTTTCCCAAGGGACCCTGTTTTTTTACCAGTAAAATTTTTGATGACCCCCTCCCATTCTCTCTTCCAGTACAAACATTATTAAGAAATGATAAAATTGTTCAAGCACATTTTAATATGCTTTGATTCAATAGATAACAGTAATAGTAGGCTCCAGTACAGAACAAAGTCATTAACAAAACCAAACAGAGCATAATGTGCTTGACAGTTTGTATTACTTTTCTGAACACATTGTTTCTTGTAAACACTGATAAATCAATCATTCCTTTCAATAAACGTTTGACACATAAAAAATACACTGAGCAAATGTACTTAAATGTGTATATTACTGTTTATACTAGATTATTTACTGTAAAGGCTGTGATTAATCAACCAGTCGTATCTTTAATGAACTTTTGACACTTGAAAATAAAACAGTGAGCTGAGCAAAATGTTCTTAAAAGTGTTTTACTTTTTCTGTACTAATTATTTCCTGTCTTAATATCAGTAATTTTTTCACTCATGAAAAAAATGTGAGTAAAATGTAGGCTATAAACAAGTAATAAATGAAGTTTCAACCCCTTAAAGTGGAGAGGTCCTGGCGACCCACTGAGAGGCTTTGGCGCCCCCTTGTGGGGGTCGGGACCCCCCAGGTTAGGAACCACTGGTTTAAAGGACTCCATCAGCGTTTGGAGGGACATGTAAACGCACTCTCTCCTACTGCTCATCTCAAAACATCCAGTTTCTTCCTTTTCTGTTTCCCAATGCTTACAGGCTTCAAAATAAAAGCTGGATTTATATGCCTATTTTTATAAGTAACAAAATAAACTAATATCAATTTTAACTTTTAAAACTTCAAACCAACCATAAAGGCAACAACACAGATTTATTTATCATATAAAACCAACATATCAGGGCAGACCAATATTAGTAAAGGGAATTTGGCTTAAGTCATGTTTATAAAACTTATTTGAAGACAATAATTCTTGATCTTAATGAGCTTGTTTCCAATATAGAAAACAGATAATATAATATAGAAAAAGTGTTTATTTACATTTTCAATATGTACCCATTTAGAGTTTGGTAAAAGCAACGTGTTTCAAAGGTCAACATCACTGAAGAAACATTTTTGATGATTTATGATTATAGCCGGTCACTCCGAGTTTTACTTGCAGGCTGAACATGAAGATAGTCTCCTACACCTATCTGCTGCGTTAGCTTCTGATAGAAAATAGACGGTGAACTCTAGGATTTGAAAATCCTGACTGATCTACGTCACACTGTCACTTATCATTCATGGACTCACCCAACTTGACTCATGACGGGGAACATGGGCGTAGTTTTGACTTTAGAAGTGAGGGAGACACAACCAGCATGAGGACCGGGGGAGGGGGTGTGTTTTTACAGTATGTTCTAATGGGAAACGGGCTTCAACATAAATGGTTGTTTTCCGATTGGTCCTAGTGCTCAACCAGTGTATATTTAATATAGCGTAATATTGTTTTTGGACGGTTAAAAGTGCAGGGGTCAAATATTGACTTCCATGACGGGGAAGGCTGTTGTTGGTTAAGTGTCCAGGAAACAGAAGAGAACGTCTCAACTAGTAGAAGCTAACCTTTAGCATTAGAAACTCCACCACACAGCAGAACTCCTTCAGGCTTGTGTTCTTGAGCAGAGTCAGTGGTAAAGTTGCATCGTGGTTAGTCAGTCAGAGGTAAGATGTCCAAATATCAGGAAATTAGACTCCAAATCCTGACTTCTGAAGCTACTTTCTGCCCCAGCTGACTGTTACATCCTCTAACAAGCGCACCGAGGTTTTTCCCTCAGAAAACAAATTCCTATTCAAAACGACTGTAAATGTATTAAAAACACAAGTAAATTTGACCTTTTAATTATTTGCAGCTGGATGAGGATGAATCTAAACTGACGCTGTAAAACCTCTCACAGCAAAATAACAGTAAAGAGGGTCCCAGACAGGGTGATTGTTTTAGTTCAAATGCAGAGGTGTTTGCATCTCTACATGACGCTGACAACCTTTAATCTCAGGCAGCAGTAACAGATTAATAAATGTATTTGCATGAATAAACTTCTACCAAAACGTTCACGTTGATCCATTGGGACCAAATTGTTGCTGATGGCCAGCTGTGGTCCTCTCCTGTTCCACCTGCAGCCTGACGCCCTGCAGAGAGAGTTAAACCGTCTGACTGCTGGGAGGAAGAAACGTGTCACCAAGTCATCAGACAGCTACAGGGGGTCCACCATTACTCCACCTGATTTATGTGTTTGACAGGAGGAGCCTCGTATTTCCCCAAATTAAAGGTTTAGTGTTTATGCAAGGAATGCACAAATCACAGCACCTTTAATGTTTGAAATGACAGACTTATGGCTGTCTTGATTACATTTTCTTGGAGCATAAGCTGTGAATGACTCTCAGTTACTAAAAAAGCCAGATTTCAGCTCAATACCTGCAACTGAATGCATTATAGCCATTTTGGTGATGATAGTGTTATAGCGGGCATCTTTGGTTGACTCTAAAAGTTGCTTTCTGAGTGTTTCGTGAGGTGTTTTGCTGAAACTGCAGAAAAACAAGCACTAAACAGCCTCTGTCACTTGTTTTTTTTTTTTGTTGCTATTTTATTATCAAAAGAATCCGAAAGGTTCAGGAAAAGTGACACGAGGGAGACCTTAGGCACTCAATACCTAAATATAATTGCAGATGTTTTGAAAAAAAGAAGAAATAATTAAAATTAGGTTATTAATTAAAAAAACTTTTTTGTCTTGTGTAAGTTTTAGAGTCAAATATTTCATGGATTATAACAGAAACTTGTCTTCAAGCTTTGATCAGTGGTCGCTGAGTAAATCTGACCTTTTGAAATCAGTATGCAGAATGTGAATTTGCAAAAAAATTGTAAAATAATTAAAAATTAAATTATTTGTAAATAATTTGCATAAAAATGTAAAAAGCAAACATTATGGCACTTTAGGACAGCTTAAAGTCAGCTTGTGCTTTCAGACATCACTGCTAAAGTGCCACACTTCACCGGATGGTTAAGTCAAGCTTATCAAAGTCCATTTCTACTCAGATCACACATCTGGTGCTTTCTAAACACTGAAGAAATTCTAGATGTTTCCACTCACCTCCAGCATGACCATTGTGAGTTTGAAGGAGAGCTGAGGAGACTGGGAGGAGAGATGAGGGGGCAAATGAAGGGCTAAGGGAAAATGGGACCATTTGGCCCAGAGGTGCGAAGTCCTCCACACCTATTTAACAGATCGGGTCAGCGCTGTGGGTCCTTACAGCCGAGCACACCGCAGGAGCATCAGCAGAACCAGAAGACTAGTGAATGAGCCTCACCTGAACAACTTTTGGGATTTGTCAGCAAAGTCAGGTGAACTAAGAAATGTTAAGTTGCCTGTAGGTGAGGCAAAAACAGGTGTGGAGATGTTTCCCAGTTTGACTGTAGGACCTCAGAGTCTTTATAGAGGTAAGAGCGCAACACATCCTGACTTGTGCTTTCATTTTTATTACACATTTTAAATGTTTTTAAGGATTTAGCTGCAAGAAGCATGATGGGAAAAGGGTGAACATCTTGCTGGCTCAAATGAGTGACTTTGGGCGACGGTGGCACAGGAGTTAAGTGCTTGCCCCGTAATCGGAAGGTTGCAGGTTCGAGCCCCGCTCAGTCTGTCGCTGTCGTTGTGTCCTTGGGCAAGACACTTAACCCACGTTGCCTGCTGGTGGTGGTCAGAGGGACCGGTGGCGTCAGTGCTCGGCAGCCTCGCCTTTGTCAGTGTGCCCCAGTGCAGCTGTGGCTGCAATGTAGCTCACCAGTGTGTGAATGACTGATTGTGTTGTAAAGCACCTTGGGGGGTTCCAGGACTCTAGATGGCGCTATATCAAATACAGGCCATTTACTTATTCTAGCTTTACTACAACTTTACCACCGACGTTTGGCCATTTAAGCCCTGATTTGTCCGTTTCTACAGACAGAGAGGTTCCTGCACACATACCTCTGTTCCCTACAGCTTGTGACATGGCCCCCAGGCTCCTAGGCCCCCCTCCAAAGCCGCCTTCTAAGTCTCCGAAAGAGGAGGTGGGGATGGAGCTGGAGAACTCGTCTCTATGGAAACAGTTCAGCTCTGTGGGCACAGAGATGATCATCACAAAGAAGGGCAGGTGAGAGCCGTCTGCAGGGTGGACACCTAACCCTCAAATAGCTCCAAGAAAAAGACATAAAGACAGTTTTGCCATGTTTCTTTCTCAGGCGGATGTTTCCTGGGCTGAAACTGAAGCTGTCGGGTTTAAACCCGTCTCTCCGCTACATCCTCCTCCTTGACATCGTTCCAGTTGACGACTCCCGCTACCGTTTCCAAGGCGGAGGTTGGCAGGCCGTGGGCGGGGCAGAGGCGAGGCTGCCGGACCGAGTGTTCATCCACCCGGACTCACCTGCCACAGGTGCACACTGGCAGAGCCGCAGCATCTCCTTCCACTACGCCAAGCTCACCAACAACACTCTGGACACACAGGGACACGTGAGACTCCGGCAGAGCGCCGTGCAGCATGTGTCTGTGGGTCTTTGTGGAGCTGCTTAGGTTTAATCTTTTGGTTTTCGTTGTTTAAAGATCATCCTGCATTCACTGCATCGCTACCAGCCCAGAGTTCATGTGATCGAAGCCAGAGATGTGTTGAGGTGGGGGGGCGGACAGCACACCTTTGTGTTCCCAGAAACCCAGTTCATCACCGTCACTGCGTACCAGAACCACCAGGTATTATGGAGCTTACTTTACATACCTCACCATCAAAAGACGTAGAGCGTGCACCTGAATGTCCTTCAACTTAAAGAAAATGTGACGTTGTTTGTAGATCACAGAGCTCAAGATCAACTCTAATCCCTTTGCTAAAGGCTTTCGAGAAGGTGGAATGAACAGCAAAAAGTAATTCAGACCTAAACCAGAAGATGCTATTGGTTGTCGTTTGTGAAGAATCTAACCCAAATGTTACTTTCCAGACAAAGAGATGCACGACAGAAACGCAAAGTGACCGTCCTGACAGAAACCTTAGACGTCGGTGAGCAAAACAAACGTCCCTTTGAATTTCAACTTTTGCATGATGTCACCTTAAACCATTTCCCCTCCTCTTTATGTTTCAGTTAACTGTGGATCTCCTGAAACAACAACGCTGGCTCTCCCCTCCCTGCCTCCACTGACGGACCCCTCCTGTGGCTTCAGACCTGAGGAGGCCACATATCCAGCCCCAGATCAGAGTCTAGACCTTGGCCAGGCATTTATCACTTCTGATATAAGCATGGAGATAGCCACCGGGCTGCAGGACACAGGAGGAAATGATGGGTAAGGCTGTAAAAAAGCATGAATGTTATACATCTCTAACAGTCCTGCTTACCACAGATTTCTCTATGATTGTTTTTCTCCCTAGAAGCTTTTGTTGGACTCTGGTTCTTGTGGTTGAAATGTGTTTTACTGATGCATTGTTCAGTTATTTACTGCTTACATCAACCTTAAAGTGTGTTGAATCTGCTGGACTCTAACTGGATTCCTTTGCTGGATCCTGATACGAGACACTAACCTGAAACTCGTCTCTCCTCCACAGGTCAGACGCTCTGGCTGAAGCGACGTACGAGTCGGACTTCTCAGCTGCTCAGTCCAACTCCTCCTCCTTCCCCCCAGCTCCTCTTCCTCAGTCATCTCCCTCCTTCTCTTCTGACTCATCCCATCCTCAGGCCTCCTTTCCTCCCATTGACTACCCCTCCCTTCTCCCTGCCACCCCCTCTCTGCAGCAAACCAGATTCACCTTCCCAACACCTCCTCATTCAGATGCCTCCTCCCCCCAGCTGTCCTCCCCCTCTAACCCCTACAGCGCCCTCTCAGAGTCAGCACCCCCTCACATGCCAGGCTCGTTTCAGGCTCCATCGAACTCATGCCAGCCAAACCTGCAGGATCCAGGATCAGCTGATTCTCTTCACAGCCAACAAGCAGAACCGCTCCTTTATCCAGAACTCCTCCCTAACACAGATCCTGGGTCAGCTGCTGCCCAAACATTCACTAGTCAGCACCAACCTAATATCACCTCCAACTCTTTTCCTTTCCCCTCTGTTAACCCCAGCCCCACCCTGAACCTCCCTCATCTAAACCAGCAAGTGTTCTCCCACCCCCCCTCCACCTTCCAATCATGTGTCTCCTCTGCAGCTCTTCCCAGTCCCCCCACCTCCTCCTATACCTCCTCATACCCTCCAGTTGAAATCAGCACCTTGTCTCAGTTTAACCCTGCCACCTCTTATCGCCCAGACGTGGTTCTGCACCACCCAAATCTTTTACCCCAGCTGGATCCATCACTGCCCTCCTCCACCCCTCCATCAGCCCTTTACTCCACCTTCCCATCATACCCTCTCTACTTGCATCAGGACCCTCACTCGTCCCTCTCCAACCCCTTCAGGCATCTGTACAGACAACCCCAGGGGTCCTTCATCAGCACGAGAACAGTGTTTTAAATATTTGTAAACATTTCATTGTTGTTTATTTGTTTTTTTTATTATTATTTTAATAATGACCACACAGATGAAACTAGTAGTGGTTTGTAAAAAATTGAAGACTAGCATTTTGAATATTCCTTATATTTTTGAGAAATAAAATGTTTTTGATGAAGCTCTGTTGTGCTTTCTGTTCTTTAAACTGGGTAATGTAAATAAAATGGACCAAAACGTTTGCAAGGTTCCCAAAGTTAAAGACAGGCCCTGGCAGGGTAGAGGTAGAGGGGAGCTGCAGAAATGGCAAACACGGTCACGAACACTCACCCTTCCCCTCGGGTATCTTCCCTGAGACACTTCCGCCGGAACCAAAATCTCACGATGCTGTCGGAAATGAGATGTACCCCTATCTTAACTGGGACAATGTGCTTTTGTGTCTTAATTAGGGATGCACAATATAACTGCATCAATATCTGTAGCGTAAATAGTTTTAAAACTTATTGGTATCGGTTTGATTAGTTAAACTTCGCCGATATAAACAACCAATATTTGTTCCATCTTGTTTTTGTTAGTATTTCTGTTTCATAGAGGGTGAGGGAGGTCATGATGTGTAATTGTTTAGTCATGTGACATTGATGGTAAATAGGTTAGAAGCGTAAATGTGTGTGTGTGTGTGTGTATATACTATCTATATATACTGTTACGTCCTCTATTGGTGGAAAAAGAGGCGGGTCTGGGTGGGGGCCTGGGGGCTCGGGGTGTGGGGGTGGCCGGTCCTGTGTGGGGATCTGGGTGGGGCCTTGGGGGTCAGGTCTTGACATGTATGCTGCCGGGAAGAAGGCAGGAACAAGCAGCAGTGCCTGGCTCGGGTTCAGGGGCCTCAGGTAGACCTTGGCTCCTCTGCTGTCCCATCACAGGGGAGGGGGAAGTCCAGTAGGGGGAGGACCCAACCTTACCTGGATGCCCTATGCCTTATATAATCTGGAAGTTGTGCAAATGCAGGGGTGGGTGTAGATATTCTGCTGGGTTGGTGCCCTCGGACTCCGTAAGGCTCTGTGATGCTGCTGCTTTGGGCCCTGGCAGGATGGGCTGGGGTCTCCATGCCCTGGGTGGCATTTTGACAACAGAGGTGCCTATTGGGGCCAGTGGGGGAGCTCGCTCCCTGGAAGGCTAAGCTCAACCAGCCATCCCTCCCCATCCCCACACATTTCTCTCCTCCTGCTCCCTCACATCATCACACAAACATGTACATAGGACCTTGGGGGGTGGACAAGTCAGGGAGTGCGGGTATGGACTCCATTTCTGCATTCCTGTGGCAACCTGCCCCCCAATTTTATTTGCACCTTATACACTTCCACCGACGACATTCCACGCAAACACACTTAGGGCCTTGGGAGTGAGCACATTCAACGGCATTTGGCAGGGGGATTTCTCTGCCTCATCCCAAGTGCCAGTGCCCACTTCCAATTTTAAACTGCACTTAGACACCGAGGGCTGTGGGTGCAAGTGGGGTGGTGTGGTGGCATCAGCTGGCATAGGCCAGACGATGCCCGCACTGCCCGCTCACCACAGCCATGGAATACACCTCATCAACACACAACAACACTATATTGCAGCAGGCGGAGGGAGACTAGGGGTCTTAGCACACCTCTGTTGTCGCTTGGCTTCCTGGGGCTGGAGGCTAGGAGGGAGATACGGCCATCCGGTTGGGGTGGTGGGTTGCTGTGCTCAGCGTTGGGCAGGAGAGCCTGCCCATCAGCACCACAGCAGAAAGGGTCGAACTCTGGAAACTGGTGATGGTTGTACCCCATGTGCAGCAGTACCGGGACCAGAGTGAATAGGGTGTGTATGGGGAGCATGAGTGGGTGTCCGGCGTGCATTTTTGTAAGTCTTAGGTTGTATGTGTATGTGTGAGCATGAGGGAGGGAGTGTGTGACTGTGTTTGTGTATGACTGTATTTGTCAGGTGGGGCCTTCGACTCCTCCCTTCTCCCGGGACTTCTTTTGATGATATAGATCTTCGTCTCCCCTCTCCCTGCCACACCTGGTGTGGAGTGTGGCGCCTTGGTCTGCCTGGGTCGTGGCTCCCGGGTCAAGGAGTTTAAGATTTTTGGCATCTGCCTGATCAATCCCGGTGGCTGTCTGATGGGGTCTGAGTCCCTGGGCTCTGCTGGGTCCCCGGCGGGGCTGGTCGCCCCTGGGTCCCGGGTCGCTGGGTCCCGGGCTCGGCCGGCTAGGGGGTGGGAGACTGCGGGCGGGCCTGTGGGCTTGCCGCCAATATAATCAAAAGAAGCGCGGCTTCAATCTGTATGAAAATAAAGTTAGGTAAAAGCTATAAGGATGTCTGCGGCAGCGTGGACACGGTGCCCCCGCCATCACGTTATCTTTTGTGAAAAACACATGATCGCCTGCCACATTTGGCCACTTATGAACAGGCTCTCTGAAGTCGGCTCAGCTTTGCGAGAAAGTGGCGCAATTGTTTTTTTTAAACAGGCTTATGCAACACAGTTGTTAGCTAGTTAGCTTAGCTAGGTTCATGGCAACTTTATAGTGTATGAACACTTCCACTTAAATAGGCTAACTGAGCGGAAAACCACCAGAATACCTACCGTCATTGCTGCGGGGTGCGATGCAGGGGGAAGCACGCTCTGAAGAGCTGCTCAGACACCTGCCATGACGGCATGTTCAATTTCTCCTGCCTGAAGCGAGTTGGCAGCCATGTCTGTCTTTTTCAGTTGTGACTGGTCATTATGTTCTATTACACAATCCTAGCTGAGAAATAATTGACAGCACGATCAAAACAAGTAGTTTACTCAACAAACGTCTTAAAACTGATAGCGAAATGTGCTATTACCTTTGCCAAGATGCCCAATGAAGACTTGAGCAGTACAGCCAGTGTCCAGCAGAAAGAAAGTGGAGTGAAAATGAGCGCAATTGGCCAGCCTTTGTCGTGGGCGTGGTCACACATGGCTAATTTGCATACAACAGAAAGATGTAACTCACAGATTTAAATTTAGATTTAACATTTAGGTTTAGATTTAGATTTAACATTTATTTTTACATTTAGATTTAAATTTAGCCTTAACATTTAGATTTAGGAAAAATTTAACATTTACATTTAACATTTACGGTTAGATTTGATGTTTAGATTTAGGTTTGTATTTGACTTTTACATTTAGATTTAACATTTACACTTGGCATTTATATTTAGGTTTAGACTTAATAATTAGTTTTAGATTTAAGATATAGATTTATATTTAACATTTACATTTAGCATTTAGATTTAGATTTAACATTTGAATTTAGATTTAGATTTAACATATGCACTTAGCATTTATATATAGGTTTAGAATTAGCATTTAGATTTAGATTTAACATTTATATTTAACATTCTGATTTAGATTTCGATTTAACATTGAAGTTTAGATTTAACATTTAGATTAGCTGAAATTAAGTGATATTTAAACATATTTTTAAATGTGATAAAAGTTGCTAAATGTAGGAAAACTGAGCTAAATATAAAAAAAAGTCTGATAAATAATTTACACCAGCGATTTACACTTGGCGCCCCATACTTGTAGGACTATAAATGGTAATTATGCACAGTAAAGACTCATAGATTAACACCAGATAGGCACCAGCTCCCCATGACTACTAAGAAATAAGTGTGTAAAGAGAATGAATGAATGAATGAATGAATGAATGAATGAATGAAATGACTTCAGTATACTTGATTTACTGTACTGTACTTTACTGTATAGAAACACATACAACATAAAGTATAAACAGTAGGCCTAATGCAGAAAAAGGCCATTGGACTGATGAATTACACTGGGTATTGATAAACAAATTAACCTTAAAACATGCTTTATTAAATTAGGACTTATAATATTTAAAGAAAGAAACTGTTTACTTTCCGATAACATAAAGAATCTACTTTAAGAAGGGAACTCATTTAAAACACTGAGTCAGGACAAAAATACGTAAAACTGCTGTGTGTTTCAGTTTTAGAGGGTAAAACAGAAGTTTTTACAAATAGTTTGAAGAAATATGAAGCCAATAGTAAATTAATCATATTATTTACATGACTGAAATAAAACATAATCAACATAGTTGAGAATAAGTGAGTTGGACTGAACTAAAAAGAAATTTAGATCCATGAACGGTTCAATGTTCAAACTGGGTGTTTACTTAAACTTCCAAGCAATCATTCATTAACCTACTTCATTCCCAGGCTCTCCTGCTGTTTCTCTGGATCTTCATTGTTTAGGAGTTTGCAGCTCTACTCATAGAATGGAGGGTAAGGCCTTTAAAATGCAAAAATCCAGCAGATTTAGGTGATGTAGACCATCTGCAAATGTAGAAGTGTTGTTTGTTTACTTGGCTTTGTGCAGGATTGTTAAAAATTAAACTACAAAGCTTAAAGTCCTGATCAGAAGAATGTGTGGATGTATTCGCCACAGTGGATTTTAAAGTAAGCAGGGTTTAAGTTTGGTGGAGAAAGAATTTTTCTTTATGTTTCTATATCTTCCTACAGTTTTCCACCAGAGTTCCTGAGCTGCCTGATCATTTGACACAAACACACCCTCGCAGCATTTTCTCCTCTTAGGATGATGCTGTGCTCGATCTTGCGTCCGTCGCTCCCTCACCTCCTGTCGTTGAGATGTCTGGGTACTGTGGCCTCCAGGTCAGCAGCAGTGAAGGAAGCTGACATTCTCTCAGCTACGCTGTCCTTTGAGGATCCCCGGGCCTTCAGGGTGAAGAGCTGGGGAGAGCTGCTACGTGCACTTGGCATCTTCCGCCTTTGTTCCTTCTCTATTCTGGTCAACAACTGTGGAAAGGTGGGATTTGGGATTATTTTATAGATCTTCACATCAAAGAAGCTCCAGCAGAAAGAGCTGGACACAGATCCTTTTATCCTCAGTCCAACTCACCTGCTTGTTTTCTTTGTCGTGTTTTCCAGCTGATGTCTGTGACTCGAACCCTCCTAGGGAGCAGGGGCTTCTCCTTCCTGCTCAAACCCACTGTTTATGCCCAGTTTGTGGCTGGAGAGAATGAGAGTGAGATCTCTGAGTCCATGAAGAAGATGAGCTCGCTGGGCCTGAGGCCGATGCTGGCTGTACCTATCGAGGAGGTCCTGGGAGAGAGCACAGGGTGAGCAGCAACGTAGTGGTGTTAAAAACACTATGGTGCACCAAATAGTGGAGGGTTGATTTTGACACCGTTTTGAGGGGATTTGTTGATCTCCTCACTCTTCAGAGTTAGAATAACAGTATTAAATTCACTGTAAAACCAAGTGTTTGGGGTTAAATCAAAATAACAAACAAAAACACGATCATTGTCGATTTGTTGTGCAAATTTATTCTAAAACTATTCTTGACTTCGTTTTCCAAAAAGCTGCTCATTTTAAACCTAAAACCCCATCAGAAGTGTTGCATCATTACATCACCCACAGCACATTTTTAATTAGTCCTCAATTTGCCGATTTTTAAAAATAATCGGCAGGTGTTCGTGAAATTCATGTCTACTAATGTTCTCATATTACGCTGACTCACGACCAGGGAAAAGCAGTACGACAAAAACATGGAGACCATGCTGGAATGTGTGAAAATGTCCAGCAGCAACACCTGGAGTGTGGACCCGATGATGCAGCTGAAGATCACGGCGCTACTCAGCTCGGAGCTGTGTGTAAGGTTTATTTTAATAAAAGATGTCTTTATTACTAAGAATGGATTTCCTTTGGATTTCAACAGGTTCCGTTTTTGTGGAATACATGAAACCTCCCACATCTGTGCTAGTTCCCAGCTTTGTCACAATATCTGAATGGGAAAAAAGATAAGAACACACACTTTAGTTTGTTCAGTTTATTTATAAAACACACGTCAGCTCGAGACGTTTTACAACACAACAAATTTAAATCGAACCAGATCCAGATTCAGGCTCATTGAATGTAGTTAGTGCAATTAAATTTGAATAAAAACAATGAACACACATTTTCCGGAAGGTGTCAGATAAATGAGATTTATACCATCTTTGTGCTGTTCCCATAATTCCAGGTCATCTGTATTAAATACTGTACTGAGATCCAGCAGAACCAGTACTGACACCAGTCCACTCTCTGAGGCCGACACCGTATGAGAGTTACTTTGCAGCTACTCTCTAAAAAGTTGTAGAAACAGAACATTGAACAGAAATTGAACATAGTTCTATGTGGTTTTCTAGCACAGTGTTTCCCAACCCTGGTTCTCAGGGCACATTTTCCTGCGTGTTTTCCGTGGATCTGCTTCAGCACACCTGATTTACATTGGTTTCTTAGGAGGTCATCAAGTGTTGCAGATGCCTGTTAGTCACCCATTCATTTAAGCCATGTGTGGTAGCAGGAAAACACTGGTGTTTAAAAGGGCAACATGGAAAACATGCAGGACAGTGTGCCCTGAGGACCAGGATTGGGAAACACTGACCTCCTGCATCTGGTTTCTTAGGTTAAGGTTGGATTATTGTTGACGTTATCAGCAGCTACTCTGGGATGGCGCTGATAGCTGAACACAAGCTCCATCACCTTTGTTCCTCAGCATCACTCTCTGGTTTGATCCAGACCCTGTTTTACTTCTGACTGATGAGAATAAACTGCTTGTGTCAAAGGTGAAACTCACAACCCTCATGTCACAACGATCGTATAATCTGAGTCTCCTCGTCAAGGCCATGGATGGACAAGTAAGTCAATAATCCACAAAGACAGACAAACATTTCCTCATGTTGTTAATGGACTTCTGTCTTTTTCAGCATGTCAGCTTCCCTGGGTTGAAGGAAAATGAGGCTGCTCACTTCCTGTGTGGCCTGCAGAGACTCAACACAATAGCAGAGGTACTGGTGTTGATTACATGCATGAGGGACAACTGTGAGACTACTCTAGGTCTAGCTCTACTCTGAGACTACTCTGGGAATTAAGCAGAATAAGGCTGCACGTCATGAACTCACAAGCTGATGCTCGACAACCGATAAACAATCTGACATGAAGCAGAGAGGGTGGAGAACACAAATGAGTAAATATTAAATACAAAACACCATATGTGTCTTTGTCAAAGTTACAACAAAAGATGCATCTCTGACGAAGACACATATGGCGTCGGAACCTTAGCTTCTTGTGTTTTTTTTTTTTTTTGCATCTAATAATTATTTGCTCACCTGAGTCCTCTGACCCCCCTGTTTCATATCTACTCAGGAACTACTCAGAGACCACTCTGAGACTCCTTTGGGATTACTCTTAGAGTACTCTGACAATCACACTTCCCAGGGACTACTTTGAGACTATTCTGAGACTACTCTGAGTCTAGTGAGGGACCACTCTGAGACTACTCTGAGTATACTCAGGAAGGGACCACACTGAGAGTATTCTAAGACTACTCTAAGAATACTCAGGGACCATTCTGAGGCTATTCTGAAATTACTCTGGGACCAACACTTATGAAATACCAACGTGCTCAACAGTAGAAATAATGAAAACAAACAAACATGGATCAATTCAACAACAAAATAAATAATAATTTAGGGACATAAATGTAAGCTTTCCATTAAAATCGAATTAATAAAATAATAGTTTATTATCAGGAGAGTAGAGCTGCGACCCACGTAAAAACAAAATGAGAGCAATATCACATTACAGCATGGTAGCTATTGTTGTAACATTATATAGTTCATGTTTGTACAATATACTATCAGGTTCTTATATTTAAATATTATATTGTAAGGATGTTTTGGGAGATAGTGGCAGAGGAGTTAAGTGCTCGCCCCGTAATCGAAAGGCTGCCGAATCGAGCCCCGCTCAGTCTGTCGTGCCTGCTGGTGGTGGTTGGAGGGACCGGTGGCGCCTGTGCTCGGCAGCCTTGCCTCTGTCAGTGCGCCCCAGGGCAGCTGTGGCTACATTGTAGCTCATCACTACCAGGGTGTAAATGTGTGAATGACTGATTGTGTTGTAAAGCGCCTTGGGGGGTTCCAGGACTCCAGAAGGTGCTATATCAACCACAGGCCTTTTAACATTTACCATTTTATTGGTAGATTGTCCAAATGTGATTTTTTAAAATACAACAATAAAAGTAATCATGTTATTCAGCCTGGGTGGCAGCTTTACTCTTCTGTACTATTTAGAGCACCAGTTTACAACAAAATCATCTCAGTATTTTAGAGAAACTTAGAGAAGTTCATGAAAATGTAACAAAAACTTTCTGAACATTTCATTTAAAACAAATCAGTCAAATCATTTCATTCAGTATAATTTTTTATTCAAACAGTTTAAGTGAGTATATTATGTTTCTACATGTGTTCATATAATCTTAATTTTTAAAGGATTGTTTATCTAGGGCAACAGTGGCGGAGGACCTGTAACCGGAGGGTTGCAGGTTTGAGCCCTGTCTGTTGCAGACTGAATAGCAGGTGTGTGGTAAAGCACCTTGGGGGGTTGTAGAACCCTAGAAGGCACTGTATTAAATACATGCTATTCATCTAAAATGGTACTGTCATATTTTTACAAAATTTATGTTGGTTTCATGCAAAAAACTGATTTTACAATGATGAGGACAACATCAGGCCAACGTGGAGAAGAAAACCCACTTTTGCTCATTTATTTCAATTCCATCCAGATGAAGTAGCTTCGTGAACTAATTTAATCACCTAAATACTGTTCACTGTGTTTTTATTTATAGGCAAGTGTGAACAAAGTCCGAGTCCTGGTTGATGCAGAATACACCTATATTAACCCTGCGCTGTCTCTTGTCACCATGGCGATGATGATGAAGTTTAACAAAGATGGCGCCTGGATTTGGAACACCTATCAATGCTATTTAAAGGTAATTCTCTTTGCTGTCTTCTCCAATATCCTGTCACTGATGGGTTTAACAGCTCCTCCTTGTGTCCCTCAGGAGTCCAGGTCTCTCCTGTTAGAGGCTCTGCGTCTGTCTGAGACCGAAGGCTTCTGTCTGGGTGTTAAACTGGTGAGAGGAGCCTACATGGACAAAGAAAGGAAGCAGGCAGAGAGAGAAGGTCAAGAAGATCCGGTCCACGGAAGCTGGGAGGACACCAATAACAGGTAGCCACTCTATATAAAATACAAGCTGCAGTAGCAAAACATATTCAGATTTGATCTCTTCTAGAATCAGATCAGTGTAGAAACTCTGGTGATATTTACAGACAGGAAAGGTCTTGATAAGACTGCAAATAGAGCAGGGATGTCTCAAAGGCTCCACTAAACTGAGAGTTTTGTCTTTATTTCTTTTTCCCAGTTATAACGGGTCCCTAGATTTGATGCTGGATGTAATATCTGAGAAACCTGAGAGCTACAGAATCATAGTGGCTACTCATAACGAGGAGTCAGTGAGGAGAGCCGCCAAACGGTAAGGATGTGTAGACAACAAACACACAGCTGGTTTAGGGGCATAGCTGCATGACGAGCAGCATGGTGGCACAGTTGCCTCACAGCAAGAAGGTTGCTGGTTCGAATCTCACTAGCATGCAGTATGTGAGTTTTCTCCAGGTGATCCAGTTTCCTCCCACAGACTAAAAACATGTATGTTAGGTTGATGGGGACTCTAAATTGTCCCTAGGTGTGTGTGACTGGTTATTTGTCTCTGTGTGGATCTGCGATGGACCTGTCCAAGATGTCCCCCACCTCTCCTCTGATGACTGCTGAAGATGATATCTGTAGCCTAACAAAATAATTAACACATTTTTTATTTTTAACTTAAAAAAAGAGAATCCAACTGTGATGCAACAGGAGATATGTAAATGCTGAGTGAGTGGGTTTTTTTCATGAGTCATGTCATAAATCTCATAATACAACGAGGTGGGGACAGGCCCAGCTTTTTATTTTTCAAAAAATATAATAAACAAAACAGTTGAGCATACTGTTTTACAAGGAAATGACTCACTGCAGCAGCAGAAATGTCCGACTGCGCTTGGCTACTTCAGAGCAACACATGGACGTCATCAGCTGCATCACAGCTGGATCTAGGATCAGAATACGACCATACGTGACATCATACAGTATTGTATATCTGTTCTATATCTGTATATCTTCTGCTGTGAAGATGTCACAAAATGTTTTGTTTTCTACCTCAACTGCTACGTTGGGCAGCAGTAGCTCAGGAGGTAGAGCGGGTTGTCCAGTAAGGTTGCAGGTTTAAATCCGGCTCTGACCAGAGAATGCTGCTGTTGTGTTCTTGGGCAAGACATTCAACCCACGTTGCCTGCTGGTGGTGGTCGGAGGGACTGGTGGCGCCAGCGATCGGCAGCCTCGCCTCTGTCAGTGTGCCCCAGGGCAGCTGTAGCTACATCGCCACCAGGGTGTGAATGTGTGTGTGTGTGTGTGTGTGTGTGTGTGTGTGTGTGTGTGTGTGTGTGTGTGTGTGTGTGTGAATGGGTGAATGACTGATTGTGTTGTGAAGCATCTTGGGGGGTTGTAGAATCCTAAGAAGGTGCTATACACATATAGACCATTTACCATTTGAGTCGCTTCTTTAAATATTCCACACTGAATTTCCAGGATGGAGGAGCTGAACATAAACAAAGATGGCGGCTCGGTGTGCTTCGGCCAGCTGTTAGGAATGTGTGATCACGTCTCTCTTACTCTGGGTAAGATGGACAGTCAGTCAATAACTCAATAAAGGTCTTGCATTTTTATTAAAATGACAGCAGGACGTTACAGAAAGATTTAATTCATTTGCTCCTGTGGTGATTTTTCTTTGACTTCTTCTTCCCTTTAGCTCAGGAAGGTTATATTGTGTACAAGTCGGTGCCATATGGCTCTGTGGATGACACGCTGCCCTACTTGGTGCGCCGGGCTCAGGAGAACCGCACAGTGCTGCAGGGGATTCGTAAAGAGAGGGATCTGCTGAGGCAGGAGCTGAAACACCGACTGAAGCTGAGTCTGAAGGGAGCGAGCTGATAACAGAAGAGGACCCAAAGTGAAATGGTGTCAGATCTAGCTGACAGACACTTTACTAAGATAAACAGAAATATAACACACACACACACACACACACACACACACACACACACACACACACACACACACACACACACACACACACACACACACACACACACGCACGCACGCACGCACGCACACACACACACACACACTTGCCTGTGTACGGACAATTAAAGGTCAACTTAACAGATTTTCTTCTAATTGATCATGGGTCACTCTGAGTGTTTCATGCAGGCTGAACATGAAAATAGGCTCCTACACCTATCTTACGCCTATTGTTTTCACCCGGGGGGTGGGGGGGGGGGGGGGTGGGGGGGGGGCAAAGCAGACAGAGTCAATGGTCACATTGCTTTTAGCCAATCCAAGTCGATATTTCCAAATATCTGGGAGTACTATAATCCTGCCGTGTTCAGCTCAACTCTAATCTGGCTCACTTCTAGTTCCACAAACAGGTGCATCGTTGTGTTTTTTCCCCCCAGAGTACAACTCACGTCTAGTTTATACTTCTCCATCTGTGAAGGTGCAGAGAAACACAACACCTTTATTTGTGGTCATAAGGGCTCTTAAGGACAGAGTACAGCCTAACTTTCTCAAGATTCGTTGAAAGTGACAGAGGCCACAAGCCTGTGATTGGCCAGGATGCCGCCTCCTTTAACTTTGCTGACAGCACCGCCATAAAATAAATGAGAGCCAAATAAATTTAGCGGCAGAGACTGAGAGCAGACTGAAGAATGTCTTGAAGAAAAAGTCTGACGATATAAACATTAATACAACCATGACCGAAGGAGTACGAAGATACGCAACAAAGGTTTTATTCATGGACGGAAATGATGGGAAACGGGGGTTTAGAGGTGGTGACGATGAAGAGGTGGAGGAGAATGAGGGGCAAACTTGTCCACGTTAAAAAGTCTCTGTACAAATACAAACGCACTAGAGATATGACTGCATTGATGGCAGGATACCCCTTACACCATCTGCAGTCCTGACAGAGATTGACACACCAACTGGGAAGTATAGCCCGCCCTTTTTTTATTAATGCATAACTTCCACAAAAGGGGACCATCACCGCCATCTTGGCCATGTCACACATCTTGTCACGCCCAGATAATCAAAAAATGGCAAAAGAGGTGGAGCAGAGAGTGGGGCTGTGGGAGTGTGAGCCAATGGTTGACACCCATATGTAGCTACAACAAGCTAACCAAAGCTTCACTGACCTGGTAGCCATAGCTTACCCGAAGCTAATGGAGGATTTTGAACGCTTTTAGCTAGAAAAACATAGTTAAGTACAAACCTGCTGACGGAGATGTATAAACTAAGCGTTACAAGGTATTTTTCCTACTAGAAACCACTACAAACGTATTAAAAATACAAGTGGAGTTGACCTTTAAAAATGTCTGTTTGTGCTGAATCATATCTCAGGTCCCAACCTTTAATTTTTTGTGATTTTTAATAGAATATAAATAAAGAAATGTAAACACATATTTTTTGTAACAGACTTCTAATAAAAAGCTCAATTATCCAATGAACATGGTTTTTGTGTTGAACTGGTTCACTCCCTGAGTTTTAATGAGACTTATTTGTATTTTGACAGTTCACACGTACCTTTGATCAAAACCACAAAGATCACAACAATATATTGAAATAGTTCCCTGTGCGTTCTAGTACGAAATTGAAGTTTAAATTTGTTTCCTTTGGTAGTTGTCCACCAGAAATTCCAGATGTCAGTGCTCTACCGTTTACCCTGAACAGGTTAAACAGGTCATACAGGTGACTAGAAACATAAGCATATGATACAAAGTTCTTTATGTCAGAAATTGAACTTAAAAGGTGAAACTAAAATGAGATACAAGTCAAGCCAGAGATTTCAAGCGTTTGTTATAATTGTGATGACTGTGGCTTACAGCTTATAAAAACCCCACATTCAAAATATCAAACAATTAGAATATTATGAAAAGGTTCAATATTTTGGACTCAAAGTGTTACTCTTCACCTAATGAATCCAGAACACCTGCAAGGGGTGTGAGCCTTTAGATGGTCTCCCAGTTCAATTGAATTACTTATGAATGGACTTTAGCACCGTATTATTTTCCAGTTTCACCTGCAACTTGATGAGGTTTTTGTCACTGGGACACACTCACCAGTAACATTTTCAATGCAGTACTGGAATTTGACCTTTTCTCAACAGTGAAGACTCTGTAACCAGATCTGGGCCTTCATTTATCAACCGTACTTACGAATGGATCTGTGCAAGTTTTGTACGTAGAAACAATTTCACGCGTTGTGTGGTATTTACCAGTTTGTGCTACTTGTGTGTAGAGATGTTCCTAAATGTAAGAACAGCTCTGACCATGCGTACGAACAGCATCTAGTGGTAGAACAAGGGAACCGCCACATTGAAGATCTCAGTCATCCTCATACGTTCCTCAACCACTAAACGTTTTACCCAAGAAATATTTATTTAGGTGGAAAAACAGCTGCGTCACAGAACTGGTGCTACAACACCCATGAGTGACGGGAATCTGTCATTGTAGGATGGCCGATTTCGTTATCACAATTTCTACTCTACCCATTTTATGATGCTTTAAATTCATTAATTATTTAGTAAGTTTTTATAACCTCTGCAACTTGTTTGGTTCTTTTGCACTTCGGCAGCCAGTGTCTCAATCTTGGTGTCAACGTTTTTGGGGAAAACCCAGAGATTTCCCTCACGTGCGGAGGATGTAGCGTGACTAAATATGGTTGAGAGCTTCTGCATGTAAATAGCTGAGAACGGAGACGAGCACCTGGGTACACACAGGCGGGATTTATCACAGTTGCAGAGAAACGTGTATGAGAGGCCATGTTTCACAAATCATGTTTTTGTTCAGGACTATAGGACAATTTCTACTAGGCTTATGTAAATGAGGGCCCTGGTGTTTGGTTGTCTAAATGTCTCATAATGGATTTAAAAGCACAGACTAACGTCACTAATTTTCACACGTCAAACTTTAACAGAGCTAAACAGGAATTTTTCAGCTGATGAAAAAGGAAAGTTTTACTTTTGCTTTTCAATAATATAACAAATTGTTTTTCTAAGGTTCAACATAAATGTGTAAAATTCCATGTAGATGAAACTATCCACACTAGTTTTATTTTTGTATGAATGAAACTCAAGACACAAACTTTATTATTTACTTTATTTCCTTCTGTCAGAGTTAGTTGACATGAGCTGCTGCCTCTTCAGCAGTGTGAGGATCAGGTGTGTACAGTTCTGACTGTGAGCTCGGGTTATGGTGCTGTTGAGGAATGAAGACGACGCTCGGTGGGAAAAACTGAGATCCAACATCAGTAGCCGCCTTGGTTCTGGTTCCTGTAGCCGCCTCGCTGGTATCCACCCTGCTTCTGCTGGTAGGAGCCTTTCTGATCTGTGTCCATGCAGACAGTTTAATCACATCATTACAAACGCTCTCAGATCCCATTCACACAAGGCTCTAAATTTAAATGTTTAACCGCTTTCATTGTCTAAGAATAACAACCAGAAACCCAAATAACCAACTATGAATAATAAAAAAATAAAATAAAATAATAAAAAACGAGGTACCTCTCTGGTACGACTGCTTCTGCTGGTAACCACCTTTCTGATCTGTAAAGCAAAAGGAAGTGAGCTGTGAGCTGAGCTGTGGAGGTCCAGACGAGTTCAGATCCACAGACACCTCTCTCTCCTGCTCCTTGTGGACGTCCCAGCTCACCTCTGTTGAAGTATCCTCCGTAGACGCCCTGTTTGAGGTCGAAGATGCGCTCGTTGTTCTCCACCAGGCTGCCCAGTTTCTCCGCCAGCTGCAGAGCCATGTTCTGCAGGGAGGTGGGCTCTGTGCGGTGCATCACCACCGTCTGTGTGGGCTGGTCCAGAGATGCCTGTGTGGAAAAGAGCAGAAAAAAACCAGTTAGAGCATTTCATTAACATACATCTGTGAACACAGAAGCCCTGAAACTCACCATCAGCTCCTCGTTGATGATCATCTTGCTGATGATGCTGTGGACCGTTGGGATCTCCAGCTCAAACATCTCAGACAGCGTCTGCATGCTGCAGGACAACAATTATAGTTGTTGTTAGCTGAAAAGGTCATCTTTAGACCAGAATGGAAGCAGAGCGGATGTTTTTGTGCTCTCATGTGGTTTACCTGATGGAGTCATAAACACTGCTGTACGTGAACAGGTACGTCCTCAGAGACTCCTCCTGGATCTTCCTATCAAATGAAACACAATCATGATTATAAAACGATGAACAAAGTAGAATTAAGCACAACTATTAACCCAACAGCCACAATAACACGAGATTAGGATTAACCGCCCACCTGACGAGCATCTCTCGTACTCGTTGCGTCTCAGGAAACAGGTCCCACACTTTACTGTTCATCTTCTCATTAATGATGAACGAGTGGCAGGTGCGCCAGTCTCCCATCTTCATGGCCTTGCTGGCAGCCACCACGTGCTCCCTCATGCTCTCTGGCGGTCCTGGAGGGTAAAAAACAGAGCTGTCACCGCCTCTTGTTGCTTTGAACCAACCCCGATGGCGCTGAAGCTTCAGGAGACATGTTTGGTACCCAGCAGCGGTTGTCTCTCTCCCACTCTGAGCTGGTGATGGAACTGCTTGCTGATCATCCTGCGGCGAGCGTCAAACTCATGGGCGGCCATGTAGGGGATTTCTAACAGCATTGCCGACACCAGGTACACACACTCCAGCAGCTCCAGGTTGATGTGCATGTGGAACGGGACCTACGGAGTGATGTAATGGGTTAAATTTGCGTGATGCTTCATCTTTCCAACACTCTTCCAGGACTTACTTGTCTCCTCTTCTCAATCTTCTCCTGCTCAGCATTCCTCTCCTGCATGTTCCTCATAAGTAAACCCTGACCCAGCAGCTCTTTGGCTCGGCCCGATGACTGGATGTCCAGCAGTGCATTGTGGGCATCTTTGATCATGCCCTGTCTGAAAGCACAAATGCCCAGCTGCACCATAGTTCTGTTGTACAGGATCTAGAGGAGGGACAGTCAATGTACACGAGTGGAGTTTTCACTGAAAGCACGTTTAGTTAAAGTCCAGCTCCACCAACCTGGACAGGTGGGTCAGCATGCTGGATGTTGTCCTGCAGGTGGCTCATGAGCATCAGGTCACGGGCCTGGTACCAGCGTGAATGGAGGGCGTGGTGGTAAATGTGGCAGAGGATGGCGCAGGTACGGATGCGATCGGTGCGATCCTTGGCGTAAATGAACTTGCAGAGTCGGTCCATGATCACAGCGCTGTCCTCCCCCTCGCTCTCCTCCTGGTCCTGCTCGGACTGAACCGACAGAATCACTCAGAACAGAAACCCTCAGGGAAAGGTCTTCGTCTTTTCTAAAACGTCGGGGTGCTGATCTCACCTTTGTCTCTCCCTGGAGGCCCAAGCTGCGTCTGTGAGCTTTGTAGTCAAACTTGTAATAGGTGTGCATGATCCTGCGCAGGTAGACCCGACAGATCTCTTCCGTGGAGCCCTTGTTCTCCATGTAGCTGAGCAGCCGGTCGATGATTCCACAAACCCGGCCTTCATCTTTCAGATTGTCTACATACTCTGCACCAGCAAAAACAGGCTGATTAAAGGGAGACATGATCCAACAACACAATCTGGGGTTTTCTTTGAGTTTTGTTTTTAATTTTTCATTCGTCAACGACTCTTAAGGACTATTTTAAATGTTAACAGCTACGAGGAGGGGAAGGAAAGCCCGTTTTAGCCTAACCCTTACCCTGAGAATGAGGGTCGGTGTTCTGCATGATCTTAGTGAACTCTTCATCCATCCTCTCAGCCAGCGTTAAGATACAACCACGAACCCTGAAAGGCTGCTGCACAAACACAGAGCAGTCTTCTAGTTCTGTTCAAACACACAAGTGAGACAAAGCAACAAGGACAGCGCCGAGTTCCTAAATAATAATATTTACACGTTAGACCCACGGTGTAGTTTAAAACCAAACATCAAACAACATAAGGAGGAGTCAGTGTCCTCTGGGTCGGTAGCAGAGCGGTTAAACCCGGTAACCTAGGTAACCAGGATGTGAACCAGACGCTCCCTCACAGATAAGTATAAAACACCAGGTCACCTGCTCAGAGACGGCCAGGTTCTCGCTGTCCTCCGCGATGTTCTCCCCGATGAAGATGTTGTTGTTCTCAAACAGAATATCCAGCAGCTCGTCGATACAATCGAGGCATTTCTTCCACATGTCGGGCTAACAACAAACCAGAAACCAAGAAGTTCGACTCTTTCGTTCAAAACGATTTAAGACATTTTCTCAGCTAATCAAAAACCTGTTAGAAGCTGCAAACACTCATGAAGTCTTCATGAACTTGTGAATGTAAGGCGCACCTTCATGAAGGCTGCCAGGTTGGGGTTGTAGTCGTAGAGGGAGGCGATAATGTTGAACTTGATCTTGACCAGGATCCCTTGTCCCAGGTTGTTCTCGTTAGAAATGGCAGCAAGAGCATGAAGGAGATCGATCTGAGCGGCCCTGTCAGCAGAAACCCACCAGCGAGGGTTAGAAACAGGACAAGCTTCTGTTTTACGTCTAAAGCGCTGGCTGGATTGATGCATGGCGACGCGACATGTGCAGTAGGGCTGAACCACTTTAGGAAAAGATTCAACTGCAACTTTTCTAGGAGAAATTGCAATTTCAGTTCAATTCACAATTTCCTTCAAATCAAGGTTCAACACATTATTCATAATATAGAATATATGTTTTATATAATAAATATTACAATATAGTCATACAGTACAAAATGCAAAGCTAATCATTTTTTCTCCCATTATTTTTAAAGTGCTTGTGGAGCAACTTGTGATTTTTATCAGGAAAGGTGCTTTATATTAAGCATTTTCTTGTTCTACTCAGTGTAAAAAAGGAAAACTGAAGATAAAAATAACTTTCAAATGTAAATAAGAAAATATTTATAGAGCTTTCTGCATCACCGAGGCAGGCTGCCTGGACGTTCCTGTGCCGTCTGAACGCACTAAAACACTGCTTTAACTCTGACATGTTTGTCTGAATTACTGTGTGCCATCAGAAAAATTCAATCCATTTACGTAGGAATCAGCCGTTAGTGTTGTTATGCTGACGTCTCTCTCTCTCTCTCTCTCGCCCTCATGGTGCTGAGAGACGCCACCCGCTGCAGACCAACGGCCACAGTCATTATTACTGGCTCTAACAGTGCGATGTATTGACAAATAAAACAGGGAAAATAACCAAAATGTGCAACTCTGTCAGCTGAATCACTGGGCTCGGCTTCAGTACCCCCCCTCCCTTGACGATGGCGCTGTTTAAAATCGCAATTTTGGTCCAAAACGATACTCAACAGGCGGCCCGCAGGCCAGGTCTGGTGCACCTGGCTACATTTGAGTAACCCTGCGATAGCTCGTTCAGCCTTAAGGTGCAGATTAAATATTGATTTGTAAATGCTCATAAATGATTATAAACAAACAGCCGGCAGGAACATAAAAGTTAGACGAGTCACCTGGAAACTTTAGGGAATGGACCAGAGGGAAAAAAAAAAACAGCAATGGTGGAAGCTTGTTTACTAGCTTTAGCCACTGAGTGGGTGATTTACTCGTAGCTCCATCACAGACCCCTCCCTTTAGCTTGAACAGAAGTTATTTTTATGCCGATCAAAGCCACGCTCCAAGTTTTTCTCACGAGTCGTTCCAGAAGGTTTGTCCTTCACAGTCCCACGTGAGCTGTCTGGCGACGTGAGCTTCAGCTCTACATCCAGAAGCTTTGCATCGCTCCAGTTAGGCGTCTCAGGTGATTCGGTTACAAAAGCTAAATTTACGGCCCGTGTTTACTTTCATTTTCAACATTCACTTTTATCCTGTACATGTATGGCAAAGGTATGTGGGGTGAGTGCCAGTTAGTGTGGGCTGAATTCATTTGAACGTATGAAAAATGATACGTGAGAAAAAAATACTGCCTCAACAGTCGTGATTGTGGTAATCATGATAATCGTTTAATAACCAAGTCTTAGGACCCCGGTTAAAAATCGAATCTACAGGAACCCTAATGGCACCCCCATTTACCTGTCTGTCCCCTTTTTGCCTCTGGCCTGCAGGATCTCATTCAGCTTCTTCACCACCACGGCGGTGTTGATCTCTGTGCCTTTAGCAAACATCTTGGGCTTCTCCTGATGGATCCACAACAAAACCGTGTCACCTGGTGCTGAAACACGTCCTGCTCCAGCATCAAATGTAAAACGACGTCCTGCTTTACCTTAAGGAGAGGGACGCCTCCTTTAACCTTCTCCCAGGGTCCGTCGCCCTCTTCTCCCTCCCCCTCCAGCTGCTCCTCCTCCAGCCGCACCTTTTGGATCTTCTTCTTCTTCTCGCTCTTTTTGATGCTGGGTCTGTCGGGTCCAGCGGTCCTAGAGACGTTTACAGTGATCAGAACACACGCTCCAACTGCATTCACCACTTGCCTCATACACCCTCAGCCTCACTTCTTGAGGAAAACTGTGGCCAGTGACTTGCTCTTCCCCTCTTCATCACCAGAACTCTCACTGCCACTCTCCTCGGTGTCTTCCCCCCAGCCCTCACCGTCATCATCATCATCACTAGAAGAGGACTCGTCCTGATGAAGGGAGGACCATCAGTGCTCCATCAGATCACAGATCTATCCTTAACCTAAATCCCGACTCTTACCCCAGACTCTTTTGCACTTTTGAGGAACTTGCTGGCTTCAGAAACACCTTCAGGCTTTTTCTTTAAGAAGGATTTAGCTGAAACTCCATCTTCATCATCTCCTTCACTTTCAGAGGAGGATCCTTCTGTAAGAGAAATGTGTAAAAGACGACTGTTACAGCCTGATGTTATCCAGGAACAGTCACACAAGCATCCAACAGACTGCTGCTGTGCAGTAAATAATGTACTTACAGGGTAAAAGATGAGAAGACATTTTTCATTACTGTGCTTTAATAAACACAGGACTTTAAATTAGCTCTGAATGCATTTCACTAATCTATAAAACGCCGGGGCAAGAAACAAAAAACCAAACAAACCAGAATCATCCTCCTCCTTTTCCTCCTCTTCATCTGCAGACTCTTGTGGGTTCTAATGGGTAGAAAATATATTTAGACAACTATATCATTTATTTTCTCTATTTTAAAGTCCAGAACCATGAGACGATTTCTGTATTGACCTCCTTATATGATGTGATTTCTGCTTCAAAGTCTCGGTTGTACTTGCGGATCTTCTGACGCAGTGTGCTCAGGGCTTTTGCGTTGTTTTTGTTCATCTTCTTCTTACCCTCTTTATCCTCCCAAAGCTTTAAAAGAACAATTTTTCTTAAGAGATGCGGGAAAAGCTAAAACGGAATCAAACGTTTGACGACCAACCTGGTTCAAGTAGTCCTCCAAGTCGGCCAAAAGGCGGATGTAAAAAGAAGGGACACCCTCTTTGTCCACTATGTTCTTGCTTTTTAGGAAGGCTCGACATAACTGCTCAAACTCCTCCAAGCATTTGGCCATGTCACGGATCTTCATGGCGTTGCGAATTGTCTTTATCAAATTAGTCAACTCCTCAAACCTAGGGTTTAAAGGGGGGGTTGTTTCACAAAAGATCTCACAAGCTGCAGTTTTTAAGTTATGCTGTGAACAAAATACCTTTTGTCTTTGGCGCTGCGCACCACCCTTTTGGTGTCCTCTTCATCGTCACTAAGAAGCAGTGACCTGCAAAAGAAAAGCAGGAGATCGATTCATTTCAAACACGATCATAATAAGAAAGGATGTTTTACAGCTTGGTGGTGAGGTTTATGTTTGAAACTGGGACTGACTGCTTGAAATTTCCTCCGGATGCTTTAGGGGGGGCCTCTTCGAAGGACAAGGACTCCTCAGACTCACTGTCTGACCCAGTGGCGAAGAAACGAGACATCTTTGAAAGGACTTCTCAATCTGCATGGACAGGAGGACACATTCGATCTACAGGGTTTGACTGAACGCATCAAACACAACATGAGTTATTCCAAATATGGCAGTGCAGTAGGTTACTATGACCCGCTTATGGTGTTTGAATGTATGGCGACCCCCTTTAAGAACAACACAAGTACTGACACCTTAACCGCACTGCTAAGGATGCGGCAGAAAAACACTACAGCCATTGATAAAACAGTTCTGTCACCACTCACTCTACAATGCTGAGCTAGCTCAACACTTAATAGCTTAATAAGGTCTTCAGCTGTAAGGACAGGCAGATGTGGGATGGAGCTAATGGAGCGTCTGAAGCTAACTAAACATATGGACACAGACAACCAGAAGGCGTACTTATTTTACGAGGCACCTTTATATCGAATACACACAAAACACCCGCCTCCTGTTAAAAAAGGTAAATAATTGAATCTTTTAATCGGAAACCGTAGGCCACCGCTGTGTCGCGCGGTGTTGCTAAGCTAATAGCAGGCCTCGCGCACATAAACAGCAGATCACCTTCACCTGAACCACAGCTCAGATATGGGTTTACTCAGCTAAAAATAATCCTTACCTATGTTTTTGTGAAGTTTCTATTATATTTTTGTCTGCGCTGAACACTTGTAAAATCCAGCTTTGCAGGAAAAGGTGCAACAGAAAACGCGTGTAGCAGCCTTGCCGGGTGCTTGCGTCAGAAAAGGAAGTCCGCCGCAGATCTACACAACAAAAGGATGGGCCCCTCCACAGGGCGGTTTGAGCTATGCTGCCACCTAGCGGCGGGACCTCACGAAATGATCAAATAATCTACCAAAACAATGAATAAACAATACACCAATAGTTTGTTTAAATAATTGTGTAAAAAAAAAAAAAAAAAAAAAAAACACATGGCCGAGCCTGTATTCGGCATGATTAGTGTTCTTATACTTAATAAAATAAATAAGTTACAAAACACATATTTCACAGCAGATTTATTTCTGTTAGTTAAATATGTGGCATGTCAGAAAGATGTTGGCACTGGCAAATAAAAGTACAAGAAGAATCAACGTTACATACACGCAGAAACAGTTTATTGATAAAAGGTTATAGTCAATCTAAAGCAAATTAAAAAAGCATAGAAAGTGTGGCACTCCGTTTATTAAAGAACTTTTCAAATATGTTATAAAACATTTCTGGTTTCATGTCATACAGAGTATTTTTTGGTAAACCAAAGATTTTATTTAAACGTATGACAATAAAAGACCCATCATTGACATGAACCCCATTTAAAATCCAACATTTCAATAAATCAAGCTTTAATATGCAGAAGATCTTGTACAGTTAATGAAGCTTTCAGCAGTCGTCTGGTTTTCTGTACTTGAGCAGCTCTAAAGACAAGAGAAAAGATCATTAGATCATTTGGTAAATGGCCTATATTTGTAAAGCATCTTCTTGGGATTCTAACCCCCCAAGGTGCTTTACAACACAGTCATCCACCTGCTCACACGCACATTCACACACTCATGATGAGCTACAGTGTAGCTACATGCTGATGGAAGAGAGACTTCTGAACACTGGCCCTGCCCATCCCTCCGATCACCACCAGCAGGCAAGGAAGGTTCTTGTCCAAGGGCACAACAGCAGCATTCTCTGCTGGGAGCCGGGAGTGAACCTACAACCCTTCGATTACTAACCCGCTCTACCTCCTGAGCTACTGCTGTCCATTTAACACATGAAACAAGTCTAGTGCAGTAGAAAACTTCCAAATCATCAAGATATTGTAAACATTAAAGATTTACTACAATATGAAAATCAAAATATCCCAAATAGTTAGGTCTGAAAACAGCATCATTTAGCTTGTGTTGTTCCAACTCACCTGCAGTGTTCAGGTAAACATAAAAACTCAAACGTTACCTTCATTCAGCCTCTGCACTTCTTCTGACTTTAGCTTGAGTTCCTCTTGGAGGACCATACATTTGGCACAACCTGCAGCAGCAAGAGGGGATGTCAGATAACACACGCACACATACACACACCTGGAGGTAGAATTAGATTAGTCTGATAAATAGTAAACTTACCGTGGCTTTGGGAGGTCGCCAAAGGAGCTCTCTGATTGGCTCCGGGTGGTTTCAAAGCTCTGAATTTGCTGGGTCTGTCACATGATGTTGAGGTTCCAGAGGTTCCTGCTGTTGGCATCTCAGCATCTGAAGGAGAACAGGAGCTTATCAGAGCTGAACCCAGACTACCTCAGTAATCATTACCCACCATTCCTTTGGACTTTAGTAGGGGCAGACGTCTGACCAATGACAGGCCGCTTTAGGGTTTTCACCTTGCTTGCAGAATCACCAGGAGATGCTGGGGCCTCTGCATTAATAGATGTTATTTACAAGATCAACTATTTCTCCACGGCTAAAACTTGAGATGCAAAATGTTAACCAATAATTTATTTTTGAAGTGGTCCTTGTTATGGAAATTTTATATTTCATTACTTTAGTCCTATTAACAAATCTATTAACTGAATGTCCTGAAAGCACGCACACACACACACACACACACACACACACACACACACACACACACACACACACACACACACACACACACACACACACACACACACACACACACACACACACACACACACACACACACACACACACACACACACACACACACACACACACCTTATGTATTTGTGTAAATAAACTCTGAGACCAGATGTTCGGGGCATTTGCCCTGTGCACTTGCCACAAATCATGATTTGGTTGTATGTCTGCCTCATCGTCTCCTTTTCTCTCTCTGGCTGCAGGAAATGGGTTTATTGATAAAATCCCTAACAGTCCTACTGAGTCTGATGCTGAAATTAGATCTCAGACATGAAACATCTGATCCAGATGCTCCAAGAGCTGCGACTCGGTAACCAACTACCTGTTTTTTTCTTCTTTGACACGGGCAAAGCTTCTCCCTTTGGAAATGGGTGCTTCTTTCCCTGTGGCTGCTTCACCACAGGATTGGGAACTGGATCAAGAAGGAAATCAACATGTTAGAACCACAGACCAAAGCTTCAAACCTATCAGGTCTCAAGGACCGCAATTATAAAGACAAGAAAATAAAGGTTTTCTCATTTTAAATGATTGCAAAAGTAAAAATGTGTTGGATTATTACAACTTTAATTATAACTGTCGACCAGGGGCGTCCAAACTTTCAAGAAAAGGACCAAAATTGTTGAGTTAGTCCTCACGGCCACAAGCATGCCGGGCCAGGTCACAGTTTAGACACACCTGTTGTAAACTTTAAAACAAATAACATATCAAATAAATCCATGGCTGCACAGTGGTGCAGTGGCTAGCACTGCTGCCTTACAGCAAGAAGGTCCTGGGTTCAAATCCCGACCTGGGGTCTTTCTGCATGAAGCTTGTATGTTCTCCCTGTGCATGCGTGGGTTCTCTCCGGGTACTCCGGCTTCCTCCCACGGTCCAAAAAAACACGACTTTTAGGTTAATTGGTCTCTCTAAATTGTCCTTAAGTGTGAGTGTGTGTGTGTGCTTGGTTGTTTGTCCTGTGTGTCTCTGTGTTGCCCTGCGATGGACTGACAATCTGTCAAGGGTGCACCCAGCCTGCACGCCCGGAGACAGTTGGAGATAAGCCCCCCCCCCTGACTCTGCAAGGATAAGCGAGTAAAGACGACGGATGGATGGAAAACAAAACCACACAAAAGCAACAGTTCACCCATTTATGACCTGTGCGGTGACACTTCTCAGAAGAAAAGTTGCTCCTAATCAGAATTTTCTTCTTCTGTGTACCTTCACCTTTGCTCCGGCCGCAGGGTGGAGCAACCCAAACGACACGGAGATTAATGAAAAGGTTTAGGTCGGCTGTTGCATGTTAAATTACAGAAATGTGAACCCAGCCTACAGTCTCATGAGGAGTTAAGGGCGTGGGAATAGTCTGACAAGAGCACATGTATTTGGCATTTACATAAAAACAATAACAACAACAATGAAAGCATACAGCTAGGTTCTTTGAGAATACCTGCAGGTCCTGAGGATGCTAGCATGTGTGTTCTGGCCGTTGGTAATCGCTGTCCTGTTGTCAGTCGTGGGATGGTGCTAGATGGAGGTCTCTGCAGGTCAGGAGGAAGCTTCCTGGAAGCTGGAGTGCACACAAATGTGTCGGCTTTAGTAGAATACAATACAAAAGTAAACGAATGAAGGTGATCAACACTCCTCCTTTACCTGCTGTTAAAGACTTCAGGTTGTATGATCCTGAAGTCCCAGCGTTCTAAAACAGAGCAGGACAATATCAACCAACCGTCCTCTAGGCTTATACAAATACCCATATCCAGTGATCATCCTACCCTCCGAGGCTCCTCCATAGCAGCAGAGGGTTTCCCAGCAGCCTCTTGGATTCTGGAATGCTTCAGAGGCAGGCCGGCCGACATCTTCTCCAGGCGTCCAGGGACGGTGGATCCCCGCCGGCTCATTGACGACTGGGGAGCAACTCTTGAAGGCGGGCGAAGGGTTCCAACAGCAGGCTGCCTCATGAAGGTTTTTCGGTCACCGACTATGTTGGGTGGGATATCCGATACCGCCGCGTCAGCAGGCTTACTGGGACCAGCTTCATAAAGCTTTTTGTGAGCCGCCTCTCTGATTGAGCCAACGTTAAAACTTTTACAGCTGGTCATCGGTGTTGAAGTAATCAAAAGGTCTACTCTAAAATCCAGAGTTTTATCCAGATTGAACTCGGGTGTTTTGTTGCTCACGGCGTCCACACTTTGGTTGTTTGGCGTGTCGGAAGAACCATCCCTTACAGGCAGACCCGACTGCGACAGATGTTTGGCGTCACCTCCATCATCTCCAGAAACGCCTTCCAGAGCAGGTGTGACTTCCAAAGTGTCACCAGGTTTTTCCTCCGCCCCTGGCGGCGGCATGGCCTCGTGCCTCGGCAGCTCTTTGGGGGTTTCTTCTGAATCATTGCGATTTAGGCTGGTGGTTAAATTACAGACTTTAGGAAAGGAGGGCTTGTCCAAAGTGTGATGACCATCAGTCAAGCTGATCTCCGACAGAGTGATCGTGCCATTTCTCTGAGAGGGGGCTTTACAGTCAAACGTGAGGTTCTCGAAGCCGACGGCAGCAGCTTCTAAAGTAGAGCCCCCGCTGCTTTTTTGAAGAGAGGATTTTTCAAAGTTTTTCTTTTCAGAAAAGCTGCTTTGATTTACAACAAAGGATGTTTTGGCAACCGACTCCGCTTGATTCTTGGTCTCAGATTCTGCGGTTGGATTGTTTACAGTTGGAAGGTCTAGCGTATTATTCCCAGAACAGGAAGCAGAGGTGCTAGAATCAGAAGAAGCAGTCATGTTGGAAGACGGGACTGTAAACGTGTCGTTGGCTGATGCTGCGGGTTCTGGACTTTGCTGTGACATCTTGTTGGTTGACTTGGTGTCACAGCAGGTCTGGTTCTCTTCATTCTTTGTTTCTACAAGATTGTTGACCTCTTTGGGTCCAGAATGCAGACACACATCAGACGGGATTTCCTTTGAACTACTGTTACCACTAGAGGCGCTTATATCGTGAGTAATATTTGCAGGTTGGGGGACAACTTTGTCCTCATCTGATGTGTGAGATGTTTGCATTTTCTGTCCACTAGTCTCTGATGAAAATGTGCCATTTTCCAAGGTACTACCCACAGAAATGTCACGAGTTACTTCCAGGGACATTCTGATAGTCCTTTCTGCTGCACACTTTGGGGATTGCATACTCGTACTCGACACATCCTTGTTTAGAAACACGTTTGAACTGCTGGGTTGTGACTCAATCCGTCTACTTGGTTCTGGCAAAGTGTTGCTGTCATTCAAATAATGACACGCGGGAATATCACGAATAATGTCCAAAGACGAAATCTGACCAACCGGTGAGAGATCATTGTTGTACGAAACATCAAGAAGAGTGATCTCAGTGTCTAGTATCCCCGCCAATGCAGAAGCACTCTTGGTACGGAGGTCTGCGCTCGTTGTCGTGGCGGTCAGCTGTGGTACCTCAGAAGATCCACCACTTTCTCCAACACTCACTTGAATTTGATGGGTTTCATCACTAAATGTTGTAGTTGAACCTTGAGGGAGGACTGAATCGTTTGCTGTTAAGTGTAAGTAGGTAAGCTCAAGCGAGGAAATTTCAGGCAAGCTCTCCTCTTCAATCAGGGAGAAAGGAGCCTCTTTAGCCCAGATTTGTCTCCAGAAGTCTCCTTTTGATTCTCGATGTGCAGTAGAAACCTCCACGGGGTAAAAAGGAGATGATGGGTGAGGACTGTTCCCATGTTTTAAAGGGTTCGGGCATTTGTTGTCGATATTTAAGCGTTTTAAAACTGGGGTGACAGCAGACTGTATCCCAGATAGCTGTGACCTTGCCTTGCCTCCATGCCCACCACTCAGAGTTGGTGTTGATAAAGTATTAATATTAGATCCAGGTCTGGTTCCTTCACACAGCCTCACAGGGGAACTCATTTCATTCTCAGGCTGAACTTTCAGCGTTGTAGCCACAGAAACTTCAGGTGGAACATTTTCACGGCATTCATCTGCCGGAGGATCTTCTTGAATAAGGGACGTTTGCCTTGCTGTCTCACTGGCCATGAAGGAGGAATATTCCTTTTATCTTATAACAAAGTAGGGATTTATTCTTATTCTATAAAAACAAAACAACTCTGCAATAAAATCTACTTCAAACACCTAATTTGGGCCATTTCTGAGGATCTTTGCAGGCGGACAACCTGTGGATCAAAGAGAACAAACAGAAAACCACAAAACAGCCTTTTTAAAAATCAGAATTCCACACCAGTCCAGATTGTCCAGTTTGTCAAGCTACTTTTAAACCCCTAACAAGAATGTAGGTGGCTGTAAACAGCACAGCTGCATTTTATTTTATTTATATACTAATAGGTTTTAGCTTTCAAAGTAAGAGTCAAAACAAAACACATCCATGTCAACCTTTACAGCTCTCAGCCTGTTTGTGAAAGATTCTGATCAAATGTTTTATAAATCCACACGAGCACTCCCCACAGGCCTGGGACGTGGTTCAAACACGTCACAGAATAAAAACAAACGCGTAAACTTATTTTTAAACACTTTGTAAAACGGTTTGAATGTTTGAAAGTCTGCATTATGAGCCCAGAAGTCGATGTTTGCCCATCTGGAGATTATTTCGGGGATTACAGAAAATTCTGAAAATCAGTTCTGGACCAAGTTCTACAAGCAGATTAATTCAGTGGTCTGGACTAAACACGAGGACAGGTTTACTAAACCAACGTTTACATCCAGCAGCTTGTTGGATAACGTTAGCTTGTAAAACGAAGTTATCGGTACTTACCTTGAAACAGACACGTTTTATTTTAAATATTTCAAACGGTCCAACTAAACTTAAAGCTATAAATGTTAAATAAAACTAAAATATAACAACTATGTTGGTTTCACTTGGAGACCTCTGGAAGCGCCGCTCAAGTTTGAAAACGTCAGTTTATTCTTATATGATGGTTTTAACCAATCACAGCAGGAGGTTTCTTCTTCGTGGATCTTGTTGTGTTTTAGCAACAGCGCCATCTGTTGTTTTAAGTAAAAACTCAATTTATTAGAAATTAGACAAAGATTTATGACAAATTACTCTTCAACACTGCCCACCGTGCTGCGTACGACGTTTCTTTTTGGAGAAACCCTCCGTCCTGGAGTCACCTCTTATTTATGCAGCCCCAAACGTTTATTTTCATTTATAAGGTTAAAAGTACAGAGTGGTTTGATGTGGTTTCAAAGGGATTTGAGTTCTTCCTGTTAACCTACTCAAAAACACATTTAAGTTGAACAGTATGATTGAAATGACAATACAAACCACACAAAATCCAAAATTAATTTAATATATTTTGAAATAGCAATTATTTTCAGGTGACTCATTAACTCATGATTGACATGTCTTCTTTAGAGAGAGAGAGAGAGAGAGAGAGAGAGAGAGAGAGAGAGAGAGAGAGAGAGAGAGAGAGAGAGAGAGAGAGCATTCATGGATCTTGTCCTTTAGTCTCCCTTTTGAAACAGAGAACTCATTTACCTTATAAAATAAAACCATTCACTTTATTTTTAAGATAATGTTTTATTATAAAAGGTAAGCATTAAAAAAGATAGAGATCTTATTATTGTTCTCTGCTGAATAAAAGTGAAGATAATAATTTTTAATATATCAAAATATTTACAGGATTTGTTTAAAAAACAAAACAATATTTTTCACTCTTTGGGCGTTTTCTTTAGTTTGGTCTTAAGTTCAGACATAAGTGGAATTCCAAATCTGTGAAGACATAAAAAATGAAAATTAGAAAAAGCTGACATGTCCTGATTTAGTTGAGAATAACATGTATTAATAACATTATTTTATTATTATTTACCCTGGATGTCCTGGTGGCTTCCACTTTGGTTTCACACCCTCACTTTTCTCTTCTGTTTGCGTTTCAGGTTCCTGCAGATTTCACTCTGTTAATATAATGTCTCACAACAACAACAACAACAGCAACAACAACAATAATAATAATATTAACAACAACAACAATAATAACAACAACAACAACAATAAAAAGCAGGTGTTTATTAGTCGCACCTGTATCTGAGTATCCTGGCTATTCTCAACTTCCACAGATGTTTGAGTCTTCTTTAAAACAGGAAGACCTGCTCCAAACCCTAAACACAAACAAAAGAGTTATACAAGAACAAGAAAAGAAAACAAGCTTTGGACACATCAAAAAGTCACCTACCAGGTAGTTTGATCCCAATCCCCAATCCACCTAAAGGCACAGAGGGAGGATCTTTGACCAGCACATGAGTGGAGGGAGCTGGCTCAGCTGAAGGCTTGTGTATCAGGGAGCGGGGGTTTTTAGGGGGCCTCGCTTTGGGGTTTTTGACAGCAATGCGTGACTTCTGCACTGTGATGTCCAGCACCGGCGCGTCTAGCTGTAACAACACAAACAGCTGATACCAAACCTTACCTGTAATTGGTGGTTATTGTTGGATTTAATGAGTGATTTGATTAAATACCTGACTCTGATCCTCTGATGCTGTCTGCCTTGCTGCCACATGACCTCTGCTCAGTGCGGGTAAGGACCATCTGTGGTCTGGTGCATCCTCTGAACGCTGCTTGTCCTCAGATCCAGAACAAAGCTCTGTCCAAAATGCTGTCTCCTCTAACAAAGTCAGCCTGGGTTCAGTAACTCGGAGTTCGACTGCTATTCCAAACATCTTTTCTTCATTTTGATCAATGCCTTCAACCAGTGACATTTCATCTCCTTCTTCAGTGTCCCTCCCCCTTGCCTTCGTCTCAGCCTCCGTCCCAGATGAGTTTTCCTCTCCTGCTGTCTCAGGTTTCTCAGTGAGCTGATTTTCCTCCTGTGAATCCATTTGTTCGGTCCCTCTGGCTGACTCCTTCCCTCTCAGAAAAGACTCTACAGATTCCCCTGTTTCCTCTTTCATGACAGCTCGAGATTCAGAATTATCTTCTGAAAGTTCAGAGGAACTGGCTGATTCTGACACAGTAGCCAGGGTGTCACGCACATCTTCAAGTGATCCAGTATCTTCAGGTTTCGGGGTCTGAACATCAACAGAAGACTGGTCCAAAAATCCAGAGTCTAAATTTGACAAAGACTTTTCTGTGGAACTGACTGATGAAGGCATCTGCTCGGACTCCTCTGGTAACATTTCACACAACTCTTCCTCCATCTGGTCTTTCATTGTGTCAGTTTGAGGCTCTTCCTCTTGGCTGGAATCGTTGGACATTGCCGCCTCTATCCACAAGTCTAGGATTTCCTCATCGATGACATCTTCTTGTCCTCTGATTGAGCTGCTCGTGTCTTGGTCGTGCTGCTCCTCTGGTTGGGATGGATGTTCTGTGTCCTCCACTGGCATTGCAGGAAGATCTTTGGATTCTGTTGCCCCTGACTCAACAGCATCAGTGTCCGTTATTGTCTCGATCTTATCTTCCTGGTCTGTTTCGACAGAAGGTTGAGTTATTGTCGCCTGTGCCTCAGGATTTGGAGATGACTCCGACTGTTCAGTCAGGGGTGTTTCTTTGTCTTCCTGACTGATTATAAGCTCCTCTCCTGTAACACAGATTTCTTCCTCCGCTTCATCAGTGTAATCTCTTTCCTCAGTGTCAGCCCCAACGGATTGAGTTTCTACAGCGCTGTCATCAGATAACTTAGATTCAATTAGTTGCAAAACCCCAGAATCAGGGATTTCCTTTGCTAAACTAAAGCTCTCATCACCGCTGGGTTCGATGGATTTCATGGATTCTTGACAGAAGTGTGTCTCTGTCATTTCTACATTCACCTCGAGGGAATTTGATGTTTCATCTTGGTTATTTCCAAGTTCTGCAGCTTCTTGCAGATCTTTGTTTGTCTCATCTACTGAGTTGCTGCAGGTCTCGTCCTTGTCTGAAGGTTTGATCTCCGTCTTCATTGAGGTGTCCAGACACTCAACCTCTTCCTCCTTGCACTCCAGGTTTCCCACTCCGACGGGGGGTTCCTCTGTTTCTTGTGCAAAGTGCAGATTTCCAGTGAGCTCCTCCACAGCTAAATCTTGTTCCTCCTCCAGTAAATAGTCTGCTCCCATGCCACTGTTTTTAAGGCTCGCCTGTTCCTCCTTCTCCACCTCTTCTGGTAATTGACTGTTGCGGATTTCCCCATAATTTCCTCTCTCCAAGAAGCTTTGTGTTTTGTTTTCATCTGACCCGAGCTCATTGTTGTGCTCAGGAACCCCCTCTTGTGTTTCCTCGCATGCTTTGGGAATCGTTTCGTTCAGCGCAGGATCCTGGCCTTCGATTGCAACCTGGGGAATATTTTTGGACTCTCTGCTTGCTTCCTGTTCAGTCTTCAGTCCTTCGGGTTTTACTGTAACCAAGGAGGTGGCACAGTCATTTTCCCAGCGGCTCTCTTTGTTGTGGACTTTCCCGGAGAGCCTCTCCACGTCCATCTCACCTTCATCAACAATGATTTGATCTAGATTCGTTCCTGCTGCACTCACATCTGAGAGAGAGGTGCTGCGTGTAACAGTGACCACCACTTTCTCTCCTTTATCTACGAACTTCTCTGCGTTTTCTTGTGTTGTCTGCACGGCGTCCTCGCTGCAGTGAGTTGATAGAGTTGCCTCGTCATAGCCATCTGTGGTCATTCTGCTGCTGTTTTCCTGTTTTTCCTCTTCTCCTTTCGTCTGATTGTTTGCAACCTCATTGATGTCTTCTTCCTCCATCTGAGCTGTCTCATCCTCTGTCTGATCATCTTCACCCCCAACCTCTTGTCTAATAACAATGACATCATCACCATCACAGATTGAAGGCTGAAATCCAGCTTCAGAGCTCACCTGAAACATGCAAGTGTTCAACTCTTCTGCACTATTCTCCTCTTCTCCTTCCTCCCCTGTGATCACGCGGACCTCCTCTGCTGTTCTGGTGCAAACTCCTTCACTTTTCTCTTCATCCAGAACATCTCCATTATCTCCTGTAACCTGGTTATCTTCACTGGTCACTTTGACTCGTTCACTAGTGTAGGATTCTTCATTCTCAGTTTCTTCTCGTTTGAGTTGATTTGTTGTTTCCTTTTCAATAACCAGCAGCTGTGCTCGGTCATTTCCTGTTTGGTCGACGTGTTCCTGTCTGGTGGCTTTACCGCCATCAGAGCCTTTGCTCTCATGGCCTCTTCTTTTCTGTGTGTCTCCTTCCTCAGACTTAGAGTCGCTTGTGCCAACTGTCCAGGCAACAACTGATGCAGATGAGCTGAGCAGAGAGATGGAGGGAAGAAGTTGCACCTCACTGATTCCTCCTCCATGGGAATCTTCTGTGTTGTCCTGTGTGTGTTCGGAGTCTGGAGGCTCACCGTCAGCCGGGTCACTGCTGCTGGGACCAGCTTCCTGCGTTCTGATGAATCTGTTCACAGCTTCGGTGAAATAACACTGTGGAAGAAAAAGAAAACAGATTATACAAACTCTGACGATGAAAACACGTTGTGTTTTTAATTTATTTTATTTTTTTGTTATTATAGCACAAAAGGTTATTTAACACACACACACACACACACACACACACACACACACACACACACACACACACACACACACACACACACACACACACACACACACACACACACACACACACACACACACACACACATATAAAGTTATCCTAAATCATTAATGTTTTAGCAAAAAACATTTTTCTTCTGTGTTAATTTAAAAAACAGTAATTTATCCACATTCTGGTTTTGCCCAGGTTTGGGCTTTAGGGTCACCATCCCTTAATTTCAAGTCATCAGTCCATTAAACTATGTCAACAGGACAGTTATATAAAAGCTTTCCATATTAACTTGTCATTGTCATGATCTGAGGTGAGTGGCCACCACCTGATATCATGGATTGGAGCAGTTGTCAATTCACTGCTTGCAGGTGGCTCAGAATGCGGCAGCTCGCTTGCTGACAGGTAGGGGGCGCAGGGATCACGTAACACCAGTCTTACAAGCTCTTCTCTGGCTCCCGATCACTTACAGGATTCAACTTAAAATGCTACTGATCTGTTTTAAGGCACAACACAATTTGGCCCCTCCTGATCTGTCGAAATTTTTAAAGACTCATGTCCCCAAACGAAACCTCCGACCATCCTCTCTGTGGGGTCCTGACATGTATGCTGCCGGGAAGAAGGCAGGAACATGCAGCAGTGCCTGGCCCGGGTTCGGGGGCCTCAGGTAGACCTTGGCTCCTCTGCCGTTCCATCACAGGGGAGGGGGAGGTCCAGGAGGGGGAGGACACAACCTTACCTGGATGTCCCATGTCTTATATAATCTGGAAGTTGTGCAAATGCAGGGATGGACATAGATATTCTGCTGGGGTGGGGCTGGGTTGGTGCCCTCGGACTCCGTGGGGCTCTATAATGCTGCTGCTTTGGGCCCTGGCAGGATGGGCTGGGGTCTCTATGCCCTGGGTGGCAGTTTGACAACAGAGGTGCATATTGGGGCCAGTAGGGGAGCTGGCTCCCTGGAGGGCTAAGCCCAACCAGCCATTCCTCCCCATCCCCGCATATTTCTCTCCTCCTGCTCCCTCACATCATCACACAAACATGCACATAGGACCTTGGGGGGTGGGCAAGTCAGGGAGTGCGGGTATGGACCCCATTTCCGCATTCCTGTGGCAACCTACCCACCCAATTTTATTTGCACCTTATACACTTCCACTGACGACATTCCACACAAACACACACTTAGGGCCTTGGGAGTGAGCACATTCAACGGCACTTGGCAGGGGGATATCGCAGCCTCCTCCCGGGTGCCGGTGCCCACTTCCTATTTTAAACTGCACTTAGACACCGAGGGCTGAGGGTGTAAGTGGGGTGGTGCGGTGGCATCAGCTGGCATAGGCCGGATGATGCCCGCGCTGCCCGCTCACCACCGCCATGGAATACACCTCATGATCACACAGCACTATATTGGAGCAGGCCGAGGGAGACTAGGGGTCTTAGCGCACCTCTGTTGTTGCTTGGCTTCCTGGGGCTGGAGGCTAGGAGGGAGATCTGGCTGTCTATTAAGCAAATAGTGTATTGTTTTTTTTTGTTATTTAACCCTCCCACTGTCCTATTGGGTGACCCCACCAGGAAAGTTGACCATTGAGCAGGGTTGATGGTTTATCCTTTGAGGTCCATGGCAGGGATGAGGAGTGAGCACCACCTCAGGCTGCTTCACTCGATTTTAACAAAAAGATGCCGTGGCTTCTTAGGGTACAAGACATAACTTCTGGGTCGCTCCTGTTTACTGGCTTCAGATCTATAAACAACTCTGGAGCTTTTTGCCTGCTGATGTTAAATTACAAATTCTAGTGCTGCAGCATTAGCTCGCCACAACCTTCAGCTTCACGGACTAACAGATTGTAAACAGCAACTACGTCCCTCTTGAATTTCTTTTAAGTAGAAGAACTAACAACCCCCCATCCGGCTGAGACTGAAATATGTTTCAACATAACCTTCCATCCATCATGACTGAGACAATAGACTGTTCTGGGATCATTTCACTGTAAAATTCATGTATATTGCTCTTTTAAATAATACCTGCATTTAAACAGTGAGTTTTTTTCCACTGACTTTTTCAGACTACTTTTGAAACACCTAAAAGACATCAAACAATCTGGAATAAAAATGAAGTTAAACTGTTGCAAACAGGAAATGAATAAATAAAAAGTTCATCTGAGGATTCTAATTGTTGGATGGTTGTGTAGGAACAAGTAGAGAACCTTTGGCTTTACTGATTCAGAAACAGTGTCACCTAGACCACTAAATGTTGGTCAGAATGAAAAGAAAAACCCTCCAGCAGCAGTTTAGGAGGGGCCAAATTAAGAGTGTGGTTTCAGTGTTTCAGAACGCACAACTAGACACGTAAACACACAACTGGGCTCTCATAGAGGTGTGACACGGATTCACACCAGCTCATGAACATGCACGGTTATCTCTGCAGAGACAGAATTACACGTAGATGCATCAGTTTATATGTGCTGACTAAAATGACAGCCTTTAGCAGAGGGAAAGTCTGCAGCCAGGTTTGCTTCTTCAAATGTCCACTTAAAAACTTAAGAAATTGGAAAAGCGTAATTTTGTTTGTGTTTGGATAAAGATCCTAACCCTGAGATTTCTGTTGACTGTGTCCTGAACTGCTGGTTGATGCTAGGAACTCTGAACAGAGATCAATTTTAGGCAGAGTTGAAAGTATCTGATGGGAAACTATTTGTTTTTTTCAGTACAGACCTCAGGTTTGACATGGAACAAACATGTGATTGGAAACTTCCACTGAGCTCCCATCAACTTTACAGGAATCACTGAGGCTTTGGACAGAAAAGAGACAGATCTGGGGAGTGGTGAGCTGCAATGCACCCATATCTCACAGCATAATCCAGGTGGCACCAGATAGAACCCCTTACTAACTTATAGACCGAACCCAAATCAGTTTCCCAACTGGGATACACTAGTCGCCAAGTTGAAACCAGCAACCACTCTCAAATGGGCTCCACGTGTAAATGTTGGCTTATTATTTATAGTACAGTAAGAGCAGACCATTAGCAGAATATGTTACAGAACTATTAGCACCCATCAGCCCAGTGGTTCTGCACCGAACCCACATGGTGGAAATGACAGAATAGGAAAATAAATGGTGAATGACTTGTATTTGTATAGCGCCTTCTTAGGGTTCTACAACCCCCCAAGGCCCTTCACAACACAATCAGTCACCCACCCATCCACACACACATTCACACACTGGTGGGGATGAGCTATGATGTAGCCACAGCTGCCCTGGGGCACACTGACAGAGATGAGGTCTGCCGAACACTTGCGCCACCGGTCCCTCCGACCACCAGCAGGAAAGGTGGGTTAAGTGTCTTAATACCCAAGGACACAACAACAGCATTCTCTGGTTGGAGCCGGGATCGAACCTGCAACCTTCCAATTACTTGACAGCCCGCTCTACCTCCTGAGCTACAGCTGTCCCAAGGTGAGGATTTTGAGATGAACATCACAGTTTCCTAATATAATCCTGACCTGATCCATTAACCAGGAGCTCCAAAAGGCAGGAAATAAACAGTCTCGTCCTCCACTCATGGCTCATGTGTAAACAACTGAACAGCACTGGGTCGCTATTTCCTTTATTGTTGAGATTCCTTCAATAATTAACCTATTTTGCTAAATTCTACATTTTCATTTGAAATTAAATACATTTGAATTAAATGGTGTTTTTTTTTTTTGCAGAATGAGACACACTTTCTGTCAGAAAACGATCATTTCTATAGCGCCTCTCACAGGCGCTTCAAAAGAACAAAAATTAAAAATAGAAAGATTTTAAAAAATGATTAAAAATATCATCAAGATGGGAAAAGTGATTAAAAATGTGAGTGAAGGGAAAAAGAAAATGAAAAGAAAGACGGACATCAGTGGTTCCCAGGAAAGGTGGAATTGGTAGAAAGAACAGAATAAGGAGAGGGTGGTGATGAAGGTCACACCAAAGCCAGCCTGAATAGGAGCTGAGTCCACTGATCTCAGGCTCAGGGGGAGAGAGTTCCAGAGTCTGGGGGCCACAGCAGCAAATGATCTGTCACCTTTGGTCTTTAGCCTGGTGCGTTGCACAACCAGTAGCCTTTGATCACTGGACCTCAGGGACCTGCTGTGGGTGTAGGGACTGAGAAGATCACCGATGTAAAATGGTGCTTGTCCATGTAAGGCCCTATAGACCAGAACCAGGATCTTGAAATGAACCCTGAAGTTGACTGGCAGCCAGTGAAGCTGGAGGAGAAGCGGGGTGATGTGGGTGTGTTTGGAGGACTTGGTCAGAACAGCTATGTACTGAGCAAAGAGAGGTCCAGTCTGTGTGTATGTATATGCATGCGTATGTATGTGAGTGTGTGTGTGCGTGTGTGTGTGTGTGTGCAGGAAGTTATGGGGTCTGAGGAGAGAACATTCATGCAATGTGTGCATGTGTACTTGTGTGTGTGTGTGTGTGTATGCATGCGTATGTATGTGTGTTCTTGCGTGTGCGTGTGTGTGTGTGTGTGTGTTTAACACACTGAGAGCCTCTAGAGAAACGATACCCTTTCGAAGCCAAAGCCTTTGTTCTGTTAGAGATTAAAATGATTCATCAGCTCACCCAGACCGTCCACAGAGTCCTCTCCACCCGGGCGAAAGTGCTTTCCTGATCCATCTTCACTCTCCTTCCTTCTCGTTTATTCTCTCACCGTTTAAATGTGGCCGATCTGATCGGGAGTCTCGCTCATTCTCTCACAGTTGCTGCTTTTCCCCCCTGGACTGAACTCAAACAGCTCTACACAGATGAACTGACAGTTAACTTCCTACTTTTGACTTGACATTTTTTTCTGCAGTTGTGATGAGGAAGAGAATGATTAACACAGCTGAGTAACACACGTTGCAACAGTTTGAGGATGTAAACAGATCTTTTTGACAACTAAAGCCACTAAAATGTGTCAGATGAGATGCCGAAGCAACATGTGAAATGCTTTCTGCTCACCAGTGGACATAATGGAACAAAAAGCACCCACAGACCTCTGAAGACTTGCTTTGTGACTGGTTAAAGGATAATTTGCTTCATCTGTTTATGACACAGAGCTTATCAGTTTGCAAACATTTGGAGAAGTTAGAGGAGAAGTCAACGGCTCTCCAGTAACAAAATTGGAAGTAATTTATAAGTTCTGAGACATTTTGCCTCCATAAATGACAGCAGTTCAGACAGTTTCCCAAAAGTCACTTCTCCTTTTGTTGGTGCAACTTCACAGAGAAGAATGTTTCTCACATGTCTGTAGCTGTTGGAGAAAATGAATCATTTTTATGGTTTAGAAAAACAAGTGTGGATTTAAAAAGATGAGATGTATTTTTAAGGTCTATGTCATTTCAGCTCCACCAGCCACCATTAAACCTCAGAGTTATGAATTTATTTCTGTTGCATCCGATTTTTACATTTTCAAAATCACTTTAAGCTTTAAGAAAACATTGCTTAAATACTTTTTAATAACAAAATAAATTCCCATTTAAGTACAAAACTACAGGGATAAAGGTCCCTGTGACATTCAGAGTTATTAGAATAACAAAAAAGCTTCAATTATTTATAGTTTCAGTACATGCTCTGCATGTGAAAGCATCACAGGAGTTAACGCACCTCTGCAGCACATCTGTACAATAAAAAAAAGTTCCTGTGGTCAAAGTGGCAAAGGAAAAACAGAAGTACAAACTGAAACCAGAACTAACTCAACATTCACAGAACTAATGAAGGCCACACTCCCTTTTAATATGAAACAATTTAACCAGAAAAAAAACTCCTATCTCCATGAGAATGTGTCTTTAATGTGCAACAGTAATCCACTGGACTGGATCAATAATGCAAACATTTACAGGAAAATGTGTTAAAATTAGGACTAAATTATTAAATAGACATAAAGTAGTTTCTTCAAAGATTACATCAGATCCAGTTCAATGTTGTAGTTTTTATTTATTATAGAGATAAATATATAGAGACACGGCGAATAAGGAAGAGGTCTTGTTGAATCATTTTTAAGCAGAAGATGAAATTTCCTCATTAGGCTCTGAAAGAGAGGACAGAAAGATGAACAAACCTCCTGTTGGGTCAAACACTCATCTTGAGCAACAAGCAGACTGATACCGAATCTTTATCCAAAAAAAAAAAACCTATCCACTTTCTACATTTAAGGTGTTTCTCTACCGCTACAGAACTCATGTGTGTTAAAATGGTCAAACATTGTTGTTCACTGTATCTGCTTTCTTCCTATCTTTACAATGTAGCTTCAGTGTATGAAGAAAATCAGCTGTTGGCAGAAATGTCTTTGAACAACTACAGACCACTTGAAACGTGACGTCACATGCCCACCCCCCATGCCCACCCCCCAGCCTCCAGACTAACTGGAGGGCAAACAGCCGGCACCTCCCCGTTGACCATCATTGTGTTTATCTGTTGGTAATAAACGGAGCTAAATAGCGGCAAAATAAAATCTTTCAGCAAAGTTAACACACGTAGAGCTGTAGGCTGCACAAGTGAACAAAAAACGTGACAATAAACGTAAAATTTGACTGGATACCAGCTGATAAAATACGCTAAAGGCAGTGGATAACCCCTTATCATTGAAGTAGTTTAAAATGTCAACCTTTTGCTGTTTTTGTTGTATAATAAAAGCATTCTTCTGTTGTCTGTTCATGCAGAAAAATAAATAAAAATGAAGTGATCAAATATGGACGCTGGCCTTGTTCTGGTAAACAAAATCCCAAAAATAAAACACAGAAACAAGTGAAATAAACATGGATTTTGAATAGATAATTATAAGACACTTCAGAATTTTGGAACATTTTATCACTGTAGAATAATGCAGAATATATCACAGCTGTTAAACAATTTAATATAAAAATAACAGATTACTGTAGAATATTTTAGATAGCATTTCTGATCTAATTTAGATTATTAGGATATTTTATAAAGTTGTAACGTCCAAAAGGGTCAATTTTCTCCTATATATTGATCAACATAGTGACCTTTCATCTACAGAAATAAATCCAGAAGGTTCTGTTCAGGGCGTGTTTACATTTCATGAAGACAAAACATTCAAACAAACATTCTCACCCAAGGTTCTTGCACTCACTGTGTGAACGCCAGACGTCAACATTCTTCACTCTGAATAATTTAAATAATCACATGTGATTAATGAACAAGATGTTTAAATGAAATGTTTGAATAATCTGTGCTTAAATCAATGAATTTAAAATGAATATTTTTCTTACAATGATCCATTTATATCACAAATCAGTATGTGTTTGATTTAACTAATCATTGTTTACTCTCATACAAATTGCAATAAGATACATATTAAGGTTAAAATATCTTTGTATCTGAAGGAGGGCGTGGCTTTCTGAGGGATGTTGGTAAATACTCAGAAACGTGTCAAATTCTGATTTGCCAGACTTGGCCAGAAATCATGAAAAAGTAGTTTAATAAAACAAGAATTACTTCCCGAGTAATTCAGTTTCCAGTTGACCCTCAATTGGGCCAAACCGGGAAAGAAGCCTCTTTTGAAACAAACTCTTTCGACCTTAAGGCAAAACCTTTCTGCGACGCTGCAAATGATTACAGACACAACAGCTCTTTTCAGAGCTACTTAAACTCAGACATCCACCTTGGACACCTAACCCGCAGACCCCGGGTTGCATCTCATGACCGGGGAAACTGAACTCAGAGGAAGCTACTAATCTCTGAGTTTTGTGGTTTCGACATCCGGTGACCTCACCACTCTGACCGGAACCCTCCAGACCTCCGGGAGCAACTCATACCAGGGCACCATAAGCCTGCATACTGGTGTCTGATGAGGTTTTCATCAATAACTAACTCTCTAGTTTAAAACAAACAACAAATTCTTTTACACCCAGATTTCACAATTTCTCTCAGATACAAAGAACGGTTGCTACAACATCAAGCTTCCATCACAACATCTCACATCCACCACATCACATCTACTTTTTCATATCTTGTCATGTATAAATTGTTAGTTTAGGAAAATAATTAAATTCATTTTATATACTATATACTGACTCTGTCTGAATTAATACGAAGTGTGTTTATGGTCCCTGAATAAGCAAAGAACCCTAGAATCCTCTGATTAAACATTCAAAGATCAATCAGATTAATATTTCATATTTGTATGGAATATCACATCTTATTGGTCATAATGCAAGGAAATATTAGTTTAAAACTCTACAATATCTTAAAAATGATATTTTTTCTCACTGTAACCATGATTATGTAGATTCTGTCTAAAAACAATATATTTTACCTGAAAACGTACATAATTTATTTTACTTGTTCAACACTTATGGTCAAATATGGTAATTTGACTTTTATGCTATAATTAACAACTTGTCAACGTTGTGATGTGAAAGCTTCATAAACCTAGCATTGTTAGTTTTAGAGATCTGACCGTAAACACAAGATACGACCCAGCAGTTTTCGGGCTCTGCAGACACACCAGTATTTGGTGCATCATAGTCCCACTCTAATTGGTGGAATGGTGCCATGGAATGAACTGTGACTATCTTGATCTCTTTTGATTGGCTGGGTGAAATCCCGTAATTCTAAAAGTCTGTGAAAAGAAACACAGACACCATTTATGATGTGAGAGGAAGTGTTTAAATATAGACGTTAGTCCTTACAAGGGTTAACGGTCATGTAAAGAATTCTGGTGAATAAACCACCCACATCGTGGCAGACAACGTCTCGTGACAGAATGAAATATCTGCCCCACATGTCCAGAAACAAACAAGCAATAGCCATCTAATGACTTATATTCTTTTTATATAATTGTGTGCGGCTGCGGGGGTCGAGGAGCCAGGGGAATATCATCGGCTCAGAGGCAGCAGCATCAGAGAGGAGAACTGTGCTGCTGATCATCAGACATAAACATGTGTGAGAATGACAACACCGGTGTGGTGTGTAGTTCTGTTTGACCTGCGGTAACAGTCCTGTTATAGTCATTACACAAAATGTATTGGGTAGTTGGATCGGGCAGCCTCCGTTTGTTTTGTGTTTCTGTTTACTTTCCTCTTCAGAATTATCGGACCATCCCTACATCTCCAAAGACCAGCGGTGTCACGGTGATCCTTCAGCCCGCAAAACGTAGACAAGACCTGGTTACTCCATTGCTTCAGCTGTGAGAAGTCCAGATGGCAGTTTCTGAGGACTGTTGTCCCCACAGTTTGTTAGCTATTTGAAATGGATCTGCAAGCTTAGAGAGAGAGAGAGAGAGAGAGAGAGAGAGAGAGAGAGAGAGAGAGAGAGAGAGAGAGAGAGAGAGAGAGAGAGAGAGAGAGAGAGAGAGAGAGAGAGCTCTGGATAATGACTGGAGATGGGGGTCTTGCGCTCCAGCTTGCGTGGATGTTACCCTGATGTAAACAATAACTTTTATTGGGTCTACAATCATGGTTTTGTGTGCAGACATTCAAAATACATACATTTCTTTGGAGAGTTTTATTTAAAAATCCTGCTGCATGAAGTGGGCTGAACAAAACCATCTGTAGATGGTGGCAAAAGAGGAGGAGGTAAAGTAACGTTTGTGGCTGTTCATGTGGCTCACTCTCTGATTGGCTAGACATCACACTGAACAGGAAGCATGCTTGTTTGTCCCCCAAAATCAGACCAAGAACAGCTGTCAAAACCTGGATTTATTATCAGAGCAGTCCGACGTTCTTCTGAGCAGACCAAAGCGCTCCATAAAATGTATAATTTTGTGATTTTTTTGAGTCATTACGGTAATCATGCACATTCCCAAGATTGACAGAAGGGCCGGGGCCATTTAGAAATCAGCATGATTATCCTGTGAACCGGGTTTTAGATGTCGCTACTTCCCGCATCCTGGGCCTGAGAGTAAAGAATCTCACCTGTCCACATTCGATACGCAGGAAGCTTGAGGGCCGGGTGTGTGATCTCTACACACACTCTCAGTTTCTCTTTCTCATTCTCTCCAGGACCTGTCCTCAGATCGACTCTGTTGATGTGAAGGGCTCCTGGGTTGTCCTCTCTTTCCTTGTCGCTTTCCTCCTCATCTTCGTCCTCTGACTCAGATGATGTGTCCTCATCTCTGCTGATGTTATTCTCTCCATCCACCTTTTCGTCGATGTACTCTATCCCTTCAGCATAAGGGTCTGTGACTGCAGCTTTTGTTTCTGTTGAAGAACACAAATTAAACGTGATTAATTAAAGTGTGTGTGTGTGTGTGTGTGTGTGTGTGTGTGTGTGTGTGTGTGTGTGTGTGTGTGTGTGAGTGTGTGTGTGTGTCTGTGTACTTATTGCCCGTTTGTTCTTCCGTCTTTCCTGCTGCTTGTTTGTGGGATTTGGTGGCACGGCGGACCTCTCCAGGGCACACACACTTCTCAGCTCCCTCTGCCCATCGTCTCCTATCTCCTCTGTCTCACTGGACACCAACGGAGAGAAAGTAGGTCCCCCAGCTGTCCAGAGGAGTTTGGCTTTAGGGTGACCTCCCTTCAACAAGAGAGAGAACACGCCAACGCCTTCACTGCTCCAACAAACAGAAACCAATGGAGGGATGGAGGGAGCAGCTAAGAGGGGGAAGTTGAAGAAAAAGTCAGGAGTTTATAGAAAAATACAACTTGTTGACTGTAAATATGTCTCTGTACCAGTGTCTCCATTTCTCCATTCTCTCTCTATTGGCTCATGTAAAGACGAGTGCTGGACTCTGCAGATCATGCCTCCTCTTCTGGCTGTTTTCCCCTGGTGGGCTGTGTTTCTCTTCAGCGTGGCCGTGGCCCTGAAGAGTTTGGGATGTGTTTGCACCGGACCCCACAGCTCTCCTTCCATCACCTCCTCTTCCCTGTCATCCGCCTCTCCGTCTCTCAGCTTCAGCCAGGTGACTGAGATGTTGGGGGGGTAGAAATCAGTGATTTCACATCCCAGAGTTAGGCTCTGATCTGAGGAGTTGGTGGCGTCGACCACTTCAGATACACGGGGCCGTTTGATGAATCCTGTCCGGGATGGAAAGGATTGTTAGTGTTTGACGTTTCAGCATTGCTGTGTTTCTCTTTCGTCCTTCCACACCTCTGGTCTCACGAGTTACCGGCTGCTTCAGGGCAATGTGGTGGACGCTGACCCACACCTTTGCAGCTCCCTTTTCCAGTTCGCTCCGGGGAAGTTTGCACTGGCTGAAAGCGGAAAAGAATCCTTCGAAATCGGGTCGAGGTGAGGATGAGGCCTGGGAGGCCACGGGGCTGAGCTCACCACCCTGACAGAACCAGCGGAAGGTGATGACATCTGGGTGGAAATGGGACGCTCGGACCGTCATGCTGATCACTTCTGGAAGCAAGAGATTTGCAGAGATGTAACGTCTTTCTAGAAGGAATGTCTGGGAAGGCTGGGAATGTAGCAGGTGATACCTGGGTCATTTTCCGTCTCTGCCAGCTGTATCTCTGACACCTCAGGAGGAGCTGTGCACAAAAAAAAAAAAACAAGTCACTTATGTGAAAATCATTCTTAAGGAGTCAAATGTTAAAGTGAAGTGTGTCCTCACACAGAATCGTGAACTTCTCCGAAACCCTTTCCTCCACAAACGTGTCCTTCCCGATGTAGGACACCTGACACTTAAACACGGCTCCTTTGTGGAGGGAAATCTGGGGGATGAAGGTGAGCGCCGAGATCAGCTGTTGGGTTCCCGTCCCAGATGAATGCAGTGGACCCTGAGTGTGCAGCTTGTAGTATCCCATGCCACCCCTAGAGGTCAGGAGAGGACCTTTCTCTGAAGCTGGGGAGGTGAGAGTTAGACCAAAGGGCAGATGGATGGTGGTTAAGGGGTTGTAGAGGCAGTTAAAGTAAGATTTGGAAGCTCCTACATGCAGGGTGATGTAGCAAATTGTTAGCAAAATGCAAGCATAAAAAATAGTGTAAGTTTATTGGAAAAAACATGTTTTTTTTAAATATTGTGCTTTTTTTAAGCGATCAAAGCTCATTAATGATTATGAAGCAGAGTCTTTATAGAAAAACTCAGCTGGTGTCTGACAGATAGTGATTCTGTTTAGGGACTGAATCAGTGAAGTGATACAGAAAGTAACATCTACCTGTGAGCGAGGTGTCAGAGATGGGGGTGTCATTTAGAAACCACAAAGTCTGGACCCGATCCACCCGCCTCCCTTCGATGCTCACCGTCACCCTCCCCTTCTGGCCGACAGTCACCCGTGGGGGGAGGATGACTCCGGATACGATCAGGGACTTTTGCTTCTCTGAGTGATGTGACAGAGGAAATGAAATAACTAGATTAAGAATCAATGCTTACTGGTGATGATAGTAAAACAAACAAACAAAAAAAAAAAAACTCAAACAGGGTGATATCCATTATCTCCTCCTGCAAACAGACAGACCCTTACTACTTTTCATTAATTTTACTCTGATGGACAGATGCTTTTTAAAATTTTGTCTGATAGCTGAGTGAGTGTAAAGAGATAGAAACTCTTTTAGTTTTATTTAGAAATGAGGGTGCAGGCGTGTTACTTTCTGCTTTCATGTGTGGGGCAGCCAGATGGGGGCTCCTGATATGACACTGGGAAGGCACAGAAACCAAAACATTTGATTTACATGCAAGCTTCTGGGGAGCCTTGTGAAAATGCAGTGAGAGCAAGGGGGTGGAGGGGGCTGGAGCATTTTTCAGGTTGCTGGGGGTGGGGGGGGGGGGGGGTGCTGTCAACCTTTGGGGGAGCCAGGATCCCCTTAGCACTCTTGCAATTTAAACCCTGTGTGTGTCCCTGAAACTGTTTTTATAGGACCATAGCGTTTGCAAAACGGGATTTGCCGCGGCTCCCTGGGGAGGATTTTGGCATTTATAGCAGCAAAGCTGAAGCTAGAATGTACAGCCATCAGGCACCTCTCCAACCAAGACGGGATATAGGGAGGTCGCTGGGCGACCCCCCGCATGTGACGTACAGGGTCGCGCATTCAGCGTCAGACGGAAGACCCGTCAGACTGATGGAACTTGTTTTTCAGGACCTTTAGCTCAGATCTTACCTGCTTTTTGTCCCGCTTGACGCCCCGCTCAGCCAGTGTTTTCATCACTCTGTCGAACAGCTGGCTGTCTCCCACCGTCCTCGTAAAAAGGCGACTAATCTGTTCGTCTGCTCGCACGGCCAAAAGCTCCATGGTCTCCGTATCTGTCCAGTTTGCCATGTTGTAGGTGGTTGAAAGATACTAGTGAGAGGCCATGTTTATCTGTGTTTACATCCCTTCCGGCCGGCACTCGGCGCGCAGTGTACGTCACTAACGCGACCACCCTCTTTTGCGGGGGGACCTCCCACAGTCGCTCCAAAGGGATTAGTGGGGCTGACACGCGTTTAGCCGTCAGAGGCGAGGAGCTCATGCGGCAATATTACTACCAAGAGAGGCGGAACGAATGCTGCAAAATTTGCATAACGTCATGCCGGCATGGCGCGTTTATAGACATACCATTGCGGTAATATTACACCGATTTGCCGGCATGGTGTGTCTTATAAAAGCACCTTGAGAGAGACACACAAGAGTCCAGATCGTGTTGAGGCTTTTGTTGAGACAGAAACACAATAAATTAACTCCTCTAAAAATAAACTTGAAGCAAAAACAGAAAAATGGTTTGAAAGTTTGTCTTTTTTCTCATGTTTGTTTCTCAAATTTGAGGTAAATGTTTTGTATTTTTATATTGAAAAAAAAAATAAAAATGGAAAAAGAAGGAATGATCACAGCATTATCATAGGAACTCATTTTGTGTGCCACCCCAAATGTCTCACTGGCCTTGTCTGGCCACCCCTACACAGAATTTCTGGGAGCACCACTGCTTCTACACAGAACTCACTTAACTGCGTCTTTACTGGATCATCTGAAAGCTTTGGTTTGGTGGGGTGGTAGTGCAGGCCAACTTTTCTAATAGTTTAATTCAAAACCCCGAATCCCTTTGTGTCACACAACCGGTCCTTTATCAAGTGAGATGTTGATTTGGTGGATTTAATGTTTTTTTTAAGTTTTATGAAGCCTTTTTTCTGTTTCATGCCTGCAAAAAATGTGTTTAGCTGCAATTTTTAGCTCTCTGGTCCTGTGTGCTTGATAAAAAATGCTTTATTATTAAAGTTAAATTGAAATGTGCACAGCAGGCTCTGACTCACCATCTCTTCTCCTCCAGGAAAAGCCGAAACATAGCAGGAATACCAGGACTATGGATATACACATCATCGCCACGGCTGCTTTTGCTGATTTAGTCAGGGTGGGAGTCTCATCTAACAGGAAACAGCACATTCAACATCTGTTAGAATGATGAAAAAGGGAATCTAGAAGATAAGAAACATAGAGTGACTGTGTGTGTGTGTGTGTGGGGGGGGGGGGGGCACCTTGAGGATCCACCTTGTCCAGATCTGCAGAAGCACTGATGGGACTCACAACTCCAGGCTGGTGTACAGCACACTCCACCATCCCTCCTTTCTGCCTTTCCTCTGAGCTCAGAGTGAAATAACGCCTGGTCCTGAAGGTCCGATCTGGGTTCTGATGAGTCACTGGAGGGTCAGGGAGTGACGTGCCATTTTGAAACCAAGACACAGACACTTTCTGTGGGTAAAAACTCTCCACGTCACAGTAGAGGGTGAGAGGGATGCTTTTGGAGGATGATGGTACCACAGAGAGTCTGGCCGTAGGAAGGTCTGAGAACAGACAACAGGAAATACTTCTAGCTTCATCTCCAGGTCTAACCTGATTCCTGTGCTTGCGTCACTTACGTGTGATGTTGAGTTGGAAATCCAGCTCTTGATCGATGCCTTCATGTGACACTCTGCAGCCAAAGGTCAGATTCTGGTCCTCTCTAGATGCCCAGACAGTCAGGTTGCTCATGGCGGTGTAGGACCCATCTGGAGTCATCTCACCTTCCACCTGGTAGGGAGGCTGAATGACTAGTCCATCTCTGGTCCAGGTGAAAGAGACGGGAGGAGGGTGGAAGCCACTAGCGTAGCATTCCAGTTGGCTCTCTGTTTCTAACGCCACCCAACGCTGAGGCACAGACAGAGAAGGAGCAGCTGAAGAGAAGAATAACAAGGCTCATCTTTAGCTTCAAGCTAGGAATTAAAATGCTGATCAGCCCATGAGGTGAGAAGTAAAACATACCAACGACAGTAAAAGTCAAATTACTGGTGTGCAGAGTTGTGGCGTTGAGGCTAACGCTGCACTCATACACCCCCTGCAGACTGAGACTGGCTCTGAGGACAGTGAGGGAAAAGTCTCCATGGATGAAATCAGCCATGTTCCAGCTGAAGCCTTCCTTTATTCCTGCAGCTGCTTCTCCAAAAGAGGCGACTCCAGAGCCATCTCTAGTCCAGCTGACTTTGATCAGAGACGCGTCCAGTTTGTCTCCTGGTATGGAGACATTACAGGGGAGGGATGCATTTGCATTCAGGCTGGCCTGAATGTCCTCTGAAGACACTGGAATGACAGATAAAACCAAACAAGGACAGATTTAACTCAACTGTTGTTTATAGGAAACTCTTTTTTTAATGGCAACATTAGCATAAATGTCCTGAAAAAACATTTTTATAGTAATTCACTCAGAGTAAAAAGAGGAATTAGGAAATAATTAAATGTAAAATCTGCAAATGAAAAACTGTCAGTTTACACGACCGTCCAAGGGATTTTCTGTGTAACAGAAATAAATGCAATCATGACTGACCTCTATCCGGGGAATTAATGTTCATGTTCACGACTGATGAGCTAACAGCTAGTCTGTCTGCAGCCACATGAATTGCAGCCTGCTTCAAACAGATCCAGCCTCCTTTCTAAATAAGATTTGTTTAAATTAATTTTATTAATCTTAAGTTTTTAGTGAAATTCCCTTTAAATTGGATTTCTGGTCTTATTTACTGGTAAAACTCTAAAAATGAGAATATGGTGCAAAAGTCCATTTATGTAAGTAATTCTGCTTAGACTGAGAGACCATCTAAAGGCTCAGGAACCCTTTGCAGATGTTCTGGATTCATCAGCTGATCAGAGTGTGACACCTTGAGTCTAGAATATTGAACCTTTTCACAATATTCTAATTTCCTGAGATTTTGAATGTGGGGTTTTCATCAGTTGTAAGCCATAATGATCACAGTTATAACAAGTAAAGGCTGAAATACCTGGTTTTGCATGTGACGAGTCTGTCTCATATATTAGTTTCACCTTTAAAGATGAATTTTGAAATACACTAACTTTTGCACCATATTTGAATTTCTTGAGTTTCACCACAATCATTAAAATCAGCAAAACATGGAACCTCCAGTGCATCCAGGGGTCACGACCCTCAGGGATATTCTGGTCAAAATAATCCTTTAATGTAAAACTGATGATGATGTAGAACAGTGGCTCCCAAACTTATTTAGCCGCGCATTCCCTTCTATGTCCCGACCATGTTGACGCACCCCCTAGCCCCACATCAGGGCATGGCTATATATATATATATATATATATATATATATATATGTATATATATATATATATATCAGACGTTACGCTAAACCAGGGGTCGGCAACCTGTTCCTATCAAAGAGCCATTATTACCCGTTTCCCACAGTAAAGAAAACACCGCAGCAGCCGCGGCGTTGTGGGCGGGGCCTACCCTCAGTCAGCAGAGCGCTGCTCACAACAGGTGACAGCAGCCGGTACCGGTCGCTCGTGTACGTCAAAGTTATCTTTCATAAGACGATAATCAATAAAACGATTTACATAAAGTGGATCTAGAAGTTGTAGCCCGTCTCTGTCTACAATATTTTGATATTTTTCACCCTCTTGGTGGTTTTACTGAGCAGGTGCCACTTTTTTCATACGTTTCTTTTTAAAACATGTGTAGACTGTTCAGAATACAAATCCAAGCTCTGTCACGTTTGATTGTTGTAATTAAACTTTGTAGGTGGGGAAGGTCAGAAAAGGATCCTATCAATTTGTTTTTCTCTCATTTACAGAGACGGAGATAACGGTGCAGTGCGCCTGGGTCTGGTGTTAATCAAGTTAAATTTGCAACAATTTTCACAAGAAAACAAAACAGTTAAAAGCAGGGCTTGTGTTGACCGGATAGTTCCCGTATTTGGCCGTTTATTTTGACGGAGAAAGAATAGAAAGAATTACCCCGACGCAAGCAGACAAACTGACACTTTATTCGTTTCGCACATCGCAGATGTAGCTAAATCACTCAAGAAAAGATTTCCTTCTGAACATCTGAGCTGGACACCGCTCAGCGCAGCTCACTGTCAGCGCATACATAAGGTGCACAGCGAGCTGAAGATGTGGAGAGGGGCTTGGAGCGCGTTGCAGAACCAGAGCGTATGCGGGAAGATTCCTTCCACTGAAGCGAGAGTTTTCCAAACCCGGTCTCTCAGAGAAACTTGTCACTTAGAAAATGTTCCCTGATGATGAAACTTTGGCTGAATTGTGCTTGTTCCTGTCTCCAATGTGGCGTCTGAGGAGAGTCCCAGAATCTCACATCGTCTTCAGCTCAGAAAGCGCCTATATGATTACGCACAAGCGTGACGCGTCAACCCGGTCTCACAGTAGACCGGGTTGGACCTGTTCAGGTTTACGCAGACAATCTTTACATTTAGAATGAGCTTACAGATGTAAAATTAATGCAGTAAAAGATAAAGCATTTAATTTAAATACCCATTCATTATTTTACAAGGACAGAGAGCCGCATCAGATGGATGGAAGAGCCGCATGCGGCTCCAGAGCCGCGGGTTGCCGACTCCTGAGCTAGGGCATGTGTGGAGGACACACACACACACACACACACACACACACACACACACACACACACACACACACACACACACACACACACACACACACACACACACACACACACACACACACACACACACACACACACACACACACACACACACACACACACACACAAACAAAATATACTTGTTTTCAATTACATTTATTGGGCCCACTTACATTTTCTTAGGCCCACCCACAAATGAGTTTCTGGCAACGCTAATGGTGACTTTTGACAGACTTCTCTGAGCTCCGCAGCCATTACACTTTTCACCTCGCGCACCCCCTAGCGGCAGCTCGCACACCCCTGGGGGTGCACCACACTTTGGGAATCTCTGATGTAGAACATGGATGTGCAACTCCCTTCCTAGTGGGCCGCCGTCCAGCATGTTTTAGTTGTTACCCTGTTTAAGCTCTACAGAAGCCTATTAATCACCCGCTGTGTCATGTTCTGTGTCCCTTTGTTCCCCAGCCCCTCCAGTTCCCACTCCAGGTTTTCCTCTTGTGTCCCATTATTCTCCTCAGCCCTCACCCCTCTAGTTATTGGTTGTTTATATTTGCCCTCAGTCCCTAAGTTTAGCTATCCGTGTTTTTATAGTTTAGGTTTATCTTCCCTCCTCTGGTTTTGTTCCCCATTTAGATAATTGTATTCACCTGCTTTCCCTCCAGCCCTCACTCCACACACCTGCTGCCTGTTTCCCTAATTGCTCCTCTCTGTGTATACAAGCCTTGTCTTCTCACTCTGTGTTTGTCGGTCTATTGTATTTGTCTGTGCTGTTCTGTGTCCTCCCGTGTTTTTGCCTGAGTCCTTGCTCCTGGTTTTTTGAAACTTCAGTTTTTGTGTGTTCAACTGCTGGATTAAGCCTCCACCTTAAAAGGAATAAAGAATTTATTTCTTTACCTCCGCTCCTGTCTGAGTGATCTGGTGTTCTGCATCTTGGGTTCTAACCTCCTGCCCGTCAGCGTGACACGCTGACTAAAATCAAGTGTGTTTAAGCAGGGAAACAACTAAAACCTTGGTGTAGAAGTTCATAAATAAGGTCTGTGATTCACAGCGAAGATTTAGGAATTTATATTATTTCAAGATGGCAGCAACACACTAGACTAGCCATTAGCATATCATCCCTGCAGGGTGTCAACTCTATTTCTTCAAACTGAGGTGGTTCATGACTCTATCTCATTCTAGGTGTCTATTTAAAACATTTGCAATACACTTCAAAATGACCAAAGAATCAGTTTAACATTAGTTTGTAAACCTTGTGATCCATCTCTGCTTTTATTGAGGCCCCATGTCTAAACATCACATACCTTTATCATTTACAACATATAAAAACATAAAAATCTCTTATTTTCTCATCTAAAAGAGGAATTTAAAGCAAATGCGAGTAAATAACGGGTAAATAACATACTTATTTGGTTTATTAATTAGACATGTCATCACTGTGAGCAGTAAAGAATCAAAATTATTTTAGTTTCATTCATTTTTTTCATCCCAGAAGTAAATCAGTAATCTCATAGAATCAGTCTAAATGCTGTATAAAGCCTGGCAGAGGAGTGAAGGCCACTAATCAGCTTAAATAGTAACCAGAACAACAAATTCTCACACACAGTTACGACACAGAGCAACAGAGCTCACAAGTATTTATGCTCGGGGTGAGATGAGTCATCAGACGACGGCTTTTGTCAAACAGTTTATTTTAAAACTCGGCTTGATGTACAATTAATCACTATGAGGAAATTATATTGCCCGTCACGATCCAACTAATAATATTTCAAGTAAGCTAACAATACTCAAGATGATAAACAAAAACATTTCTATGTCTGCAACAGACGACCAAAAAGATTGCTTTGGAAATCCCCTGACAACAAATGCTGCTCATCACAGAGAATACAAAAAAAATCTTAATCAGTCCTAGTTTTTGATACTTCTTTTGTAATTTTTAAACTTGTGTTTTTATTCAACCTTTCTGAAGGTCTTTCAGAGTGAAGGAGGGGTTTACTCGTTTGATCATTTTTTAAATTTGTAGCAGTTTCTAGTAGGAATGAGTGCACCATTTCCTGGAACCAAACTTTGTCCACATCACAGTTGAGCTTCAGATGGCAGGTTTTGGAGTCTTATTTCCTGGTAATTTGATAACAACAATGCGATCGCCACTGACTTGCAACGTGGATGTTTTATCTCAACAAATAACACAAGCCTGGAGGAGATCTGCGGTGTGGTGGAGTTGCTAATGCTAACACTAATACTAGCCGAGACGCTCTCTGCTGGGAGTAAAGAATAAGATAGCTAGCTTGTGTTTGCTAGCAGTAACAGTAGTTTATTATGCATTAAGATGGAATTTGTTTGCATTTATACAAAAAACATTAAAACAAAGAATCTCACATGTTGACGTAAAATACTATTTTACAACCAAAGGTGTTTCTGAAAATACTGTTAGCTAAAAAATGTCATATGGTCAACTTGAGGGATGACGCATCTTTCAGATCACGTTTCATGTCTTTGCTGAAGTTGTTTTCCTATATTTCACTTTCAGATGATGATCATCTGCTGTTAAAAGAGTTGCTTCTTCTTTTGTCCTCATTTTGTTTTCCTTTCCCATATTTAAGCATAAAGGACACATTATGCTGTCATGGTTAAGCACAAGGCCAGAAAATCAGCCAACGTCTGGAGAAAAACTTTTACAGATTTTTGGGATTAATATAACTTTAAAATTTACAAATAATAATTATAATAAACAGATCTTTTCCTTGAATTAGCTTTTATCTGATGGAAATCTACAAACACAAGTTCAGTGTTTACCGCAGGACCGTGACCTGCCAGTTATCCCTGTTAACCACTCGCATATTTCTAGTTTCAGGCTGGAAAGCCTGAAAGCTGGTGATTAAATGCAAAAATACCAAAGCAGCCTTAGAGAGCAGCCGGTGAGTGCAACAACACAATACTCACCACGCTTTACGAGGGTCAGGAGCACGGCGCAGACGAGGACTTTACACTCCATGGCCTGATTTGTCCTGAGACCAAGTTCTTATCATCGGTCCGTTTGCTGTCTTATATAGAGCTACAAAGTGACAGTGGGCGGGTTGTGAAAAAAGAAATATTGTTTCTGGGCCTCACTGGAGTGAAAGAAAGCCCTTGGAGTGTTCTCCGAAAAGTTCCTCAAAGGAGTGAGAAGGGAAAAATAAAAAATGTAGAAGTGCAGGGACACACAAATAAGAACACTGGCCACTTAAAATTCAAACAGGCCTCTGGCCAAGATTTTGGGGGCTACTTTACATTGGTGCAGTGTCGCCCTGAACAAACGAGAGACTAATCCCCACTGGGCTTATGTGGGCAAACACTCAGGCGAGTCTATTAAACTCCTTTCTGTCAGGGCAAAAGTTACATTTTGAAAAAATCATTAAAAAAATCCAATTATAACAATAAATAATTAGACACAGGAGTGGTTCATCACTCAGTTAAACAAATCAGATGTGTTCATGATCTAAAACATGTAGGAAACGTGCTGGAAGCAAACTCCGGCTCAAGACCCGAACAGACCGGACCGGCACTCTGAACTTGCTAGTAGAATATTCTGGCCGGAAGAGGCAATAGGAGCTGGGTGGCCTTTCATTAAGCCTGTAAAGGGTCACTTTAGCAAGAAAATTATTTAAAAATATGAAAAGTTGCAAAGTATCCATTTAAAGCTCTAATCTTAATACTTCATCTGAATGTTTTGAGGCCAGAAGTGGTTTGATGAGATATTGTTACAATATTCTGTAAAGGGTTAATAAAAAGCAGATTGTTTAGTCAATTCTTCCATTAACAATAAGGGACACGGTGCCCATAAAAATCTTCTGATTGAGTATAAAATAAAAAAATTCCAATATGTCATCAGTCCACTGAGCATTACCTGGAACTTTCTCAGAAAAAACAAACAAATAAATGTTCTCATTTAAAACACACCATTCAGGAAATACAAACCCAGCATTTGTGTGTGTATTGAAAACCGGTTTCTCCAAAACTAAGATCAAAGTGAGATTAGCAGTCAAATGGTCAAACAACAGCAGAACAGTGAAGCAAAAGTAATGTTAGGAAACTGAAAGTAAAGTATATAACATTTCATTTGAACTTATTTTATCACAGTTATTTCTGAGACAAAACTAAAAAAGAAGCTTATCTAAGTATTTTTTTTATATAGCACTCATCACAGACATAGAATCACAAAGTGCTTCACATAGATCAAAACAAAATAAAACAAAGTTATAAAACCATAACTGTAGGGTGGTAAATATTGTTGCTTTAAGCTTAATATATTACCTTTACTTATGACCAATAAGCTGTGATATTCTGTATAAATATAGAATATCAACCTGCTTGGTCTTTGGATGTTTAATCAGAAGATTCTAGGATTCTTTTTTTTTTCAGTGATCAAACACACTTCGTCTCAATTCAGACAGTCACGTTTATAAAAGATAAGAAATTTATTTTCTAAACAATTAAAAACAAGACACGTTAACAAAGGCTACTGTGATGGATGAATCTACGTGGATTGGATGTGAAGTATGGTGATTGAATGGTGTGTGTTTATCAGAACCTTGTATCTAAAAGAACTGAGTTATGGGTGTGAAAGGAATTTGGTTTGCATTAAACTATGAAGTTGGTTCTTATCAAAACGGCATCAGACACAATCATGTGTGTCTACCTCACCCTTTCTTTGGAGACCCTCTTCGCAGATCCGGAGGTCAGGGAGGTCGGATGACCTCTGGGCACCGGGGTCTGTAGAATAACCGCAGCACTGATGCTCCAGTCCAGCGATGTCGCCAGGCACACAAGTTGGAACTAGTTTGCGTCTAGAGCAGTTGTTTCTGAATAGCTGAAGGAACCATTTTGCTGTGTCAGCGGCAGGCAGCTTTTAGCTTGTCGAAAGCAAGAGATGCGGTGGCTAGAGAGTTTTCCTCCGATGGCCAGTCAGAGTTAGCTCAACTTCTAGGATGCTGAATCTCACAGAATGCTGGAATGCTGGAATGATAAATAACTCCTCAGTGATTCTGTTTTAATTTTCTCATATTATGATTTACTTGGCCAATCGGAACGTACCATGTTAAAGGGTGTTAACAACAAACCCTCAGAACATCACGCCTTCTTTCAGATACAGGATGCTCTGATTTGTGGCTAAGAAAATATCTATGTGCAGTGATGTTACTTTAACTTTAATTTATCTCTAATGAGCATTGTGTCTGAGTGTAATGATTCTCTTGTTAAACCAAATATTACTGATCATCATAATAATATTAATTTCAACTTCAGTAATTCAAGCACAGATTAATCAATTTTATTAATTTAAGCACAGATTAATCAAAACATTATTATTATTCATCGCCCATTATTGTTCATTCGACCATATGATTATTTACTATTAAAACAGTTCAGTCCTTTATTCTGTGCAGGACAGCCTAGACAGGCAGACAAGCTTGGCAGAGAAGAACCTTGAGAAGGGAACATGATGTTGACAATGCGATATCATGTGTTCAGAGCTGCAGAACCTTCTGGGCTTGTTGGAAGCTAGAATGTAAAATCCACCTTAGAGAATGGAATTTATGTCTGTAGATGACCGGTGGCATGTAGGTCAATCTGTAGGTGAAAACTGACCTTTCCTGGACGTTACACAATGATCTCAAAACAGAAGCAGGTTAACATTAGAAAAAATAAAGTCATAAAAGTATAAAATGTCATAAACAGATGAAATATTACAATTTTGAGTTGAAAATAAAAAAATAAAAGATTTAGGTAAAAGGAGCTTCAAATAAAAGGGTCTTTAGCTGTTTTTTAAAAGTGTCCAGACTGTCAATGATACGTAAGGATAAAGGAAGATCATCCCAAAGTTGGGGTGTAACAGTCTAGGAGGAGTGATCACCTCAACTTTTATATCTGGTCTTTGGAACTTCTAGAAGGTTCTGGTGGGTGGACCTGAGGGCTCGGGTTGGAGCATAAGGCTTTAACAGTTCAGTAATATAGGGAGGAGCTTGACTGTGTAGAGCATTGAAAGTTATAATCAGGACTTTAAAATGAACTCTAAAGTTAACGGGTAACCAGTGCAGAGACATCAGAACAGGAGTGATGTGTGCTTTTCTGTTTGCTCCAGTTAGGAGCCTTGCTGCAGAGTTCTGGACCAACTGATGGCGGTCAAGGGCTTTATTTGTTAAAACGTGTGAAGTGTGTGTTACAGTAATCTAGACGGGAGGAGATAAAGGCATGGATAACCGTTTCAAGTTCTTGACTCAGAGTAGTCTGAGATGTATGTTTGTTTTTGTCAAGCTTGGGTTACTTGAGTGTAAAAGAAATAACACACACGAGAAACAAAATGTGGGTTTTCTACATGCAATAATTGATGAACACATCCAAATGTAAATCTAGAGGTTGTCGAGCCATCCCGGGTCATTCTGGAATGCATTTCCAATGAATGTGAGACCGTCCTCCTCTTTCCAGGTTTTCAGAAGTCATTTGAAGACTAATTTTTGCTTGCTAGCATTCCTAAATAGAGAGCAAAGATCTTATGGCGCATAGAGATATTTGTTTTTCTGTTTCTGTTTTGTTCTCTTCTATGTATTTTATGTTTTAGTTGCCTTATCTGTTTATACGTTCCTGTGGTTTTAATGGTTTAACATGCATGCTGGGATGATGATGATGATGATGGCGATGATGACGGCAATTATGATGATGATGATGATGATGAAAGAATCTCTCACCACTTTTGAAACACATTTCTGTTTTCACAAACATAGGTCTGTGTAAGTCAACTGTATTAAAAGATTAAAGAGAGATTTTTCAGGAACAAGTGAACATGTTTTACAAGTTGTGCAACAAACCTGTTCAGTATGAAAAAAAAAGCCAAGCCCATTTATGAACAAAAGCTGAGCGAGGAGTCACACAAGTCTGAAAGTTGATATCCATAAACATGCCATCCAATCATTGTCTATTTCTAGATGTTAAGAACTTCCTATGTTTGTGGCAGAAAGAGAAACAGGTTTGAGGACGACTGTCTGCTCCAGCTACAGGTGCTCTCTGCAGATGAAGTGCTTTATGATCACTCAGAGCTTCCAGAGTGAACAGGATGGTTGCTCTGACTCTATGGATACTCTTCACATTTTCGCATCTCTCCAGGAAAGGTTAGAACTTATTCTCATCTTCTACAAACTAAATCTTACTTCTTGACACTTAGTTTAGTTGTATATGGTTATATACATACAGGGAGTGCAGAATTATGAGGCAAGTTATATTTTGAGGAATAATTTTATTATTGAACAACAACCATGTTCTCAATGAACCCAAACAACTCATTAATATCAAAGCTGAATGTTTTTGGAAGTAGTTTTTAGTTTGTTTTTAGTTTTAGCTATTTTAGGGGGATATCTGTGTGTGCAGGTGACTATTACTGTGCATAATTATTAGGCAACTTAAAAAACAAACATACCCATTTCAATTATTTATTTTTACCAGTGAAACCAATATAACATCTCCACATTCCCAAATATACATGTCTGACATTCAAAAACAATACAAAAACCAATCAGCAACCAATATAGCCACCTTTCTTTGCAAGGACACTCAAAAGCCTGCCATCCATGGATTCTGTCAGTGTTTTGATCTGTTCACCATCAACATTGCGTGCAGCAGCAACCACAGCCTCCCAGACACTGTTCAGAGAGGTGTACTGTTTTCCCTCCTTGTAAATCTCACATTTGATGATGGACCACAGGTTCTCAATGGGGTTCAGATCAGGTGAACAAGGAGGCCATGTCATTAGTTTTTCTTCTTTTATACCCTTTCTTGCCAGCCATGCTGTGGAGTACTTGGATGCGTGTGATGGAGCATTGTCCTGCATGAAAATCATGTTTTTCTTGAAGGATGCAGACTTCTTCCTGTGCCACTGCTTGAAGAAGGTGTCTTCCAGAAACTGGCAGTAGGACTGGGAGTTGAGCTGGACTCCATCCTCAACCTGAAAAGGCCCCACAAGCTCATCTTTGATGATACAAGCCCAAACCAGTACTCCACCTCCACCTTGCTGGCGTCTGAGTCGGACTGGAGCTCTCTGCCCTTTACCAATCCAGCCACGGGCCCATCCATCTGGCCCATCAAGGCTCACTCTCATTTCATCAGTCCATAAAACCTTAGAAGAATCAGTCTTGAGATATTTCTTGGCCCAGTCTTGACGTTTCAGCTTGTGTGTCTTGTTCAGTGGTGGTCGTCTTTCAGCCTTTCTTACCTTGGCCATGTCTCTCAGTATTGCATACCTTGTGCTTTTGGGCACTCCAGTGATGTTGCAGCTCTGAAATATGGCCAAACTGGTGGCAAGTGGCATCTTGGCAGCTGCACGCTTGACTTTTCTCAGTTCATGGGCAGTTATTTTGCACCTTGGTTTGTCCACACGCTTCTTGCGACCCTGTTGACTATTTTGAATGAAAAGCTTGATTGTTCGATGATCACGCTTCAGAAGCTTTGCAATTTTAAGACTGCTGCATCCCTCTGCAAGATATCTCACTATTTTTGACCTTTCTGAGCCAGTCAAGTCCTTCTTTTGACCCATTTTGTCAAAGGAAAGGAAGTTGCCTAATAATTATGCACACCTGATATAGGGTGTTGATGTCATTAGACCACACCCCTTCTCATTACAGAGATGCACATCACCTAATATGCTTAATTGGTAGTAGGCTTTCGAGCCTATACAGCCTGGAGTAAGACAACATGCATGAAGAGGATGATGTGGACAAAATACTCATTTGCCTAATAATTCTGCACTCCCTGTATGGTGTTGTTAGTGATGAGAAACAAAACTGTTAAACCACAATTAAATATGTACAGATTTTTTTCTGCTCATCATGAATTTTTGGATCACTAATAATAAAAGTGAAACATGCAGCCACTGAAAGGGAATGTATTCACATATCTATCATACCTTATATGATAATAATGAGTTAGAAAATATGCTTTGTAATAAAAAAGTAACAACACATCATCAGATAAAAAGCTGTAGCTGTACTACCCCCTTGTGGTTGATTTTTGGCACAGCCACCAATTGTGTAACTTTTACCTCTCTTGTTCCTCCAGGGGTAAAGACTCAGGGTAAGTTCATTTACATTTATTAAAAAATCTATTTCACTCCTTACAATTTTTTAAATGTTTTGCTTTGATCACATCTAAATATTTCAGTTCAGCAAACACAATTCATATCAGACAAAGAAAATGTTATCAGCAAAATTCCAGGTCCTCAAGAGTCAAATCAGCCACAGACTATCACACTACCACCACCATGTTTGACTGCTGGAAGAATGTGTTATTCTGAAATTCAGTGTCCGTTTGACCCCTGATGGAATGGAACACACACTTTCAGAAAGTTCTCCTTTGGTCTCATGAATAAAAATTTTCCCAGAAAACTTGTGACTTGTCACAATGTTTCTTGTCCAACGTGAGATTGGGTTTTGTGTTCTACTATGTTAGCAGAGACTGAATGAATTTCAATAAATTTCAACCATCTTTTATTTCACAAACGTGAAAGGAGCAAGGAGCACATGAATGAAGCAAATGCCACAGCTAATTAATCTTATTAACAAATCAGGCTTTGATGGCGATGAAGTTGGCCCCTATGTGAACTGATGGAGCTGCTGTCAGCCCCATCAACAGTGTTGTAGCTACACTCCAGCAACTTCCTGTTGACTCCCTTTTTCACATTCTGTGCACCACACACACACACACACACACACACACACACACACACACACACACACACACACACACACACACACACACACACACGCACGCGCGCACACGCACACACACACACACACACACACACGCACGCACGCACGCGCGCGCACGCACACACACACACACACACACACACACAATTTGCTTATCGCAACGTTCCTTACTGTGAAACATTCAAACACTGCTGCAATTTTAATGACAGAATTGTGGATAAAAAACCCAGCCTTTTATTACGATTATTTTTAACTGTTTAAACTGTTTTTTTGTTTTGTTTGAGATGTGATTTTTATCTTGAAAGGCATTATATAAAAAATATAAAATCATTATTTGAAAACAACATGCTGCTTTTACTCTAATTCTCTTTTTCTGAGTGTGAAGTTATTTGTTGAACTGAAACTAAAAGTACTACAAAAGGGTAAAGGCAGAAGAAATCTTTGAGGGAGCTGGAGGGATGCTTTTTCAAGACACTCTTCATGATTTGAATGATGAATATATGAAGGCGTACTGGAAGACAGTGCTTGGACACATACTTAGTGTACTTTGTTTTGTCAGACTGTGGAATCGCACCTCTAAACACAAGAATAGTCGGAGGTGACAATGCAACGTCTGGGTCGTGGCCCTGGCAGGTCAGCATACACTACTCAACAAGTCACATCTGTGGAGGGACGCTCATCAATGACCAGTGGGTGTTGACAGCAGCCCACTGCATTCTGACGTAAGATCCGCGCAGCTGGTGATCTTTGCTTGCCCTAAAAAATATAATCTGAGATCTGTTTTCTATCAGAAGCTAATGCAGGAGATAGGTGTAGGAGACTATTTTCATGTTCAGCCTGCATGAAAATCTCAGAGTGATCAATTAAAATCAGAAATAATCATTGAAATGTTTTTTCAGTGAAACACACCAACAAAACAAAGACCTCATCTTGTTTGAGCACACATCCTTTTTTGGAGTGGAAAGCAAGTGCTTACATGTAGAGGGTGGTGTCAGCTGATTCTGACCAAATAAGGAACATTTATTGTATTCTTACAGCTCATCCTCATTGCACACTTGGGTCACAAACTGCTGGGCCTTTAACAATTGGAACATGCACAGACGTAGGATGTCTCACTTCAGGTTTTTGGGTTACTTTTTACAGAGTGAGAATTATTCCAACACTTGTAGGCAGCTAAACTCATGTTACACAATTAAAACTATTAATTTGATGTAAAGCTTCGCTTCGCCAGTGAGATATAACTGCATAGCAACTTTCTGAAAGTGCTATGTCTGTGTGGCTTTCACCCCACCACATGGTTATTAGTGCACACCAAAGTGGTTTTTGTTTCATGTCTAGTTTCTATTAAAGAAGGAAGTGAAATTCAGAAAATGCACCAGTAGTCTCAGTATTATGATGGACAAAGTATGATGATTTTATAAGCAAAACAGCGATGCAGCTTTAGATGCGGCTACGTAGTGTTAGCTAGTGCTGTTACAGAGGACAAAATAACATAAACAGCTGAAATGTGCACTGGTTCACAGTGGCAGTTTTACCATTAGGCATAGGTCGGCGGCCGCCTGGGGCCCCCTTGTGTTGGGGGGCCCCTAGCCCTGACTGCCGGCACCCCTCTGTTAATGCCACAATATTCTTATTACCAACCTGTCGCCGCAGACAGGACTGGACATGCACAATTCTCATTACCATAATTCCTGAACCGTTCAAGATATCATTAAAATTCCAAAAGTGCTGAAAAGATCAAAAATGGGGCTTTTCTGGCATATACAATACATTACGGTAGCCACCGGGATTCCCTGTCTTGAGCGCAACGAATCACAACACAGATTCAGAGACGTGCTGAGTTTGTCATCCAAAATGCTCCGTTTTATAACTTTTGAATGGCTGACTATGGCGTCAGATGGGTGCCAAAACCCGTGCACGCATATTCCGCGTGCATGGGTCCACATCGCGCATGGAACGGGACTCACGCGTGGAAGTTAGCATCTCTCGAGCGAAAATATACATGGCGAGAGCGCTGCATTGGGATCTGCAGTCAGAAAAAGGAAAAACCCCTTTTCGCACATAAGTGACGAAAAAGGGCACTTTTGGCGTCAAGGGTCTGACGCGGAGTGTGGCTGACCAAGCGTTTGTTTTTGACGTTCTGGGAGTGAGAATGTGTTGGGATAACGGAACGGGGAAGCTAATTAGCATAAAAAGCCAGCATGAAATTATGGAAATGCCTCAAAGAAAATCAACACGATGTAATAGATGTCCCAGAAGGCTTATATCTGAAGACAGTGACCACGAAGAAGGACAGATCTCCAGTGAACCAGGGTATGATTGTTTGTTCAGTCTTTATTTTTTATTTTTTATTTGAACAACCCTCAACTATTTGCTAATTGTAAGATTCAGCTTCATCCCAGCATTATTTATCTTTTTGTAATAAATAATTATTTTTGCTAAAACAAAAGTTTTTGGTATAGCAGTGCACGGTGTGCAAGAGAAGCACCCCATGGCAGTGTGAGGAGTGCAGGACTCGGCCTGCAGCTGGAGAGAAACTGCTTCAAGGCCTACCACATCAAATAAAAACATCTGAAAGTTTACAAAAATAAATGGTCTTAAAAACTGCTGAAAAAGATACCAAGGTTCACACTTTTTTAAGAATAGATGCATTACTGTTCGAAGTGTAAATTGTTTGCCCGGTAATTTTGAAGTTCCTGTTCAGTAATAAACGTAAAAAATTCCAATCCGTTTTTTTTTGTTGCTTTTTTCACTTCTAAGCTGATTTTTTAAAGGCTTTAATAGAAATGATATACTATTTTAATTCACTGTTAGCAGTGTTAGCTCATTGTATGGCTCAAGTCTTCTTTTATGGTGGAGTAAAACAAAAAGGATGTAGTGGCCTCTTAGAGCTAGATTAAATAACTTTTGAGCCACACATTTTAATGGTGTTCCAGGCTGTTCACAGCACAGCTGCTATTTGCTGGCTGGTGTTAAATTACAAATGCTGATGAAGCAATGTTTGCTGGTGAAGACTTGGCAACCCCGTGGGCTCAAATATGATTGACCCTGGAACCAGAAAGTAGGGAGGTGGGAAAGATTATAAACAAAGGCTGCTTCCCTCTTCAGCCTTTTTTAAAGGAGAAAAACTGGCAGGCCCCCCAGCCAGCTGAGAAGAAAATCTGTTTCAGTGTAATCTTCCTTCCAACATGACTGAGACATTAGACTATTTTGTGATTATTTCACTGTAAAATTCTTACTTATTGCACCTTTGAGCTAATTAAAAAAAGAATTAATCTACTTTTACTAGTCCAAGTTATTTTTGGACTAGTAAAACACCACGGCACACAACTCACCAACTTTTCTCTTTCTAAATCACAACTTTGTGCAGAACTTGATTTAGCAACCTCTAACCATTTAAAAACCAGCTTTCCTCATAAAATTAAAAAATGTTTTTAAAATTATTGGAAAAACTTTAAGGACAACACGTTTTGATGGCCATTAGGCAAAAATCACCTTTTGAAAATTTGCAAAACAGCATCTGATAGACTACATGTGTATGAGATTCATTGACAGTGACCAGTACTTTTAAGAGTATACAGGTGCTGGCCAGTAAATTAGAATATCATCAAAAGGTTGAAAATATTTCAGTAATTCCATTCAAAACGTGAAACTTGTACATTATATTCATGCAATGCACACAGACCAATGTATTTCCGATGTTTATTACGTTTAATTTTGATATTTATAGGTGACAACCAATGAAAACATCAAATCTGGTATCTCAGAAAATTAGAATATTCTAAAGGCCAATGAAAAAATGTTTGTTTCTCTAATGTTGGCCAACTGAAAAGAATGAACATGAAAAGAATGTGCATGTATAGCACTCAATACTTAGTCGGGGCTCCTTTTGCCTCAATAACTGCAGTAATGCGGCGTGGCATGGACTCGATCAGTCTGTGGCACTGCTCAGGTGTTATGAGAGCCCAGGTTGCTCTGATAGTCGTCTTCAGCTCCTCTGCATTGTTGGGTCTAGCGTATTGCATCCTCCGCTTCACAATACCCCATAGATTTTCTATGGGGTTAAGGTCAGGCGAGTTTGCTGGCCAATCAAGGACAGGGATACCATGGTCCTTGAACCAGGTGCTGGTGGTTTTGGCACTGTGTGCAGGTGCCAAGTCCTGTTGAAAGGTGAAGTCTGCATCCCCATAAAGTTGGTCAGCAGCAGGAAGCATGAAGTGCTCTAAAACTTCCTGGTAGACGGCTGCATTGACCCTGGACCTCAGGAAACAGAGTGGGCCAACACCGGCAGATGACATGGCACCCCACACCATCACTGACGGTGGAAACTTTACACTGGACCTCATGCAACGTGGATTCTGTGCTTCTCCGCTCTTCCTCCAGACTCTGGGTCCTTGATTTCCAAAGGAAATGCAGAACTTGCTTTCATCAGAAAACATAACTTTGGACCACTCAGCATCAGTCCAGTCCTTTTTGTCCTTGGCCCAGGCGAGACGCTTCTTGCGCTGTTTCTTGTTCAAGAGTGGCTTGACACACGGAATGCGACACCTGAATCCCATGTCTTTCATGAGTCTCCTCGTGGTGGTTCTTGAAGCGCTGACTCCAGCTGCAGTCCACTCTTTGTGGATCTCCCCCACATTTTTGAATGGGTTTGTCGTCACAATTCTCTGCAGGGTGCGGTTATCCCTAGAGCTTGTACACTTTTTTCTACCACATTTTTTCCGTCCCTTCGCCTGTCTGTTAATGTGCTTGGACACAGAGCTCTGCGAACAGCCAGCTTCTTTAGCAATCACCTTTTGTGTCTTGCCCTCCTTGTGCAAGGTGTCAATGATTGTCTTTTGGACAGCTGTTAAGTCAGAAGTCTTCCCCATGATTGTGGTGCCTTCAAAACAAGACTGAGGGACCTTTTAAAGGCCTTTGCAGGTGTTTTGAGTAAATCAGCTGATTAGAGTGGCAGCAGGTGTCTTCTATATTCAGCCTTTTCAGAATATTCTAATTTTTTGAGATACCAAATTTGGAGTTTTCATTAGTTGTCACTTATGAATATCAAATTTAAATGTAATGAACATTGGAAATACATTGGTCTGTGTGCATTGCATGAATATAATGTACAAGTTTCACGTTTTGAATGGAATTACTGAAATATTTTCAACCTTTTGATGATATTCTAATTTACTGGCCAGCACCTGTAATGTTCATTTAGTGGTTATGGTTACTCAGCACTATTTTGAAATGTACCTAGAACAATATGATGATTTCTATGAATATAAGAATCATTTATAATTTATTAATAGATTTTGGCCATGCTGGAGCCATATTGACTATAACTCTAGTAGTTTCCATCCGATATAATTAAAATTAAGAGAACTATTAGGTTTTGTTCTTCTTGGTTTGTTTTACCCACTTTCTCAATTTAAAAAAGGATTAAATAGATCATGGTACCAAAAACAAGACTTGTAATCAACAAAGTCATTAGATAAAAGTTCAGCAAAGTTTCTGAATAGAAAAGATTTTACTTTGGCCAGCTGGTGTACCAGCATCATTAAGCTGCTGGTGTAAACCAAAAATGTCAAAAACTGACGAGTAAAAATAAAACAAACATTAAAAACAAAGTATTCTTCTTATACAGGAGGACACTGAGTGTGTGGACTTTATACCTTGGAAGAGAGACTCAAGCTGGCCCAAATGTCAATGAGGTTTCACGTAGTGTGTCCCAGATCATCGTCCATCCCAACTACAACAACACACTGTACAACAACGACCTCGCCTTGATGAAGCTCGGCACCTCTGTCACTTTCACTGACTACATCAGACCTATCTGCCTCGCCAGCAGCTCCAGCCAGTTCTTCAACTCCACCCTATGCTGGGCTACCGGCTGGGGAAAACTTAATAAGACCGGTGAGGATCTCTGCAGGCTTTTGGTTGTAAAAGTCACATTTATAATCTGTGAAACACAAAGAAAAAAACACATTTTACTCGGTTTTTGACAGAGAATTTGCCAGTTACCCAGCCTCTGCAGCAGGTTCAGGTTCCTGTCATTGGAAACAAGCAGTGCAGCTGCAACTACATCTCAACAGATGCAACCATCACTAGCCAAATGATCTGTGCAGGGCAGCAGAACAAAGGATCATGTCAGGTTACAAGGCTTTATTGTAATATCTAGAGTATTCTTTAGGTGTTTGCTTGTTGATATACACACAATATGAATATGGGTAATGATTGGCAGGAAACAAAATACATAGATTTGTTTTTCTGAGTACTTTTACATGAAATTCCTGAGTGTGCATCTCACCGTTTGTTAATTATAACCATTTTGCATCTCTGAATGTTTTAGGGAGACTCTGGAGGACCTCTGCAATGTTAACAAGGCTCATCTTGGATCCAGGCCGGCATCACAAGCTTTGGGATACCTTGTGCCCTGTCTGGTTTCCCTGAAGTCTATGCCCGGGTCTCAGAGTTTCAGACGTGGATCACAAGTCAAGTAGCAGGCACCACAGTTAACTTTGTGACAGTCACTTCTACTGGAACGGACCAAGACAGCAGCTTTGTGTGTGAAACCACAACAGGAAGTTCAGTCAGGTTTTCAGCTGAGCTTTCACTGGTCACATTAATGACGGTGGTCCTGTATCAAGTTTTACTTCAATAGATCAGTTTAAAAAAAATAAAAAATAAACAATGCACTTTAATCATTCTTCACAACGTATTTCAAGTGGATGGGTGTGTTTCCACTGGCCTTGAAGCAACTTGTCTTGTCCCAGAAGCAGTGTCACATTGTTGCTCTACATATCTATTAATTTATCTATGTATCTGTTTACGCTTTAGCTCTATTTTTTATGTGCCTCGCTTCCGAACACATCAAGCTCAGCATTTTGGATCGGGCCAGACAGAAGGTCAAACATGGGAGCAGCGGTAAACAATTTGGCAACTTTCAAAATAAAAGACTTCTTCAGATTTCTAATTGTTTAATCAATAACATTACATATGAAACAATGGCAGAGGTAAAAAAGAAATTTTAAATTAAACTGCAACAGACCTTTTGTATACATGCTGCTATCCCTGTCCTTGCTTGTTATTGGTAAACTGCCAAAATCACATGTGATGTTGCAATTCTATGGTGATTTCATGACCTTGCGGGACCAACTGTCTGGAATGTGTTCATTGCCGATTTGGTATGAAACACTGAGAAGGGATGCACCGTGGAGCCCACTGAGGAAATGTGTCTATAAAGTTAAGCACCGGTAATGCACCCAGTGCAAAACCCAGGTACGGTTTGTAAAATAAATGATCAAGTAAATTATAGGATTTTCAGCTCAGCTCTTTCTTCGCCATGAACCTGAATCCAAACCCTCGTTACTCTAGACCAAGCCCTGATTCATTGGTCCGTTTTAAATTTAATCCTAACATCACCAAAAATATACCAAGATAATTAAACTCCTAGATATCCAATCTAGTGGAAGTATTCTGACTTTCTAATGATGAGATGTCTGTAATAAACAACTCTTCAGAAGCATAGTGTGGGCAAGGTGGAGAAATGAGGGCCCGGGTGTCATGACGGGAGGCAGTTTCTTGTCCCACGACATGCAGAATCACACACGGAGAGCAGGATGGTAAGTCAAAGGTTTTATTTTTGGAAATAACGAGCAACGGAGGTTCGGGACTCGACGAGATGCAGGACTGGCAGCAGGAATCCAGGAGGAGGTGTCTAAGGAGGGAGACAGAGTGAATAACTAATGGAAACAGATGGAATTTAACTGGAGACTGGTCTTACTGTTTCTTGGCAGCACTAAATGCACCGGGAGGGTTGTCGGGTCCGGGTGAGCTGAGGATATCCAAGAAAGGTGGTTGGTTTGTCCAGAGGTGCAGGAGCTGAAATGGATGTGGTAGGTGAGCGGCTGAGAGCGGGCGGTCAGAGGATGGAGAAGTGTGGCAAGTAGGTTGTGATCCGGGTTTGTTCTGGAGAGGCTGAGGACTTTAAGAGGAACCCAAACTGAGTAAATCATCCGGCGTGGTGAAGAGTCACTTAAATCCCCTGGCCTTGATGATGAGATCAGCTTCAGCTGGGAGCTCTCAGACACGCCCACCTGTGGAAACAAGCTCAGTAGAAAAATCAGGTTACAGGCAGGCAGCTCACCACGGACCATGACACCGGGTGGGATTCAATCCCCAGACTCCTGGGTGAGAGTTGCACACACTAACAAGGCAGCCAAAGTGACATCCCCTTGGCCAAGTAGCCAGGGTGCATGATCAATCGGGATACAGTGACAGGACGCTCACACTGTCACATCTTTCCCCCTCTTTCCACAAGCACGTCCCTATGCTCCCACGCAGGGTGCCACAAACTTCAAATCCATGGACCTACTTGACAGTACTGCATGGAACGCCAAATGTGGCATGGTGGAGAAACGAGGGCCCAGGCGGGATTCGATCCCCAGACTCCCGGGTGAGAGTCACGCGCGCTAACCAGTCAGTCAAAGGGACATCCCCTTAGTCAAGTAGCCAGGGCGCATGATCAGTCGGGTCACAGTGACAGGACACTCACACTTTTTTGCCATTTAGATTTCTGCAAGCCTACAAATCCAATCGTTTGTGCACCCATTAGTTTTTATTAAAATGGGCAAATACATAAACAGCGGAAAACCTATTTAGTCTTATCTCCCAATATCGGTAAAATATGCCAAAAATAACTATGAAAAAAAACAACATGAGGAAAACTGGACAGATCTGGAAATACTAGCAAAATATATTTATTTTATTTTTATTTTAGTTATTTAACGTTTATTTATCCAAATGATTCTGATTTGTGCATCTTCAATGTGAAATGAGGGCTCTGTGCATCTCAGATTGAATGCATGGTCAGGAAGTGTCAGCTTTGAGAGAAGGAAGTTTCTCAGGCCTGTTTTAGACAGAGAACTCCTAGATCTGTGGCTCTGAATACAATATTTAAATGTGAAATCCCAATTTACACAACTCTGAATTAGCCCCAGTGTCTTAACTAAAAGTCTGGCTAATTTTAGCAGTGTTGCCACAGTCACATAAAGTGTAACCTGATTAATCCTATAAAAATAAACTAGGATGTTTTACAGAAAATTTCAAAAATGAAATAAGATAGATTATTTATAATATCTTATATATAATATATTTATAATATATTTATCTGATAATTTATACTTCTCCATCAGCTCCACTGGGTATAGTCATGCACGCATGGACAGAAACGTTTTCAAGCAGACTTCTCCATCTCCTGGGGAGTGTTGCAAAGCACATCCCCGGCAGGACAACAGAGGGCGCAGCGCTGTTCTGAGGTATCCTGTCATGAATACGGTTCAAGATAATGTGTTCATATTGTGTTTTTTTTGTATTTAAGATACTTTTTAACACAGACAAATTACTCCCTCATCCTCCTCCAACTCTTCATGCGCTCGCCAACTCTAAACCTACATTTCCCATCATTTCCATCAACGAATAAAACGCTTTCTGTGCAACTTTTCACTCCTTTAGTCACGGGGGAATCAAACATTTTTAAGAGTTTTTTTCCAGGAGGTGATCTTCAAGCTGCGAGATATCCTCGGCTTTCTTTATATTTTTGAGGGCGCAATGGCGGCGTTGTGTAGACGACAGCGGCATCCTGACCAATCACAAGCTTACGTTCTCCATCTCGACAGATGGATGTTTAGAAAAGAGAGCTTGACTCCGTCCGTCCTTGCGAGGGCTCTCCAGCAGGCTCACAAGGACAGATAATGGAGTTGCGTTGCGCAGACGGAGAAGTATAAATTAGGCTTTACTGTATGTAAAGGCTGGGCAATAAATCGAAAATTTATCGTTATCAAAACTTCTCACACTTATCGGGATAAATTTTCCCATGTCAATAAATTAGATAATAAACAAATGAAAAGATGTGTGTAGGTTGGCAACATTCGCTTTAAGAAGCTGTACCACCTTGAGTCATGTAAAAATGTGACTCAACGTAATACATGTGACAGCCCCATCTAGTGGACAACTTTTATTTCTGTGCATATCTGTAGTTATCGCCCATTTATCGTTATCAAGATGAAATTCTCAACATATCGTGATATTGATTTTAGGCCATATCGCCCAGCCCTACTCTATGTGAGTTGGTGTGTGAATGGTTTTAAGTCTGGTTAATGTCTGTGTATTCCTGAGGTGGACTGGCAACTTGTCCAGGGAGTCCATCGCCTCTTGCACAAGTTAGGCAGCTCCCGACATCTATAACCCTGCATCTATAAGTATTACTACAATATTCCTGTGGTTTGAAATCAGCGTTTATTGTTGAACGTTTTCAACGTGAATAATAATATCAGTGAACTATTGGGCATTTTCTGCTATCGACTAGTACAGAAGTCTGAGATGATGCCATTTTGTTGTTTGTACAAATGTTGACACTTTTTGGTCCAAATAATGATAAACAATATGTTATTTGTAAGATGTTATCAGCAGTAAGGAAGAGCGTGAGTTTTTCAGCCCTGGATGTACCACAAACAGCCTGAGGCTATTATTAACCACAACCTGCTGCCATGTTTAGATGGTGACAAAGTGTGGGTCACATTCCACCGAACGGCTGCTGTGACTAAAATGGATGAAGCATTTGTTACGGCTCACATTTGTTGTCTCAGATTTAGTCAGCCCTCCTGCTGAGTTTTGAACGCTGTGACTCATTATTGCTGTTCCACTTTTCTCTGACTGGTTTCATCTGAATTTATTATAAATCTAAACCTTATTTGGTGAAGACAGAAGCAAGTTTTAAGCATGATCTGTCTTTTCACACATCTATTTTTTTTTTGCAGAAGTGAAGCAATTTCCTTAAGAATTCAAATTGTGAACCAAATGTGGTGCTTTTTACAAAACTGACCATTTTACACACACATGTCTCCATTTTCACCAAAACACAGAATTCTTTATAATGTTTGAAAAAAATTGAGTTTAGTTTCAAGTAAAATGTTCTTTTGTGTTTGAAATGACACACATGTCTCTCACCTGACTACAATACAGGAAATGCTCATCATTGTTGATTCTGCACAAGTTTGTGCGTTTTCTTCTTGTTGTGCATTCTGAAGAATGTAGTGAAGAACAGACATGTAGCACAGCCCAAAAAAACATGAAACAGCAGCTTTGGAAATAAACTTTATGTTTTGCTCCAGTTACATTCTGCACTTGTTGAAGGCAGACAAAGAAAGAAAAGTTGCATAAAAACAAATTGGGAATCAAAGGTGTTTAAAAAGTAAAGGTAAGGGAATGGAGGCAGACATTTTCACCATAAATTCTGATGGTTTTTCTTCCTTCTCTTTTGCTTTCTGCCATGGTGTTGTTAAAGCTGTTAATTATGATGTTATCTGTGGGCAAGGGATTTTACATTAGCACTGGTATTTTTCTTTAGTGTTGCAGAGATGGTGAATGGAAGGTGGCAAGGCTATCCGTACTCAGTAAGCATGGTTAGCCACAAACAGTGACTCTCCACCAGCAGCGCTGTCTCCAGAAGAAACATACTTCCCCTGGCAGGCCTGGCTGTTGGCCTGCAGAAGGAGAAAATAACAACAAGAATGAATCTTTAATGAAGCTGAGGATCCATTTGGAAGCTAGGTATTCACACATACCAGAGCTCTCTTGACGAACTCATCCTGGCATGCTTTTCCATTCTCCTTCTTGCCCCCCCAGGCTTTCAGGGCAGAGGCCTGCAGGGCACGGCCATATGAGAAGGTCAGAGCCCAGGGCCTGTGCAAAGGGCACTGGTTCATTGCATTCAGGTTGACTGTGGCCTCCTCCTCACTCTGGCCACCTGACAGGAAAGTGATTCCTGTACAGGAGAATACAAGGGAGACATGTAAATGAAGACTTTATAAATCCGTCTGTTTACAAGCTGTACATCTTGTTTACCGGGAACGGCAGGGGGCACAGTGCGACGCAGGGCAGTAACAGTTGCCATGGCGATCTCCTGGTTGCTGTACTTATGAGAGCAGGAGTGTCCGGGGGTGACCATGTTGGGTTTGAGCAGGGTGCCCTCCAGGTAGACGTGGTGGTCAGACAGGGCCTTGTAGACAGCTGCCAGAACCTTCTCAGTGACGTACTGACAGCGCTTCAGGTCATGATCGCCATCAGGGAGGATCTCAGGCTCAACAATGGGGACAATGCCATGCTGAGGGGTAAAACAGGTCAAAAGGACTCTATTAGGGGCAGTATACCATACATTTTTCTTGGCATTCCTTTGCTATGGTGAAAGCATTGCCATTTCTTCGTAAACCATAACTAAGGGTTCATAGATCTGAACTCTTCAAGTCAAATCCTGTTAAGAGTAAAACTGTCACAAAAATGTTTCCCTGCAGAACTTGCATGTGGTTTTGCTTCCTTAGAATAAAACGCTTATCATACATGCCCAGCACGCAGGAAGGAGGTGGGTGGGATGATATAGTGACTATGTCATTCTTCAAGAAAAAAAAAAATCAGCTGCTTCCTGGTACAGAAAATCCAAGTAATAATTTTAAGTGGCATTTCTCAGTTTTAACTTAGTAAAAGTTTTAAGGGTTCATGCTCATCTAAGCATCTATCTGTGGTGTCTCACCATCTGGCAAATGCTAGCATAGCGAGCCAAGACATTGGCATTCTCAATGATGGCCAGCCGTGAGGGCGTGGTGGGGGTGATCTTCAGAACACAACGCCACTTGGCAAAGTCGGCGCCATCCTTCTTGTACTGTGCGCAGCGCTCATACAACCCATCAAGCCCTGTTGAGGAGGATTGATATGAGAAAATAGCCAGAGAAAACATTGCTGAAATATTCAGGCTGTGTCATGATCGTATGTTTGTTGACCTTGGGTGGTTGTCTCGCCATTTGTTCCAGCCAGGGGGACGACACCCTTGTCAACCTTGATGCCAACCACCATGCCTCTTTCCTTGAGGTATTGTGGGAAGACTTTGCCATCATCTGTCTTTTGGTACATGGTCTCATGGAAGAGAATGACGCCGCCGATGCAAGGCACAACACGGTCCTCAGCAGTGAAGAGGAGCTGGCGGTACAGCCTCCTGTTCTCCTCTGTGTTTTCAGCATTGATGCTCTGGAAGCGTTTGGCTACACTGCCTGTGGATTATCATATCAATCATACAACAACCATGCCTTTCTCTCTCATCTCTACTGTCCTGCACCAAAGGCAAATTCAATAAGTTTTACTTGACAGTTCAGCATTGTCCTTTTTTGATTTTAGCTGCCTGGCCTGTAACATTTGGTCTTAGGGTACTTTTTAACATACCATCCTATAATCAGATTTTTTTGGCAGACTGACTTGTAAAAAGTGTTGAAGGTTGATGCAGTTAGCTGGGTTCCTTATATAGGATTATTTTTTCTGATTGGCTTAATGAACTGACCTGTGTTGGAATGTTTACTATGTGAAGTGCCTTGAGACGACTCTTGTCGGGATTTGGCGCTATATAAATAAACTTGAGTTGATTTGAATTTAATCAAGACAGGACCATCTCAGCTGCTAGGTGGTTTTGGTGTTTTCGGTGATGTAAAACAGTCTCTGGGAAACCAGCAAGACAAACCTAGAAAAGTGTTTTTAGTATCTATTTTGGCTTGTGTAACTCTGTGGTGAATAACATACCCTGTTGATACTTTATGCTCGTACATACTGAGTAGTAATAACAATCTTCAATGACCTTCTTACCAGTGGACTCATCTGCAGCAAGGATTCCCTTGCCAGGAGCGACAATCCTCTGAGCAATATCACTGAGCTCCTTCTTCTGTTCAGGGGAGAGGAAGGGGTATGCGTGAGGCATCTTGACTCTGGACAGAAAAAGGACCAGACAAATCCTGTCAGTAAAGTCAGCGACAGGTCTCAACATTGACAGACACAAGGGGTAAAAGTTCAGCGAAATTGCAAAGCTGCAATGTTTTATAATCAGAGGTCTTGGTTTTCTTCTGTATGACAAACCAGTGTGAGAAAGTTAAAGATGAAAGGAGGACAGCGATGCAGGAACACAGCAGTGAGACAGATGTGTGGTTTTCCTGTGTGTCTATGTCCTAGTGAAGAACGAGAACAACCAAGGCTCTAATTGTGTGTTTGTAGATGGTCTATCTGCAACTGTAGCAGAGGTCCAGATGACGTCATTACTACAACATGAGAGGATGCAGTAGGTTTGGATGAGTCAAAATGCAGAGCTGTCACGGTGTTATGGCAGAAAGAAAATTGGGTGTCAGACAACAGATATTATCAAAGCGCACTTGCAGACTGTTCCTTTTTCTGTCTTGAGCTGAGACAGTCTTGATAGACAAATATATCAGCTAATGTGTTTTATTTTTATATTTTCTTTTATGTTATGTTTGTTTATTGGCATTTGTTTTAGGGATGTATGTGGTCAGGCAGTATTAGAATCATTTTTGCTTTCTGCAATATTTTGGCTTTCTGCAATATTCCACCATCAATAAAATGACCACACCTGACAAGCATGTGGGTGCCCCGTTCTATTTTATAACCTTTCAGTCTAACCCTGTCACTTTACACTCACTACCCTCTTCCTCCACAGGACACACTCCCCTTGTCTGTGCTCACACTATGAAAAGTCAGGACTAAATTTGTTCTGTGCTCCTGTACATTGCACAAGGCAACTATCCTGAGTGTGAAAAAAAAACACTTTCTCAGTAGCCATGTTACTCTTAATGGAGTATTACTGTGCAAACATGCCTGAGAAATTCACACAAACATGTGAGTCCCGAATGCTGCACTGACCGTGGAAACTTGGGTGTTTTCGCAGCAGCCTCTGATGCACGCCAGAGAAGGGTGCTGTTTACCGGATGATCAGATAAGTTTGAATGTAAGTGTTTTTTTTAAACTGAGGTTGATTTGTAAATGCAATTTAAAAGTGGCGTTTGAGTGTAGTAAAAATGTGCAGTGGTTAGAATGAGGTCATGTGTGACACGCAGACGGCTTCCTGACCAGATAAAGTGGTTTAAAATGGATTAGTTGAGAAGAACTATTATTGTAATAGTTTTACATACATGGTCTCATGCACAGTATGCTTTAAGTGAAAAAAACATTCAAAGTTAGGAATTGACAAGGTTTAAAATGGAGCATTATTTCTTGTCGTAGCTAGTTGAACGGTCATCTCTTTTACCTTTTAGGTCTGGAGACAAGCTGGGAGAAGAGAAGGAGGCAGAAGATCCGACCTTCGTCTGCGACACCTCTCCAGAGTGCTGGCCCTTATATTTATCCTCCCATTGTGACCCTTCACATTTCAGCTGCACAGCTATAAAAAGATCAGGACGCAACTAGAGAAGGCTTGTGACATTCAGCAGCGCCCTGAGCTGGAGTAGCGTGTTGGTGAGCAGCGACAGAAAGGGCAAAGAGTGTTTCGGTGAATGGCGGAATGAGACAAAGTGGGACAGGTCGTGTAAGACGAAGGACAATCTGCACTACAGTATAAAGTATGTTACACATCAATAGAAAGGTGGGCTGCAGCTATTACACAGAACAGGAAAACAATAATATTCAAGCTGCTGCTTCCTCTATTCTCATTAAACAAAACTAATAAAATCTGCAATGTTTCCTAGATTTTATGAAAGACTTGGGTTTCATATCCTGTTTAGCAGGATTTATTTTAAAATTTGCTTCATTGTGCAAGACAGGTATTTCATCAATTGTACTATTTTAAAGGTTATGTGTGGGAAGCTGACTTTAGGTTACATCTAGTATGCACTGATAGCACACACACTCCTCCATAGAGGGCTTCTGGAGCATGTGACAACATTGCAAACCTGCCCTTAGAAATCCAAGTCAGACGCAGCATCTCAGTGCTCTGATCTTTGACCTTTCCCTGACCTTTAATGGTGATCTTTGCTTGGCAGGAAGGAGTTTTACCAGCATGCGCTGCATACTTTGCACACACACACATGGACGTTTTCAAACTGCTTTGTGTTCAGACCAGTCACATGGGTGAGAAGACGAGGGGGTGGCTGGAGCACTGGGGGTTAGGCTATGCTGAGAAAAGAGTAAACTTTATCACTGATGAGCAGCGACATGAGAGGATGCTGTGGGTTTGGATGAGTCAAAATGTAGAGCTGTCATGGTGTTATGGCAGAAAGAAAATTGGGTGTCAGCCAAAAGATGTGATCAAAGCGCACTTGCAGACTGTTCCTTTTTCTGTTTTGAGCTGAGACAGTCTTGATAGACAAATGTATCAGCTAATGTGTTTTATTTTTATATTTTCTTTTATGTTATGTTTTTTTTAAATTGACATTTGTTTTAGGGATGTATGTGGTCAGGCTGTATTAGAATCATTTTTGGGTCATCCTGGCTTCTCCTCAGTCCAAAATAGTGTTAGGGCTGGATTCAGTAGAAGATCACAGTAAAGGGAGAGTTTATTGACACAGATCACAGTCTGCTTTGTATGCAGACAGATGTCTACACAGGTCTCTAGTCTAGTTCAAAAAGTCTGTCTTAAACAACAGTTAATGATTGTGGTTGTGTCATTAGAAGGGTTCATGTTTATTGAAGGCCTTTCAAACAGTGTTCATGAGTTTAAAGGCAGCTGACCTACTTCTACAAGTACAACAAAAACTATTTAGAATCTTAGATAGAATCTTATAGTATTTACAACCTTTTTAATGAGATTTTTGAAGGTTCGATTTGAGTTCAGTCTGATTCCCAGATGTTTGAAGTGAGACACCAGTTCAAACACCTCTCAATTTATACTTTGTTATTTTTCTAAACTTTTCTAAACATATAGTTGTTTTAGTAGTTTCCTATGCTGCGTCATCTCCACTGTAACCTGCTCTGTAACTTTGTCTTCTCCTTCTCCTTTTGCTCTAAACTGTAATTCTATCTGTGTGTTTTTTTTATTTGTGTTTTATTCAGTTCAATTTATTTATATAGCGCCAAACCACGACAAGAGTCGTCTCAAGGCACTTCACATAGTAAACATTCCAATAAAGGTCAGTTCATTAAGCCAATCAGAAAAAAGTTTCCTATATAAGGAACCCAGTAAATTGCATCAAGTCACTGACTAGTGTCAGTGACTTTACAGCAATCCTCATACTAAACAAGCATTTAGCGACAGTGGAGAGGAAAAACTCTGGCTGCATGACGAGCTCCCGCTTGGGCCACCGCTCCGATGCATTTGACCGTTAAGGGTGCCGTAGATCATGTGCGTGGGTAGCACTGTAGAAGGACATCCTGTTGTCGCATTTAAACTTTTGATGTCTTTTATGATGAAAAGAACACCTAAGCCATCGGGATCAGCATTCCCAAAGCGAAGGAAGGAGGAAGAAAAAAATAAATGGGCCCAAAGCAGAGGTATGTAGACTTTATAAATTTGGCAAAGGAACTTTTTGCTTTACCATTGTAGCTAACTGCCTCTCCTGCCACGCACGGTCCATGGACGGACCCTCGCTAGCTGTTTACATACACAATACAGTATCTCGTAACTTTAACCAATTAATTTTACTTTTGAATCGTCATGTCCAGATGCAGTGAGACAGTATCTGCAGCCTGTCGACAGGCACCTGTTGACACCACGGGGGCGAGACTGTCTTCTACACCTATTGAGTCTCACTGTGATGAAGAAGAATGTAAGATTTATTTTACCGTTTTTGTTTGAGTATGATTGCAGCCTTTTATGAACTTCAATTCAAGTTTGAAGTACACATACAATATGAATTTAATATTTTCATACCAGAAGAACGTTAGGTGTGGGTGTAGCAACATTTCAACTTTGTCCGACACATTGGGCGGGCGCCGTGGCGGGGACTCCCCAGCTGCCGCCGGGCCCGGCGGGGAGTGAGAACTGCCTACCGCACTGCCTAAACACAGCATGACATCTTACGCCGTCTCTTTCTTGTTTACGCTGCAGCGTCTTCATCCAGGCATCCCGCAGCAGCAGCACATTTACTGAGCTACAATCTCACCATCTAGAACCAGGTGAGTAAGTTACTTGTTAGGCTATTTGTAATCAGCAGTAGAAATGGACTTTTTCAAATTAAATGGCTTATCACATATATCGATATGCAAAATTAATTTATTTAAATCCACACCAGACACTTGTTTTTGGCACGAGTGCAGCATTGATTTAGCATTGAGAATATTAAATAATCTGAACATACACATCTAAAATTGTCTCTTTAAGATGTTACTGTCAGTTAGGCTGTACATTTGGGCACCAAATCACCCAGAGCCGGCCCTAATGGATGTCTTTTGTTTTTACCCCTAAAGGGTACATTTTGAGAATCCAAGAACAAGGTTACATCTAGTGTCTTCTTCAGAATAGCTTGATTTTAGTCTATTTCTGTTTGCATGGGCTTATTTCTCTAGGGACACCTGCCATTACAAACTGTTGCAAAGTTTTCCATTTGAAGTAGCACTCCTTGTGTACTTTGCTGCTTTCATGGTTATGGAATTTATCATATGTTTGTAGAGGAATAATTTGTTGCTTTTGAGCTTAATATACTACCTTTACCTATGACCAACAAGATGGTATATTCTATATAAATATAGGATATCAACCTGATTGATCTTTGAATGTTAAATCAGAAGAATTAGGATTCTTTGCTTTTTCAGTGATCATGGTCCACTTCGTATTAATTCAGACAGTCAAGGATATAATCAAAAATAAACTTTATTTTCTAGACTAATTATATGCAAGACAAGCTATAAACAATTTATGTGATGGATGAATATAAGTAGATGGATTGTGATGTATGATGATGGAATGGTGTGTGATGTTTACCAGAACCTTTGTATCTGAAAGAAAGTATGAATTCTGGGTGTAAGAATTTGTGGTTGCTATAATCTAAAGAACTGATTTATCAAAACGGCATCAGACGCAATTCATGTCGTGCCTACGTACCCGTTCCTGGAGACCCTGTTTGGATCCGAGATGTCAAGGAGTCGTTGACCCCAATGCACGTGGCTCGTAGGAAAACCTTGATGCGACCAAGTCACTCCTAGGATGCCTCCGGGTCACAACGATAGAGGAAATAATTTGCATCTAGAACAGCTGTTTCTGAATAGCTGAAGGAGCAAGTTACTGTGTCACTGCAGGCAGCTTTTGGCTTGTCGAAAGCTTCGATGGTTCAAAGTCCCTTCATGATTGGCCACTCTGAAGGTGTACTTGAACTGAACTGAGCTTGAGCTGAGCTTGAACTGAATCACTCAGGAAGTGAGTTCTGTTTTAATAATTCTCATATTATGATTGTATGGCCAATCAGGACCTGCCATGTTAAGAGGTGTTAACAAACAACCCTCAGGACATCACGCTTTCTTTCGGATAGCAGATGCTCTAATTTGTGGATAAAAGGATATCTATGTGCATGCAATTACTTTAACTTGCGTCATATGGAGATATGCACATGTGTATGAGAGGATGGCTGATTAGCTTGTCACGTAGACTGATTATCAGACAAATGGATCATTGCAGGACAATTTTCATTTCAATCTTATTAACTTAGGTACAAATTAATCAAAACATTTCATTTAATCCCTTCTCCATTCATTGTATGAATAAGTAACTCATATGAGCTGAAAATGTTCACTTTTATTCAGAGGCAGGAGGAATCCTGTAGAAGCGACAAGAGGAAAGCTTAAGGCCTTGAAACGGGAACAATTTGATGACAATATGTTATCCTGTGTGCAAAGCTGCAGAGGCCTGGACTTACGCTGATAAAATAGCAGAATCCCGCAGATAGTTTGACCTGTTCTTGCCGATGATGTAGGTCAAATATATAGATGAAAAACTGACCATTTCTGGATGCTACATGTTCGACACCATGTTATGTATTTGATTTTATAACCATGTTGAATGCTTAGTGTGCTCATACAAGGTTTCTATAGCTCTTGACCAAATAATCGGTGTTGGGCAAGTTCATTTAAAAAATGAACTAGTTCAAAGTTGAGTTCGTACATTTTATCAATCAATCAATCAAAGCTTTATTTATAAAGCGCCTTCAAACCGCTGAGTTCATTTTAAAATGAACTAGTATGTTTTGTAGTTCATAATTAAAAAAAAATTGAACTAAGTTCGCTGTTCCAAAAACGAAATAGTATATATATATTAAAAAGTTATGAAATAATTTTCCAATAGTTGGCACCCGTTCAGACCACACTCACACCCAGCTGCAGTTTTACTGCAGTATATTCATGAACATGAATAGGCTAAACACACATTGAGCGCATGAGGGCCCTAGCACATTTCAATTCAATTAAATTCAAATTCAAAATACTTTATTAATCCCAGAGGGAAATTGATTAATTGATTTAATGCATTAATTAAAAAGAGAAAGAAAAAAGTAAAAGAAAAAAAAACAGGGGTCTGGCCTTCTGGGTCCTTCAACAGCCTGGACCCTTATGGGCCATTCCCATCTGTACCGGGTCGGCCCGGGCCGGGTAGCATAGGTTGTTTACATATCTGGGTGGCCTGGTATTTTTCCGGGCCAACCAAGGCTCATTTTCAGCCCTCTTCTCGAGGGGGTCTGCTTCAGGCCGAACAGGGCCAACACACCCACTGCTGACAGCAAATTCACACCTTCCATTAGAGCAAGCCTCTGATTGGTGGGTAGAATCAGCCCACATGGGCTTAAGACAAGGATGTGTGGAATCAACCGGGCCAGGCTGGGGCCGACTGGGGCTACCCGGCCCGGGCCGACCCGGTACAGATGGGAATGGCCCATTAGAATCGTCCTAACCTTCCACCCCTTTATGGCGCCCAAGCATCTAGAATCTTCTGGTGCTGATACATAACTGGCAACCGGCATGAAACTCATGGAACGGGAATGAGAAAGTGACATGTTGTTAGGAAAAATGGACTGCAGCACCCAAATTTGGCCACAGGATGTCCTTCTTACTTCAATTGTACACATTGCACCTTTAAAGTCATGTAAATTATGAACATCTACCAACTCTTTTCAACATTGATTCAACATTAAAAACACTTGCAGGTCCTTAGCTAGCCTGGGTTTGATTCAAAACTCACTTTGTCCAAAGAAAAGATTGAATTTGTCGTTGGTACGTTTTACGTAAACTTTGATGGAGTTTAACTATTCTTGTATCAGCTGATAAGCCGTGTAATTTCAGCTGATTTTCATATAATGCCATAGGTAATAAATTGAGTAAATGTTTAGGTTTCCAAAGCTGGGGAACATTTCTAAGTTTACATGATCCAAGGTGATTGACTGTAGCTCTTTGATGGCAAACTGTAAACGTCTTTCCGAAAAAAAAAACTGTTAAACAATTCATTGTATCTATGCCTCACATACTATTTTTTCCATATAGTGTATTTAGAACATTGTCAGCAGCATAGTAGCTCCATACTGAGGAAAGATTAACAACACAATCAAGTAGCTCTCCTGACACTGCACCACATTGGAGACATAAATAGTAGCATTGACGTCACTGGATGGGGCCTATGGATGGAACAGAGTGGATTCCTTTTTAAGATAAACGTTGCATTATTATTATTGTGAGGCAAATATGATTTGATGATGAATTTTAAACACAATCTGCAGTGCACGTGACACCATTTCTCAGACACAGAATTTCAGAATCTGTCTATAAACGGGATACTGTGGTTTCATTTTAAAAGCAGAACGAGGAAAAAGCATGATGTTCCTACTTTCTATGGTCTATCATTGTTTTTGGTTTTAGAGGCTGGGGAGGATATGTCTAAATGCATCAGAAGATTCTGATGGTAAATACACAAACACATGTGTACGTGTAAAGAGAAGGGTACAGGGGCTATAGAACACTGTAGAAGTAACAGGGCATTATAGCCGCGTTTTCTTGTGCCTGCATTTGCAGCTGAACCAAGGTCTTCAGTTATGTTTGCAGCAAATGTTTAAATGCACCAACTTCTTTTCTGTTTGCTTCTAAAGCAAAAATGAAAAGGTTTCAGGTCATGTGCTGAAAGTGCTGGTGGTTTAACTCCACCTACATTTCCTCTACATGTTTTGAGCAGTCCTTTTATGAAGTTTGCATTTTGCTTTTAGCATCTCCTCATATGAAGTAGGGACATTTTCTTCCCTAGTTTCCAAATAATTTGTTTACGAGCAAATTTACCGCACATTTAGTTACACTGCATGGGAGGTAAGAATGGATGGGATCCGTATTGTGATGCTTTTGTGCTCAGGTGAGAAAAGTTTGTGCCTCTATTTTTTTCAGTTATTTTATATTTGTAATGCAAACAGGCTCCAGAAAACTATTTCTGTAACCTGTTACACGCATGTAGCATTCATCAGGCAGGAAAATCTTCTAAATCTAAATGTTTGACTAGTACGTAAGCTGCTAAAACAATGTGGTTTTCAACCTAGAACCTCATAAACAGCGGCACAGTTGAACAATTTATGATAAATTATATACTTCCAAAATTGTTCAGGTGTTGGTTCCGTAGACATTGCACATTTATGTCTCAGTCACTCTGACATTGTGATCGCCATAGAGAGGTTTCCAACCGCCGACAGCCTAGTTCAGCAGATCTATTGAGGTTCACAGCTGCAAGAAAAATGTTTTGAGGTTTGTTGTACGCCATTACTTCAAAGTTAAAAACTGCCTTTCTCTTTGGTTGAAGGGAAAAGGCAACAGCAGCATCTTGCTAAACCCACAGAACAACATGTAACATGTAAAAAGTCTTTTCAAATCACATTTTTTCATTTTAAACAATTTAAAACACATCATCATATTAAATCACACGAAATAAAGTGTCAAACAACCAAGAAACTAAAAGCCACCATTATCTAAACTACTGTGTTGGCAACCAAAACCTTGTTGCCATATGTAGTGCAGCAATAGCTCAGGAGGTAGAGATTGGTTTTCCAGTAATCAGAAGGTTGCAGGTTCAATCCCTGCTCCTAACAGAGAATTCTGCTAGCTGGTGGTGGTTGGAGAGATCAGCAGCGCCTGAGCTTGGCAGCCTCGCCTCCGTCAGTGTGCCCTAGGGCAGCTGTGGCTATGATGTAGCTCATCACCACCAGTGTGTGAATGTGGATGTGAATGGATGAATGATACACTGTAATGTAAAGCACTTTGGAGTCCTCTGACTCTGAAAGTCGCTATACAAGTGCGTATAGATCATTTTTCATGCTGTCATTGCTTATTCTTAACTTTCCATAACACGAAATTTAAAAGTAGAGACTTTTTTAGACAACAAAAAATCCAAATTCAACATGAAAACATCGTTTTTCATCTGTTATTTAGGAAAATGCACCTATTGCAAAGTATAAAGTTTTATTCAACTGTAGGATTTTCATCTTTCTCTGCAAAAACTAGACAACAAAAACTAGACAACAGACACATGTTTGTTCAGTTAATGAGATATTAGAGCGATTATGTGCTTTTCTGCTTCATTTATTCCACAGTGTTAGATGCAGGACTTTGTTCCATTGATTCTGGGGCTTGGAAGTCCTTCAGTGACTTTGCTGCAGGTTTTGGCTACCAGGTGGTTCAACGACAATCAGGGTGAGTCATTGCGTTGAATGTTAAGCAGCAGGTTTTATAAGTCTGCAACTTGTGTTTGTTGGGGTTATTAGGAGCGAACAATTAGTAAGCTTCAACTTACTTTTGGATTCTTCAATAAATTCTGTAAATATGGGAATATTTACTGATTTATTAATTAATTAAGATATTCTTAGATATACGGGGCACCATTCCCCTTTTACCGGGGAAAAATTGAATCCAAAACTCTTATCAGTCTTTCTTGAAGTTCGTAGAATCCTTGGAGCAGAGACTTGTCTTCGACACAACAAAGCTACTGGAGACGAAAATCTGAATTTTATAACGTTTAATTAACAATTTGTCAAATGAATAAACAGTGGAATAGATGAATGATAACCGTGTGATATGATTGAAGATGGATGTGTTTGCATGTGATGGAGGATGTATGAATGGGGTCCTTTGTTCTCACAAAGGAGTAGTGTGTGTGTGTGTGTGTGTGTGTGTGCGTGTGTATGGATTCAAAATGGAGTCTTGAATACAAGATGGCTGACCCCTTTGTCTGGCTAAAGTGTGGGTGGCAACTTGCACTTTAACTTCCAAAGCACTTAGAATCAGTAGTAACTTAACCTTAAATCACTCAAAACATTTCAAAAGATCATGAAACAACACAAAAGATTAATCACAAATTAATATCTTTTAGTTTCAGCCTGGCCATGACAGAAACCATTTTAAGATACCAAACAATGATCAATAAGCAGTTTATTCTTTCAAAATGACCCGACGGACGTGTTTGGGACGAAAGAGGAAAACACGAAGCTACTTTTTAAGCAATAGCGCGGTTTTATTGCTTATTCTGGACTATAGAGTTAACTGAAGAAGAAGGAGAGAGAGAAAGAGATGAGTTGCTGATCACCAGAAGAGCGAGGCGTCCCTCCCTCTTTGATTTGACGGTTCTCCGTGTTTCTCCGCAGCTTTCGGCGTCGTCCGTCGGTTTGATGCTTTCTCCGTTGTTTGGCGTTCACGAGTGTTTCTCCACGGGCTGGACAGAGACAGCAAAGTTTCTTTCTATGCTGAGTTATAACTTACAGCGTGCTTGATGGAGTTGTTGCTTTCCTCCGCAGTTCTGTGTCCTCAAACATCAGCTGGAGGGGAGCAGAAACGAGCAGATCTGATGGGCTTGCAGTTTAGTTTCCAGCAGTTCCGTGGACTCAACTTGGGCACTTAGAGCTTCCGCGTGCTCAAGGGAGTCGGAGCGTTGACAAGCGTGTCCTTACCGCCAGGTATCCTGGGCAAAAGAACGAGGATTCTTTGTCTCTGCTGAAGATTTATGGTCTTAGTTCGCGGGAAAAGCTCCACGGCTTCCCGCACATGCGCAGAACGTGTTTCTGGTACTAGGCGGTGACGTCATCACAATGCTTCCGTGTGCAAAGCATCATGGGAAATGAAGTTTCTTGGCGCTGATGTGATTATTTGCTTTTCAGAGCAATTTAAACACAGTCATTTTGGAGAAAATCACTGCATAGTAATTTCCTCATGAGGTCAGACCCTCAACATTCCCCCTTTTGGTTTCGGGGATCGCGCCCAAAGCTCGATCGTCGGAAGCACAGATGGGTTTGTTCCTCATGAACGTAGGTCGACTTGATTGTCGGAAGCACAGGTGGGTTTGTCCCTTAGGACGTTGGTCTCCTTGGACGCCTTTGTCTTTGGTCTTTGTCTTGGATCCTGGCGCCTTTGGTCTTTGTCTTTGTCAGGCACAAAGAGGATAGGAAACGGGATAGTCCCCAACGCGCATAACGAGAAGAAGCCACTCACGCAGGTGGTACGCAATGATGATGTCGTCCATGCGAGAGGTAGTAGTGTAGAAGGAGGAAGGTCGGTGGGCGGTTAACTCCACGAGTGGACACAAAGGCATCTCACCGCCGGCCATACAGTTCAGTTTATGGAGCACGCGGTGATGTACGAGGTCCATAGTTCGCAAACGCGCATTGACCTATGTGGTCCCAAGATTCCCCCCTTTTTGGTCCAAAGGGTGGATCAGGACAGTCTTTGGGCTAAAACAAGGACCATAAAACTAAGAGGTACTACAATGTGCTGGTGCGTCAGACAGAGTCATTGACAGACTGAGCTGGGCCGGCACATAACCACTAGTTAATATGTGACCAAGTAAGAAACAAAAATACAGAAAACCCAAAAAAAAAAAAAACATATAACATCCAAGAAAATTCATAGCAACCTTGAGGTCTCATAAAATACATTCTTAGGTCATACAGTCAGTGTGTAGCTTATAAAGAATGTGACATACTGCAACACTCAGATAGATATGTGAGGTAGACTAAAATGAGAACTACTCTTAGGTTTACAGAATAACAAAGAAAATGTTGCTCACCCCCTTTAGACAGGTGTGGTACATTCACGCTTGGAGTCTCCCCGAACGCGGTTACGAGGCACACCGTAGGTGAGCAAGTGCATCTTATCTTGGAGTTTCTTAACACGCCTGTAGGCGGACTAAGCCATCACGGCCGTGATGAGCCATCCCATCCCCAGGGCGACCAATGTGCAGATTAAAGTCGTATAATCTGTGTCAATGTAGCGTCTTGGGCGTCAAAGTAAGTTCACGCGGGGTTTGTGTGAACTTAACAAATTTGGTTCCTTCAATCAGTAATTGTTGGTCAATTTCTAAATCGAAGGCAAAGTTATAACCCTGGAAAGCGTCCATGATCTCAATCTCTGAGTCATGCTGTTCGAGGTTGAGGTGATGGAGTGTCAGGTTTCTAGTTCAAAGTGGAAATGCCTACCGTCCTTTCAAATACCAATGTTCAGCATCGACCTAAACCTATAGATGTGAGGTGTCACAATTATGGGAACGTTTAACAGGAAACCGAGTTCTAATTTTTTTTTTTCAACGTGAATGGGCATTGCACTACTTAGGCTGTACGCTAGGTGGATTTGTGAAAGGTGCACAGTAGAGGGGTAGCAGCTGTCAAGCTAACTTTGAGCAGGTCCAGTGGTACCAAGTACGGGGAAATACGACTTTCAACCAAGCTGTCCAGCGTGGAACTTACTTCCCTGAGCAGGTCCTACATCAAATCTCTCACCACTCGTGTGTACACAATATCCTGAGGTATGGTTTCAGACAAAGTCTTGATTGCACGTAGAGATTCATTAATCAGAGCCTAGTGTAGGTACCAGAGTACTCTGTAAGGTTTTAGTAGGTACATCCTGTTAGCGGTCTAGGAAGGAGTTTCTCTTGGTTAGTGAAAGTGACGGCGGGGGGGGGGGGGGGGGGGGGGGGGGGGCTGGTTCTTTGTCGGTTAGTACATGTTAGTGGGTTAAACGTGCACTTTCCCCCCTTTCCATTTCCATGCATAGAACTATGTAGCGACTACGTCTACCTCCTGCGGGGAGTCTGGTCTCTGTACCCGCGGGGATGGTTTGACGTAGGGTTTGATTTGGTTTTCATGCACCCATTTGTAGACAGGCTCCTGTCTCGCTTTGGTGATGCGTAACCTGTATGCAACTGGAGAGAGTTTTGCCACGATCTCAAATGGTCCTGACCAGCAGGGCAGGAACTTCTTAGGTTTGCGTGCCGGTTGGGCGAACCGAAAGTAGAATACTTTGTCACCCACCTCGTATTCGCGGCTGGTTGTCTTTTGGTCGTAGTAGGCTTTAGCGCCTTCTACGTTGGTCTCCAGTTTCTTCTGAGCGTGCGCAAACGTAGCTCTGAGGTGTGTTTTCAAGTCTGCCACATACTGATGAGCGGTATAGGCGGTGGCAACACTGACATCCTCTGGGTGATACAGGAGGTGCAGTGGTAGAGTCATCAGTCTGCCGGTCATCATCTCAAAGGGCGTAACCCCAGTGGATCGCTGTGGAGTGGACCGTATGGCCATCAGGACCAGAGGGAGCTTGACGTCCCAGTCCTTCCCAGTGGAGCAGACGTACTTTTTGAGCATAGAGACGACCGTGCGGTTCATCCGTTCGACCTGTCCGGATGACTGTGGGTGATAGGGGAGGTGGAATCTCACTTCCACTCCCAAAAGTTCAAACAGGGACGTCATTACACTGGATGTGAAATGAGTTCCTCGGTCAGAGTCAATGCAGAGTGGAAGTCCCCATCGACTGAAAACGTGGTTAATCAGCAGTACAGCGGTTGTGACGGCTGTATCGTTTGGCGCTGGAAGGCACTCCACCCACTTTGTGAAACTGCAAGTTACAGTTAGCATATATTTGTTTCCTCTTGCCGATTTGGGAACTGGTCCAACCCAGTCGATCTGCAGGTGGGACCAAGGGAAGGTTATTCCCCTGCGTTGCAGTGGTGCTCTAGCAAGCGGCTGGGAGGGTTGAAACTGGGCACAGATGAGGCAGCCTTGGACATAGCTGTGTACGTCCTTGGACATCGATGGCCAATATGCTACTTCTGTCAGTGACGCGAGGGTAGCTTTTGCTCCACGGTGACCTCCAACCGGAGTGTCGTGGGCGTAGGCAAGCATCACTCCTCTGTGGTCGAGTGGAACAACCCAGCGCGGCGGGCTGTGATCGTCACGTATGTAAACTAACAAATCGTTTTGTAGTTTCAGGTGCGCGAGTTGACGATGCAGGGTTACCAAATCTCGGCTTGCGCCAGTAGGTGGTGACGGTTGTTTAGACATCGGGCCCTTTTGGAGAAGCTCGCGGATGAGCTTCAGGTCAGGATCTTGTTCCTGCATGGTGACTAGGTCCGCGTCCTGTGGTTTTCTGCCTAGAAACACGGGTACCTCAACGGTCCGAGGTTCGTCTGCCTGGCTAGCATGGCGACGAGTAATCGCGCAGACCTCGTGAACGGCCTTGGGAGGAAGCCACTCGTCTTTGAATTCCCAGCAGGTTCCCTGGTCAGCACCGAGCTTAGCAAGGCGGTCAGCTTCGTCATTACCATCTTTCTCTGGACCTAGGGTCCTGGAGTGACCTTTGACCTTTTTCCAGTAGACCATTATGCCTTTCTCAGTGGTGAGCAGATCACACGCTAGGAATAACTCCGAGTGTTTCAC